AGAATGTTCTAGAATCATATTGAACAGTTAGTAATAATTTCTTACTAAACATAAAATTGTAATAACTAAGTATTGCTACTTTCTATATTATAACAATATTCTCCTAGAACGAACTAAAAGAAGTTAAATATAATGTTAAGAACATATTAATAATAGTAAATAGTAGTATAGAAAACAGAAAATATAAAATAAAAGCGCAAGTGGTTTAGTGGTAAAATCCAACGTTGCCATCGTTGGGCCCCCGGTTCGATTCCGGGCTTGCGCATTTTTTGTAAGTTTTTAGTTTAATGATTTCCTACTTCGGTAAAGTTTTAATTTTTGTTTGAGTTATGCTTTAATCTTTTGGATTCGAAAGTTACTTCGTGATTATTTATACAACTTATGCCTGCAAAATCATTTTTATTCACCATATAAATTGACAATTCTTTGTGAACTTTAATTATTGATATAAGAAAAGTAATATAACCAAACGGACCAATTTGATATATCAATATTATAATGATAAATCCTGTTCAGGATCAAGGGTCTAATGATCAAGATATAGATCTAAACAATATGATTGATGCTGCCCAATCATTAACGAATGACTTAACCACTCATACTACAAAGAAGAAAAGAAACAGAAGAAAGAAGAAGAAGAAAAATGCCAAAAGGAATGCTGCAATAACTGAAACCACTGAGAATTCTTCCGAGACTGCTCTTCCTCAGAAGGACAACTTAGATTCAATTTTAGTTGGCATAGAAGAATACCTCCAAACCAATAGTGACGAAAATGAAGATGTTCCTGTAAATATTGTTTCAATCCAAGGACTTAATGAAAAATCTAAGAAAATTGTAATAACAGAAGAAGACAATGTTCCAAATGATATATCTCCAATCGGTGAATCTGAAGATGATGTTTTAGTAAAACGCACTTTTGAAGACAATTTTACTAAGTCACAAAGCTCCGATAACCTAATAGAAGAAAATAAAATTGAGGAGAATAAAGAAAACCACATTTCAAACAATAATAAAATTATAAAACAGTCTATAATAAAAATATTAGATGACGATAAATCAATCAAGAAACCTATATTAGGAAGCGACTTATCTACAAATAACGAAACCAACCATGAAAGTAATGATAATATCTTCGAAAAGGGTGAAGAACAAGATAATAAAGGTGATAACGATGAAATCCTACATATTGCCGTCGAAGAAGCAGATAATACAGATAACGGTGAATCTGATAAAACAGAAAATAAGGTGGACACAGTTAGCGATAAAGTTAAAGAGAAGGAAGAAGTTAATGATAAAGATACAATTGATTTACTCTGTACGATCTCAAATGATGAGGTTGGAAAAGTGACATCTGATAACTCTGAAGACAACCAAGCTAACATTGAAATATCTGCAAAATCCTCTGACTCAGAATCTGAATCACACCATAGAGAGGAGACTAATGACGAATCGGAAAATGTAGTAGAGAAAGTAATCGAAGAAGAAAAGTTACCTGTCGTCTCTAATGAGACAAATGACAACAATGATGATGACAACATGCACGAAGACATACCAAATGTTGTAACTTCACTAGATGATACCAACGAAATCCAAGAGGACAATATAAATTCTCTTACAAAAAAGGAAAATGATTTGGCAGCTGATCCTAATATAAATTCTGAGAAATCCGACTCTATAAAAGTTGGTGTGACTGAGGATGAACCGGAAAAGACTAACATATATTCTACCGTTGATTCACTAGGTGATGACATTATTGTCAATGTAAGACATAACATCGAAATCCAGAATCCGAACAACTCTAACGAAGTTAATACTACCGATGTACAAAGTTTGAGAGCGTCAATTTTGGATGATGATTCTAAAGATGCAAAATTGGAGACTGATAAACAGATTATAAATATAGCAGGAATTGATATTGATAAAGATGTAGAAGTCAAGAAGCAACCTACTTTAGATGAAGATGAAACAAACTGCCCAAAAGATGATATTGTTTTAATTCGCGAATCTGTTAAAGAATCATTTCCAGAAACAGATTTTGAGAACTCGATAAAAGAGAAGACACCAGCTTTAGATTATTTGGACGAGAAAGACAAAACTGAAATTGTTCCAGAAGTACAAAATGACAAACTAAATATTAATAGATTGACTGATATCGATGTGCAAGAAAAGACAGAAGTTCAAGACAATGATATCGATGACGTTATCAAAACTGATACTTTCCACAAAAATAGTGACCTTAATACAATCGTGAAGGATGATACTAAAGATGTAGAAAAGGAAAAAGGAGAAACAGACGAGGTTAAGACCGAAAATGATATTAAACAAACTACTGAGAATGACATGATGAATACTACCTCAGAATCTACCAATATAGTTACATCAGGCGACGATAAAAAAGAAGTCGATGACACTACTTCTGAAAAACATGTTGATAATCCAATTACTATAGATAACACTAAGACCGAAGATGATGACAAGAAAATAAGAACAACAATTACCGAGGAAGAAACTAATAATGATGTAGATACAACAACTGGTGTTATAGAAAAGAGCGCCACTAAAAACGATAAAATGTTTTCTGAAATCAGTACCGCAGATATTGTGACTACTGAGAATATTGAAGATACTCAAATTATGGAAAATGAGTCCCAGCCTTCTACCAATACCATTGGGTCTGAAGAAGAGGAAGTCATTGACGAGGAAGAAATTGATGAGGGAACAATTGATGAGGACTCTAAACCATTAAAAACTTATAATGAAAATTGTGAGACAGAAAACATCGAGGCGGCACCAAAAGAAGAAGCGGACGTGACTAAAGAAGAAAAGGAAGTGAAAGAAGTTGAAACCATTGATAAAGGAACAGTTCTCTCTGAAGACTTACAAGAAGAAATTGTGGAAACCGAAGAGACATATGGTAATACAGAAACAACTGGACGAGATACTGTTGAAGGACTTGACCTAGGTCCTGGTGAAGCAACTACAGGTTTAGATCTCGGTACAAGCGACGCAGCAATTGAAGAAGAGAACACTAACATTGATGTAGCTGCTCCAGGTGGTAAGAACAGCCTGGATGATATCCTTGCAGAGACTGATGCATTCTTAAAGGAACTAGACTTCGTAGATGATTCTGAACTTAATAACTTATTAGAATCCATGGAACCTAATAAAAGCAAAACCAATGTATCTACCAATGATGTGGCTAATACTATTAAGAAAAGTGATATACGCAAATTATATGAAAACGAACCTGTTTACATATATACTTCTCTAGCAGGGGGTGGATTCCATATGATTCCACGTACAAATCGTCTAGCGACAATATTACAAGCCAATCAAATTAAATTTACTTATAGAGATCTTGGTACTGATGATGCTGCAAGAAAAGTATGGAAAACTCACAGTCGAGGACGTACACTACCTGGTGTAGTGCGTGGTGCTAATGATATCATTGGCAACTGGGAAGAGATTGATGACTTGAATGAGGATTACAGAGTACACGAAGCCATCTACGAGACATTATGAGAAGAACTTATACGCAATATATATAAATATAAAGCAACTAAATAGAGATACTTACGTTGCGGAGTTGTACCCTTCTGCCAATACATATAAAAATGAAGTATCAAACCCTTTTTTCAAATCAAGTGTCATATACAATTGAAAACAAATCCTTTTTGTTTCCAACATTCTCCTTGTTACAGCCCCTGCCCCTCTCCTTGCACTGGTGACAGTACCTCGAGAAAGAAAAAAGAACTAAATAGACGTAATCTGAAAAACCAAACTTAGTGGGTTCCTATCTGTGAATGAGTTAACTAGGAAAATAAACATCTAAGTGAAGTGAAGCCCTTGTACTTCCCCTCACTTCCTGTAAACTGTTCTCTATTAAGATAAGATTGAAAACTCCTCCCACGCCACGCCACGCCATGTCATACATTGCCACCCCACTCCACGACGTGTAATTTACCCTACCCAATGTGGAAGGTCCACAGAAACTCTCGCATAATGCACGACCCCTTATTTTCCTATTCCGGACATGGACACACAAACACCTGCAGAACGGCAAACTGCCCCACTTGCCCGGTCCGTCAAGAGGTCTCCCGGTCGGCGTAATCCACCCCTCCCCTTAAAACAAACAAACAAACCGAAAATTTGTGTTTTTTTCAGTTTATTTTTCAGTTTACATAATATATGACCTGTTGCTATTGTTGTTGATAGGAACTAGTGCAGTCACTAGATTCTACAAGAGAACAACAACAGCTGAACTAAAGTATACCGATCTCTGTAGTTCAGTTTTTTGCTGGGTTGGGTTGTTAATAACATGCGTACTTCATGCATGAAGGTTTTGTTTAATATTTCTATTATTTTGTTGGTTATGTCGAGCAATAAAGTTTGTCTCTGAACTCATATATAAAGTAGTAAAAAGAAATAGAATATTTGCATTTTTGTAAAAATAATAATAATTCATTTCTATGTTCTCTTTATATTATTTTATTTTTTAGTAACATAATTTAATAATTCTAGCAACAAATAAATTCAAACACAAACACTCGTTTATCAAGTTTGATTGCTGTTGTTTTATTTTATTTTTATACTTTAATTAATAATGGGTCGTGATTTACAAAACCATTTATTATTTGAAACAGCTACTGAGGTAGCAAATAGAGTAGGTGGGATTTATTCTGTCTTAAAATCTAAAGCACCGGTCACTGTCGCTCAATATAAAGAAAATTATACTTTATTAGGTCCTTTAAATAAAAGTACCTATCAAAATGAAGTTGACCCAATTGATTGGGATTCAGAAGATGCATTTCCAGATCATTTGAAACCTATCCAAGCTGCCTTACGTAAGATGCGTGATGCAGGATTTTATTTCATTTACGGGAAATGGTTAATTGAAGGTTCTCCAAAAGTTATCTTATTCGATTTAGATTCAATTAGAGGCCATCTAAATGAATGGAAAAGTGATTTATGGTCTCTTGTAGGAATTCCATCTCCAGAAAATGATTCTGAAACTAATGACGCTATTCTATTAGGTTATACTGTGACTCGGTTCCTTGGTGAAGTCACTGTCCTTGATCAAACTCATGCAATTGTAGCGCATTTCCACGAATGGTTAGCAGGTGTTGCTTTACCATTATGTCGTAAGAAGAAAATTGATGTTGTAACAATTTTTACTACACATGCTACACTTTTAGGTCGTTATTTATGTGCAGCTGGGGATGTCGATTTTTATAACAATTTAGAACATTTTGATTGTGATCAAGAAGCTGGGAAACGTGGTATTTATCACAGATATTGTATTGAGCGTGCCGCTGCACACACAGCTGATGTCTTCACAACTGTATCTCAAATTACTGCTCTAGAGGCAGAACATCTTTTGAAGAGAAAACCTGATGGTATCTTACCAAATGGTATTAATGTTGTTAAATTTCAAGCTGTTCATGAATTCCAAAACTTACATGCTTTGAAAAAAGAAAAAATCAACGAGTTCATTAGAGGTCATTTCCATGGTCATTTTGATTTTGATTTAGATAACACATTATACTTTTTCATCGCTGGTCGTTATGAATATAAAAACAAAGGTGCTGATATGTTTATCGAGGCATTAGCTCGTTTGAATTATAGATTAAAAATGGCCGGTTCAAAGAAAACCGTTGTCGCTTTCATTATCATGCCTGCAAAGAATAATTCTTATACTGTGGAGGAATTAAGAAGTCAAGCTGCTGTGAAATCCCTAGAGAACACAGTCAATGAAGTCACAAAGAATATCGGTAAGAAAATCTTTGATCATGCATTGAAATTCCCTCACAATGGTGTCAGTTCAGAAGTACCAGATAATTTGGAAGAATTATTGGGTCAATCTGATAAGATTAGATTAAAGAGAAGAGTTCTTGCTTTAAGAGCAGAAAACCACTTACCAGCAATTGTAACACATAATATGATCGACGATGCTAATGACCCAATCTTGAATCAAATCAGACATGTTCAATTGTTTAACAATTCCAGTGACCGTGTTAAAGTCATCTTCCATCCTGAATTCTTAAACTCCAACAATCCAATCCTAGGGTTAGATTATGATGAGTTTGTCCGTGGTACTCATTTAGGTGTTTTCCCATCTTATTATGAACCTTGGGGTTATACTCCTGCTGAATGTACTGTTATGGGTATTCCATCCATTACTACCAACTTATCAGGGTTTGGTGCTTACATGGAAGACTTAATAGAAACTAATCAAGCCAAAGATTATGGTATCTATATTGTGGACCGTAGATTCAAGAATCCAGATGAATCTGTCGAACAATTGGTCGATTACATGGAAGAATTCACAAAGAAGAATACTAGACAAAGAATCAATCAAAGAAATAGAACTGAACGTTTGTCTGATTTGTTGGATTGGAAGAGAATGGGTCTAGAATATGTTAAGGCTAGACAACTAGCCTTAAGAAGAGGTTACCCTCAAGAATTCAAGATCATGGTTGGTGAAGAGCTGAACGATGACAGTATGGACACGTTAGCTGGTGAAAAGAAATTCAAGATTGCTAGACCTTTGAGTGTTCCTGGTTCTCCAAGAGAATCGAGAGCTGGCAGCACTGTATTCATGACTCCAGGTGACTTGGGTACTCTACAAGATGCAAACAACGCTAATGATTACTTTAATTTAAGTTTAAATGCTGACGGAACTCCAGTTTACGATGACGACGATGACGACGATGACGATGACAACGAAAACGCTAAACAATAAATGATCACTTAATGTGGATAACAAATCCCCGAGAATGATTGTTCACGGGTATAGGGTCTGAAATCTTTTTTTGCCTTCCCATTCCTAACATATAACTAATGAATTAATTAATTTAGCAACTAATGGGTATGCCATTCGTATAACCAAAAAAGAAAAAGAAAGTAAGATATAACTATATATAGGTAAAATTACTGTACTATGCATATAACATAATTTATACAACTCTAATAGAATTAATAAACATATATTTGAAAATATTATTTATCTTGATCGGTTGAGTAGCTAAGCCCACGTTGAGTATTACTATAATTTTGCGGTACCTCTCTGTACGTGTCTCTACCAATGAGACTAACCGAGAAACTTTCGCAGGAACTTGAAATAATTTTGTTTCCGAAAGTCTTCGGAAACAGGAAAATAATAACAACGATATTGGGTTTCGCTTAGATCAGTTACCGCAATAAGGAAAGAGAGAAAATTATATGGAATGAAACAAGGGAAACATTGATAACTATATGAGACGATGAGCAAAAGTAGACTGAAAATTTCATTTAACTAAAAGTAAATACTATTTCATAATTATTCACTCTATAATAATATATATAAAGCAATTTGTAAATAGTTCTGACAAGAAAAATAGTCTATATTTATTGTTTTTCCTTTTATTTTGTTAGATTAAATCATCAAGGGGATATAAACAGCTCAACAACAATTTTTTTTAAAGAATCACTATTTCATATAATTTAATATTTTGCAATGAACAAGAATTTTGAGAGTAAAGAAGACAACAAATCTGATTACATCTTCGGTAAGACGTTAGGTGCCGGTACTTTTGGTATTGTGAGGCAAGCAAGAAAATTATCAACTAATGAGGACGTCGCTGTAAAGATTTTATTGAAGAAGGCTTTGAAAGGCAACGACATACAATTAAAGATGCTTTACGATGAATTAGAGATCCTTCAAAAATTGGATCATCCAAATATTGTTCATTTTAAGGATTGGTTCGAAACCCTAGAGAAGTTTTTCATTGTAACACAGCTTGCTACTGGTGGAGAATTGTTCGATAGAATCTTAAAGAAAGGGAAGTTTACCGAAGAAGATGCAGTAGATATCTTAGTCCAAATATTAAAGGCAGTCGAATATATTCACTCTAGAAATATTATTCACAGAGATTTGAAACCAGAGAATTTACTTTATATAAACACTTCAGATAAATCGCCTTTAGTGATTGCTGATTTCGGTATTGCAAAGGAATTGAATACAGGTGATGAACTAGTATTTAAAGCAGCTGGATCTTTAGGGTATGTGGCTCCGGAAGTGCTCACAACCGATGGTCATGGGAAACCATGTGATATCTGGTCTATTGGTGTTATAACATATACGTTACTATGCGGTTATTCACCTTTTGTAGCCGAAAGTGTGGAAGGTTTTCTGGATGAATGTACTTCTAGTGAACAACCAGTTACGTTCCATAAAGATTACTGGGATAATATATCGTCAAAAGCTAAAAAATTTATACTAAGAGCCCTAACACTGAATCCCGAAGAAAGACCTACAGCGACAGAATTACTACAAGATCCGTGGATCGTCTGTACAGAATGGGAAGAAAACAATTTATTACCTGGTGTCAAAAAGGGATTCGATGCAAGGAAAAAATTGCGTGAAGCTATCGAGATTGTTAAATTAAACAATAGAATTAATAAATTGAAAAACATGTATTGTACTGATGACGAAAGTGATTTAGAGGAGAATAGTGTCAATTCTTCTACCTCTTCATTATCAAGTTCTCTCAAACATATGTGTATAAAACATGAACAATCAGGTCAAGAGTTAACTGAACAACAAAAATTATTAAAAGCTGCAATCACAAGAGATACTTTCGCTCAATTAGTGAAAGCAGCATCTCAGAATAAAGAAAGAATATTAAAATATGACGAGGAAAGCCAAGCTTCAAAGGACAGTTCCGAGGTTTCGTCTAGATTAAGTGATATCTAATACGTTTAATCATTTTTTGAATGACGTAATAATTTCTAATTTAAAATACTAAAATATATTTAGTATACATACTTACGTACATTTATTTATAATACAAAATGAAAAAAGTCCTCTTTTTTGTAAAACAAGAAAACAAGTACAACAGAATAAAACCTATTCTATCATATCATCACTATCGTAGTCAATATTATAATTAATTATATTTCTCTTCATATCTCTTAATTGTCGTCTACCAGGTTGCATATTAGAATACTCTTTCTTTAATTGTTCAAAGGTACACAAAATAAAGTAAAAATCTGATAAATATTCTTTCAAAATTTTTAACTTATTTCTAGCAGTATTATAACGTTGATCCCTTGGTAACGGGTTTGTATTAATGTTACTATTTTCTAATTTTCTATTATGGATCTTTGGGCTAGGTTTAACTTCATTTTTAACCGGTAGGGGAGCAATCTCAACCCTTGTGCTCTCTGAATCTGTTGATGAAATCGCTGTTGTACCCTCCACGATACCACCATCGGTGGAAGTATTATCCTTGGCTCCATATGGATCAGATGCTGTTTGAGTTGCAGGTTCATCGTTTTTCTTTTCCTTTGGAGGTGGTCTAACAATTTTAAAATCTAGAAAGTCCAAAAATTGTCTTAAAGATTCTGTATCGTCACACATTTCATACCAATAGCATTTATCATCCATACTTTTATTTTTAGAAATATCATGAATTAATGACGGAGTATCATGATACAATACTTTAAATTGGGAACTTAAAGTTTGACCATACTCTTCAAACAAATTCAATACTGTGTACTCTTTATTCTTGAACTTGGATACTAGCTTTTGTAATTTTCTGAGATCAGTATATGTACTCATGTTAATCGTATCACCATAACTGTGAAGTCTTGGTAAATAGAAGTCACCCATATAAGGTACTCTACCAATGAAAAATTCTTGAGATCTTAGTGTATAGATTGGATCATCAAAAGGATTAGATAATGGATTATCGCTCAATTCACCCTCAAATAACCTTTTCCATTTAGAATATAACGAGACAATCAGTTCAGGTCTCTCTGATTTTTCAACATTATTTAACTCTTGTTTTATCTCCTCTAATAGTTTCAATTTCTCACTTAACTCTGGATTTTTACCATCATTTATTTGTTTACGATAATGTTTCTTTTTGGAACGAATTTCATAACGAGTTTGAATGACCGTACAAAGTTTTCTAAAATAATTATAAGTCACTTCAGGACCATCAAGGTAATATCTTGGAACATGTTGGGTTTGAATTCCAAACGGAGTTTCTCTCTTAAAATGAGATAATTGATAGATTTCATGATGTACGAGCAAAGATTGAACTGAACACCAATTGACTAAAGTCCTTAAAAATATGATTCTATCATTAGTTGCTAAACCTAATACACCTTCATCCTCAATATCACGAGTTTGTAAAGGGTCTACTTCCGGTTGTGGTAAAGCGTTACCAATATATGTATAGACATTCGGTGTTAGTATTTCTGGATGTATAGGGTCCACTACTGGTACAGTTTCATTGTGAGGAAACAATGGGAACTTCCCTTCACCAACTGTATTAGAAATGACGTTACTAGATCTCCATTCCTTTGGGTACCCCCATTCAGTTGCATTCTTCCTAACTTGTTCAATGAATGGTCTATACAAGTTTTTCCCTCTTAAATCTGCTAAAGCTGGTGCATCATATTTCTTTGGATCGACGGTTAACATTTGCAAAAGAGTTAAGAACAGTAAATTCATCTTATCTTGAGCTTGAATGACTTCCTTGACCAATATATAGTCTTGATAATAAACTATACGACCTTTCTCCTCAGAATACATTCCATCAGCAGATTCCTTAGCATTGCCAGAGTACAAATCAAGACCGACTTCAAAATCTTGGAATGATAAATTTAAAAGATCTTGATCAAATAAAGAATAGAATTTGTTAATAAAGGTCATGATTTTCATAATATCACCAGCATATGGAACTGGTTTCATATTTGGGTTCTTTAACCTTGAACTTACACTTTGTTGAGCCTTGAAATCAGTAGTCAATAAAGGGGAGCATGGTGCCCAATTTGCATCAGTAAGGGAAGGTTCCTGTGTTTCAATTGCTGGTTTTCCTTTACCTTTAATTGCTTTCTCATCCTTCTTAGTTATTTTCTTTCCAATAGCAGTTTTCTTAGTTGATATAGATTTCTTTAATTTTTTAGACGGTTTAGTGACTTTCTTCTTTTTATCCTTAGCGTTAATTTTCTTCTTTGGCTTTGGTTTAACTCTCTTCTTATATGATCTCTTCTTATATTCATCTTCTAAATCTGCGGTAAGATCAGTTCTTGGTTTTGGTACACGACTGGATCTTCTCAATCCTGAGTTTAGATCTTCCAAAATTTTAGTATCAATCGATTGATTCGTTGTATCTGGGATATTAGTAACATTATTCACTTCAGATTGATTGTTATGAATGATACTATCAGGAATAGATGTGGGCTCAACGTAGTTATTGCTCTCCTGACCATTTTGTTCATTATTGTTATTGTTGTCAGACATCTAAAGATATAATAAATAATATGCCAAATATTTATAGGTATCGTCTTCTTGGCTCAGAGCAACCCAGTTCTTGTTACTATTTTTTGTTTAAAAAATTGTAGAGGGATAAGAAAGTTTCAAAATTTATAGAGAACGATCAATTTATATTTCAACGATGTGTTATAAACTTTCAATCTTTCAAGAATTTTCACGCGTATCGGTTAGCTTGGAACCGTGTGTATAATAATACATACAAAACTAAAGTGAAAAGCAGCCATTAAAGATCTAGTTTGTCCCGTCTACTGGGCAGCCAAAGTAAGAACACACATACATATATAGATATATTGTACTTAAGATAGTTTCAATGAATTGAAACTTTTTACGCGATGAAATCGATGTCTTGTTTAATAGTTTGGTCACAAGTCTGCATCTCCACGCTATTCGTCATATATACTTTGCTATCAGTTTTTGAAGTTAACATACACATTCCAAAATTGAATGAATTAACCATAATGCAATTACTACCAGTAGCATATGCCATCATTTTATCTGTAAGTTGCTCTTACAATATTTCACCTGTTTAAAATCACGACGTTTATATAATTCAATATGATCATCTTCACTATGCGAAACAAAACAAAACAAAAATTTCACAGAGCGGCGCGACCAAACAAAGATTGATATGGCAGAGAGACATTATTAGATGTGTGACAACTGCTACAAATATGGCCATTAAATGTCTTAACAGATGGATTTCTGCATGATTTATTCATACGTACTGAGTTGATTACTGTATTTATGAAAGGGTTATGTAACAGCAAAGCACTGTAAAGACACCGAACGTGATTTAGAGATATGCAATTCTGTCACTATCCTTTCTTCTTCTCTATAGGGTCACATCAGCATAGTGCCAGTTACACTTGTAAAACAACTTTTGTAGTGATGATGTCAAATTGCACTCCAATCATCCATATAGATCTACATTTCTTATAATATCACATCCTCACTGGTGTTTCAAACTTGACTTTCTTTTTATTCATTCTCATATAGTAAAATATTCCCAACATATTATCCAATAAAACGTTAAAATTGAGAAAAAACAACAAAAAAAAATAAATTTAGTGCCAGTTGGCTCCTCCCCTTGTAAAGGAAAAGGACGAGAAATCCAACAGAGGAAACAAACAAACAAACAGAAGGCGTGAAGAGTCGAACGGGATACGAAAATACAGATAGAGAGAAAGAAACATGTAAAGATAATTAAACATAGCTTATTGGATAGCTTAAAAGCAAACTGAAAATAGAAAATACATACCGAATATTACTATCGGTATCTTTATCTGAGTTAAAGATATACATTCATCTCCATACTTGTATATATATATACATACATCCACACCTACCCACAATATTTATTTTCTAAAATGGGAGCACAGGCATCAAGACCATCCTTAACTGATATAACGCCGGACATTAAGTTTGATGCATCAGAAGAAACAATCAGACAATTAGGAGGTGTTGAGACAGATTTTTCGAAGAGAGAGGACGCTGAAAGATTCATAGAAGGTAAAGTCTCGGAAAGATTGCTTCAACTCGAGAGAGAAACTTTAAAAGAATTCGAAGATAAATTGGATAAATCTTTATTGTTAACAGATGTTGATGTTGGAACTCTATCTTCCAAATCATTGGATGAGAAAATGGATGCATTAAATATGAAGATCGATCTTTATAAACAATTAGATTCTGATAAAAGAAAGGATTTCACAGAAAAGGATAAGGAAAATATAGAACAAAAGCTTACAGAATGTTTATTAAAGAATAAAGGGAAACCATTAAATTGTTTCGAACTTATGGAACAATTTAAAAAATTAACATCAGATTAAATAAGAATAAACATAATAACATCGCAACATTATACTTAATGCGTCCAAAGAAAATAATTATAATTGAAATAAATAGTAACATTATCCTTATCATCGAAACTTTATTTTTAGATATGTCAAATGCTACCTTTTATTATTATACTCATGTACTTATTCTATATATTTTATATTCAACAATTTTACAAAGTAAATATTAGAAAACAGTAGAAACACTAGTGTTATTTTTAATAGAACTAATACCATTGTGTCAAACTTAACTAATTTATCAAACATTTTATCTACAGTAAAACAGAAATGAAACGTTTCTTTTTTTAGACTTATATATATATACTTATATTTTGATTATCTATAATCCCAAACCTTCATATAGTAGGATCAATGCACTATCACTTTCACCACCACCAGCTAGCATTTCTATCTTTTCCTTTTCTATTATACTTACTTTATCATCATTAAATTTATACCAAATGTTATCGTCTTTTTCATCCTTCATAAAGGCCTGATAATGACCGGATTCAGAATTAGCACCTTGATGCGTAATAATACCAATTAGATTATAAACAGATGATGGATTTTCACCTTGGGTAAGATTATCTGGAAATTTTTTCTTATATTCATCCTTCCAGAATTCTGTTTGACTTTCTTCCAAAGCTTTCTTAGTTTCAAACTCCTCCCTTGGAGTCATAACAACATCACTTGCCACATTATCTTCACTGTTATTACCAGATAACTTCCTTTTCTTCAATTCACGTTCTTTTTCTGTCTTCTCCTTTTCAACCTCTCTTAACTTTTCACGAACTTCTATTTTTTCCTTTTGATATGTGCTTTCTAACATATCAGTAACATCCATTTGGAAAGGGAAAACAACTTTACGAAGAATCTTGGACTTTTTACCTGTTGATCTTTTCCAAAAAAATCTCACATATTGAACCATCAAAAGTTTTGGTAATCTAATAATTTCTTTATGAACAGTGTATACAGAATTAACACCTGTTGTCTCGGATCTCTTTTCGATCTTTTCATTCAAGGAATCAATAAGACCTGCCTTTAAGAAGTTGGTAGTACCAGAAATATGACATTGCAATTTAATATCACTTTCTTCTTCTTTAACAGTGACATCATTTGCATTTGCTGTGTCCGTTGTAGTTGTTCTAAATTGAATTCTAAAATCTTCACCAAATTTATCACCAAAAACCACATTTAAGGAATGGAATAATTGAGTTAACAATTCTTCGGCATCTTGTTGTTTAAAGAACCCTGAACTTTGATCTCTTTCGGCAAATTGGGGATACGCCTTTCTCAATACATTAAGAAGAACCACTGGCATAATTGATTTAAAATTTTTCTTTTGTAAACCTTCAAAACAACGCTTCATCTCTAGGACTAACTTATAATGAACGTCTGTTTGTGGGTTACTACTGGAACTGTCGTTAATGGCATCATAATTTAAAACCATTTGTCTTAATGGTTCAATTCTATACAATGCTTGCAGAGTAGCATTCATATAACATGTGTTACCCATATTTTTTAAACCAATTGGTATTTCATTAAATTGTTGAACTTGCTGATCTGGGCTTAAATCCTCAATGAAGTGACTTTTTACCTTTGGTTTGGAAATGAGATTAGCATCAGGAGTACCTAATAACATTAAAGTTGATCCTGGTTTAATAATAGTGGATATATTAGTTACGGAGTCATCGGATAAACCTCCCTTAATCATATACTTCTGACGAGCAATTGGAATCTGAGTTAACTCTTCGATTTTTTGTTTCAAATCTGAAATCGATTCTGAAGATGTCAAAGTTATTGGGTAATTTTTCCCAGCATTTTTTACATTAACTGTTTCAAATTATTAATTGGTTAGTAATTATGTTTTCCTTCGATAAAATATGTATTTTACTCACTCAAAATTCCTTTTTAGGGCAGTAGAAGGGTGTTTGAGGCGGATACATCAATAACTCCCATTTCTCCTCAGACACCATTGAAGATGCCCTTAAAAAAATAGCAACGAGTCGAGGTTTAGTAGTTCCAATTAAGTTCACATACATTCAAAAGTGGATTCACTCATTTTTGGATATTCACGTACAACGTTATTTTTGGTTATATCTCGAGAAACTCCTATTTATCAAGTTTTAAATCCTATACATATGTGTATCCTTATATATATTAGTATTACTAGTCGAAACTTATTTGGGGGTGGCGAACTAATAGAGCAACATTTAACACCGGTGGGATCATCTTGTACGTTACTTAAAAGTAAGCGATGAGAAAATTTGAAAAACTAATTGAAAAATTCCAAAGCGCAGAGCCTTAATAATAATTTTGCAATGAGATGGTTAGTTGATGTTTGAGAATTAATAGTAATTAATCAATCACAACAGTACAGTACAATCACCTTTTCAAATCATCTTATTTATTCTAAAAATAATTAGTGATTTCATAATTATTATATTATAGTTTATCCAATCGCCGGAAATTATAAAGTTTAGATACCAAAATATTAAACAACAAGATATCTAATGAGTACGAAAGTCGCAGCTCCACGCAAAAAGAGACTTTCTGAAGGTCTAACTGTTACCCAAAAGGTCTTTATTAGATCAAGAAATGGGGGCGCAACCAAAATTATTAGAGAACACTATTTGAGAAACGATATCCCATGTTTATCGAAGAGCTGTACTAAATGTCAAAGCATAATTGTTCCAGATGCCCAGAATGAACTTCCAAAATTCATTCTATCCGAAGATCCTCCAAAAGTATCTAAGATTGGGAAACATTATGTTGTAGTAGATACAAATATCGTTTTATTAGCAATTGATCTACTTGAAAATGTAAGTTGTTTCTTTGATGTTATCGTCCCTCAAATTGTTCTAGATGAAGTTAGAAATAGATCATACCCAGTTTATACAAGATTGAGAACACTTTGTAGAGATAGTGATGACATCAAAAGATTTATTGTCTTCCATAACGAATTTAATGAAAAGACATTTATAGATAGACTTCCAGATGAAACTATCAATGACAGAAATGATAGAGCAATCAGAAAGACTTGTGAATGGTATGCAGAACATTTGAAGGATTATGGTATTAATATTATTCTTGTAACGAACGATAGATTAAACAGGGAAGCTGTGAAAAAGGAATCTGAATTGCACGGTTATTTCACGAAAAGTCTTTATGAATACGCTGATTTACTGTCGAATGCAGATGAAATCAAAGAGTTGATTCCAAATGTTGACAATTACGCCGAATCAAAAGAGTTATTACCAGAAGATATGTCTGAGATTATATTTCCAGAATACTACCAAACTTCAAGAGTTATGGGTGGTTTACGTGGTGGTTCTCTGTTCCAAGGTAACGTCCAAATCTCTGAGTACAATTTCTTGGAAGGTTCTGTATCTTTACCAAGATTTTCTAAACCAGTTTTAATTGTTGGTCAAAAGAACTTGAACAGAGCGTTTAATGGTGACCAAGTTGTTGTAGAATTATTACCTGAAACTGAATGGAAAGCACCATCAACACTAACTTTAGATTCTGAACATTTTGATATCAATGATAATCCAGATGGTCAAGGTGAAGATGACCAATTTGCAAATGAAAGTTCTACTACTGTTCTAAGTGATAAACAAAGAAGATTGTTAGCCAAAGAAGCAATCAACGCTCAAAAATCCAAAAAGGTTCAACCAACTGCCAAGGTTGTTTCCATCACAAGAAGATCATGGAGGCAATATGTCGGTCAAATTGCACCAAGTTCAGTGGACGGAAAAACAAACGGTATACAGAATGTCTTCGTTATTCTTATGGATAAATGTCTACCAAAGATCAGAATCCGTACTAGAAGAGCTCAAGAATTACTAGGTAAGAGAATTGTGATATCCGTAGATTCATGGCCCGAGGCTTACAAATACCCTCTTGGTCATTTTGTTAGAGATCTTGGTGATGTGGAAAGTACAGAAGCAGAAACCGAAGCTTTATTATTGGAACATGATGTCGAGTATCGACCATTCTCAAAAAAGGTCTTAGAATGTCTTCCATCAGAAGGACATGATTGGAAAGCTCCTGTTAAATTGGATGATCCTGAAGAAGTTGCTAAGGATTCATTACTACCAAAGAGACAAGACTTGAGAGATAAACTAATCTGTTCCATCGATCCTCCTGGTTGTGTTGATATCGATGATGCTTTACATGCAAAAAAATTACCAAATGGTAATTGGGAGGTAGGTGTGCATATTGCTGATGTTACACATTTCGTTAAAACTGGTACCGCTCTAGATGGTGAAGGTGCATCAAGAGGTACATCCGTATATCTTGTTGATAAACGTATCGATATGCTTCCGATGTTGTTAGGTACTGATTTGTGTTCTTTGAAGCCATACGTTGATAGATTTGCTTTCTCTGTTTTATGGGAATTAGATGGCAATGCAGACATTATCAACGTTAATTTTACAAAATCTGTGATTAAATCAAGAGAAGCTTTTTCATACGAACAAGCCCAATTAAGAATTGATGACCCAAATCAAAAGGATGAATTAACGTTAGGTATGAGAGCCTTATTAGCTTTATCAGTCAAATTAAAACAAAAGAGATTAAATGCGGGTGCACTAAATCTTGCTTCTCCAGAAGTTAAAGTCCACATGGATAGTGAAACCGCAGATCCTGGTGAAGTTGAAATCAAGAAATTGTTAGCAACTAATTCATTAGTCGAAGAATTTATGTTATTAGCTAATATTTCTGTTGCAAGAAAAATCTACGATGCATTTCCTCAAACTGCAATGCTAAGAAGACATGCAGCTCCACCTTCGACGAACTTCGAGATGTTGAATGAAATGCTACAAAAAAGAAAAAATATGCATATTTCATTAGAATCATCAAAGGCATTAGCTGATTCGTTGGATCGTTGTGTTGACCCACAAGACAATTACTTTAATACACTAGTCCGTATCATGTCCACTCGTTGTATGATGGCTGCCCAATACTTCTATTCTGGTGCCTATTCATATCCCGACTTCAAACATTATGGTCTAGCTGTTGATATATATACCCATTTTACATCGCCTATCAGACGTTATTGTGATGTTGTCGCACACCGACAATTAGCAGGCGCGATTGGTTATGAACCATTAAGTTTAGAACATAGAGACAAGCACAAGATGGATATGATCTGTAGAAATATCAACAGAAAACACAGAAACGCACAATTTGCTGGTCGTGCCAGTATTGAATATTATGTCGGGCAAGTTATGAGAAATAACGAGTCTATCGAGACTGGTTATGTAATCAAGGTATTCAATAATGGTATTGTAGTCTTGGTACCGAAATTTGGTGTTGAAGGTCTTATAAGAATAGAAAACTTGACAGATGCTGCAGAAGGTGCCGTTTATGATGAACTGGAATTTAAATTATCATTTACTCCAAAAACTGGTGGCAAGATTAGAGAGGTACATGTGTTTGAAAAGGTAGATGTACAAGTCAGATCAGTATTGGACCCAGTCACTAGTAAGCGTAAAGCAGAATTATTACTAGTATAAGCTATATAAATTACGTACCGTCGTTTTATCTACATATGTATATTACTATTTTCAAATATTTTCAAATTTGCTGATTTCGTTTTACCAATAATTCATATGAGCCCACAATAAACATGTATTGATTAAATTAATTAATTAAATGCAAATAACTTATGTAATACCTATTACTTATATATGTACTTTGATTAATATTGCTAATGCTTTTTGACAACACCAGCTTCATTTGCAGATGAAATAATATAGTCTCTGTAATCGTAAATGGTACCACTGAATCTATTCACAGTACCATTTTCAGATACCCAGATTTCTTTACAGACATTATCGATAATAGAAATATCATGCGAAACCATTAGAACACCACCAGTAAAGTTCTTCAAAGCATCTACTAATGCCTCCAAACCGGTAGTATCCAAGTGATTGGAAGGTTCGTCCAGAACCAATATATGAGGGTTATTCAAACATAAAGCTGCAAATGCAACACGAGATTTCTGACCACCTGACAATAGTTGCATTTTTTGCAAACCTAAGGTACCTGTAATACCAAAAGAACCAAGATGACGTCTATATTCTTCATCAGTTTTACCTGGGTATTTCTGAGACATCCAGTCAACAGCAGAACTATTCAAATCCATGGAATCGACATGATGTTGGGTGAAGTAACCTATTCTTAATCTTCCGTTTCTGGATACGAAACCCTTTATTGGTCTCAGTTGTTCCATCATCACCTTCAATAGAGTGGTCTTACCACAACCGTTGGCACCAACCAATGCAATTCTAGAGTCCATTTGAACATCGAGATTAACATCCTTTAATAATAAACTCTTTTCATCGTAACCAAACGAAACATCTTGTAATTGAATAATAGGAGGAGACAATTTCTCACAATCTGGAAAATGGAAATTAATTGTTTTTTCTTGTTCTGGTGGTTCCAGCACAGGTAATTTCTCTAGTTTCTTAATTCTAGACTGAGCTTCTTGAGATTTAGCAGCATTGTATCTATATTTATCAATAAATTCTTGTAAATGCTTTCTGTATGCCATTTGATTTTCATATTCTTTTTGAGCAGTTTTATTACGTTCTTCCTTGGTAGTGTAGAAGGAATCAAAGTTTTGACCTCTGTAGTAATCAAGTCTTTCATTATGTTGATAGATAATATCAGTGGCGACTTCGTTCAAGAATGCTCGATCGTGAGAAACAGTTAGAACAGTAGATGGATAAGTTTTTAGATATTCAGATAGGTAGGCAATAGATGGAACATCCAACATATTTGAAGGTTCATCCAGTAATAACAAATCAGGTTCACAGAACAAGGCTCTAGCCAATGATAATCTCATTCTCCAACCACCGGAGAACGAATTTGTTGGCTTTTGTTGAGCTTCAGTACTGAAACCCAACCCATACAAAATAGAGGCAGCTCTAGCTTCAGCTTTATCAGATTCCATTTCAACTAATTTTTCATCAATTTGTAATAAATGGTTTTCCAAATCTTCACGCTCATTGTCTAATTTCTTTATTTCTAAACTTTCAGGCTCAAATTCTCCTCTAAGAGATTCAATTTCCTTTAATCTTTCATTAATTTTAGCCTCCTCACTAATTAATTGTTTTCTCCACACATCTGCATCCAAAACACTTTGTAATGCCAGAGTTTCATCACCTCTTAATTCTTGCTCAACATGCAAAATCGAAATATGCTTTGGAACGTTTAGTTCTCTTCTAGATAATGCTCTCAATAGAGTAGATTTACCGATACCATTTTGACCTACAAGACCATATCTATGACCAAAACTTAAAGTCAATTGAGCATCAGATAGAATTCTTTGACCATCACCAACATACAAATCGAAACGATCAAGCTTAATATCCTTAGATTTACCTGCTGCAGAACCGAATTCCAATGGGTTAATCTTTAAGAAGAAAGAATCATAATCATCGTTCTGTTGTTCATCAATCAATTTAGAAGCCTCATATTGAACAAATTTATTATTTCTCTTGGCAACTTTCTTAGCAATTTTTTGTTCAGCTTTAGCTAATTTCTTTAAATCGACTCTGGTTTCCATCTTTCTACCAGTGTGTTCAATATCCGAACCATTAACACCCAGTCCATTCAAAGAGGCATTGATATTTTCTTTCTCGTTATGGCTCTTAAGAATGTTAACATCTAATAATCTCTTAGAAGTATCACCAGTGATCTCCATTTTGGCTTGATTTTCTTTCAATTGAATGCTTAATTGATCAAGAATATTTTTAGCCAAAGTGTCAATATTATCTTTCTTAGCACCAGCATCAACCAATAAGGTACTAACAAACTCCACTTCCATAAGTAAATCTAATTGCTTACTTTGAACAGCATCATAAGTAACCTTTGATAAATGATTGAAGTAACCAACTGCATAGTCGGTGACAATTGGATCGACAGCTGTCGACACCTTTCTAACTTGGGCACCAATAGATGACATTTGTATCTGCTTGTGAATAAATTGATCAAAGGTTGTGACGGATTTAAACCAAATGAGAATATATAGATTCAATATTATATCTTTAAAAAGAGTTTATTCTTTTGTAATGATGATCGATTACTTATGACATTATTTTTTATTAAGAAAATAACTTCTTCGGTTTGAAAGAAAAATTTCGTTAGGTAGATAATTTGTACAGTAAACATTCGTAGTTAACGATTAGCGTTCAAGACAGCGATCTTCACGATACTAGACTAAATTACTTTAAGTAGTGGATATACAATGTTTACATATATTAGAGATACGTGGAATGCAGAGATTAATTGAGTACCTTCTCGGCGTTCAAAAATGAGTAGATTAGTACTATGGAGAGGACAGAAATATTGAACAACACCGTATACGAAATCATAAATGAAGATGAGATACATTAAAGGAACATTGGACAAATGCATCAAACTTAACTTCCAAGAAGATGGAAAAAGTGCAAATTGATTAGTTGCTCTAACGCATATTGTAGTGTTGTTAATATACAGTCAAGTCACTATAGGTATAACCTCCGTTGTAATACATGAAGACAACAAGAGTGCTATTTCCATAGTTGAAGGCACCGAGAATCATTTCACCTCAAAACATATCTGATTCCGAGAGAAATTTATCAATGAGATCTCGATGATATTTTTATGGGTTTTCCTTTTACATTAAATATGAGAGTAATGTTGCAGACATGCTGATAATAACCTTTGTAAAGAATCTCCTTCAAGAAACTAACTTCCCACATAAGTACTAACAATCCTGAATACTACAGATCAATACTTCAATAAGAAATCATTGATCTGGTGTAGTGAAAAGTTCGGAGTCAGTATACGTTGGATTTTTTATATTGTCCCTCAAGTTTTTTTTTTTTTTTATAAAACATTTCAGTTCTTAAGCATATTACGATTTGTATTTATTATTCAAACCTTTTCATTGAATATAATAGTTTCATTGCTACCTAATTCTAAAATTATTATTCGAATAAGTGTGTATATATAGCAACATGCTTATCTTCACCTTTAATTCCATACGTAGTGCTATTTGTCAGATCATATTCAACAAACACTTTTCCTGTGGTTGTATTGTGTTTTTTTGCAGGTAATAATTCAGAAAGTCTCCATTCCTATAATTTTTATTATAATTAGGCTATCATAAATGAATCAAGTATAGATCCATATCCAATATGTATTCTAATATGGTTTGTAATTCATCAGGCTTATTAGTTTTTGAATATCTTTTTAATGTAGACCAGGCCAAATAAATAACAATAGGTTGTTTGTTGAAAGTGATTATAATATTAGGAAAAAATGAAAATCATTTTTATTAATAAAGATTAACACAGCTAAAAAATTATATGAACAAATAAAAAAGAGATATAAATAAGTAAATAAAGAAATATCGAACAATATAAAATGAGAACAATAAAGAAGAATATCTTGTTTTTGTTTAAAAAAATAATAAAAGACATTAAAATTGTGTCACATAACCAGCATGTAAAACTCACAAAATGTACATTTTATTTACATATATTTCTTCTTCTTTTCTATTCTTTTTTTTTTTGGATTAATTAGAGTATTTCTAAAGGAAAGAATAAAGCAAATATTGAAATATTGACCTAAGCAAAATATCAATCGTCATTCCTTAATTATTATTATTAATAATTTTTTTTTTTAGTAGTAAAATTCTCCAATGTTCATGAATATATATAGTGTTTATCTTAGTTTAGTTTTGGTTGCAGAATATGTTTTCTTTCTATTAATCGATTGAGTAGAAGAGAGTTAACCATTAATTTTTATCGAAGAAATTTAATTTATTATAAATATCTTTCTTAAAATCTTCGTATTCAAAACTCAATTTTCTTCCTCTACTTAACGATCTTCTTGAAGGTATACTTTCATTCTCAGATTCACTATCCTCCTGAGTGAAACTATTGTCCTCAGTGCCAGCTGTGATTCCATCTGTTCTATATTGTTTCTTAAACAAGGAGTGATTTGGTTTTGGTGAATATTCAGGAGATTTTGGTCTTTGAAAATAATCTCCCATATCATGATGTTGTAAAGTATATTCATTGATTGAATTATTATCTGAAGAAACGTTTGAGTTTTGAATATCATGTCTCGTATCTTGGAAATCCATTCCCGATAATAATGATTTTCTTCTTTGACTTCTCTTAGAGGTTGGTTCACCTCTACAATTATGGAAGTTATTATCACTATTATTGCGATTCTTACTAAACAATTTATGTTTATTCTTTTGTTTTTCTTGCAATGTCAATGCATCCATATAATTAGTGGATCTTCTTCTTGGGAATAATAACCGATTACGTCCACAAAATAATCCAGTATTGTTGTTATTACTAGAGGTAATGTTATTAGTATTACCATTATCAGTATTGTAATACACACCGTTTTCAAAACCTAGCATAGGAGAATCCTTTGGTTTTGGTGGTTCTGATAAATTAATGAAATCTTCGGATTGTGTATGTAAATTATTATTAAAAATTCTAAAACTTGTCATAGTGTATAAAATGTATGGTATATTTTGTTTGTATTTGTATTTGTGTATGATTAAAAAATATATTAAAAAAAATAATAAAATAAAAGTATATAATAAATACTATTGATTTAAAATAAATAAAAAATCACTACAAAATGAATAGTATACTGTCTTTATATATGAAACAGAAAAATATATATATATTTAAATTACCATTTGTTGAATGATTAAGAAGTTTAAAAAAAAATGTATAAATGTTCTTTACTTATTACTATCATAAATAAACTATATAAAAATTGAATTTATGTATGCGTAGTAGCGTAGTAGCGTGTTAATCTTAATTTACTTTCTATAGTATATATAAAGAATACAAATAAAGGGATAATATAATTCAACCAACACAAATAATTCAACCATTTTGGTGTGTAATTAGAGAATATTTATGCTATCAGATACTAACCAAAGGGGGGGAGAAGAACGAATGACCGTACCGTAACTGTAATTAAGAATATATCAGTAAATATATATATAGTGAGAGAGCAGATTTAAAGTACTATATATGTATTGCTAAGGTGACATATTTGTTAGTCTGTTAGTATTATAATGAAACTATACCGGGGACAATGTGATAGTTATAGTTATAGTGATATATCCTTGCGATGTGGGGAGGGCATCAAGGAGGCCATCCAGTTTTTCCGCTGTTCCTCTGCTAATTTCTCCTTGTACTTCGATGGCAAATGAATTTCCATGCGAGAGTTTCTGTGTGTGTAAAAATATATAGATATATAGATTTGCGGAGCAAGGAGATATTTTAGGGTGCACCCACACATTACACGCAACATTTGCCTGATATATTACAGATATTTCTTAATTATTGTGACAACTAGATCTTATTCTCTTTAGTGAGGGGGATAGCGCCACACATGCACACAGGAGTAAATATATTTCACAGTAGTACCCGTAGCAACGTTGAGTTTTTCGAGGGTAACAAGAATAGAAAATTCCATGTTCTAGACCTTTGGTGTTTTCCTTTAATGAATGTTAAAACTTTAAAACTATAAAACTTTAAAATGGGTATATATACATATAGACATATAAACATATAAACATATATACCTTGTTGTACTATTATATATCTACATTTACATATATGGATATTATAAAGTATATTAAAGTTTAACGTAACGTTGACGGAGGTAATCAATTTACTTCCAGAAAAAATATCGAGGACTTTCTACAATGCACCGTTTCTATCCCACATTATCTGTACTATTTTTTGCAAAGTTGTATGATTAAAAAGAAATAGATATATAGATATATCTATTTATTTATCCGGATAATGCCTCTACAGCAAACTCACTTAAAATTATTGCCCAACGTTGAATTTCATTCTCATCCAAAGTGTCAAATTTATCATCAACAGTGTGCCATGATTCTGGAAATGGGAATGGAATTAAATGAAGAATTGGTACATTTGCATTATAAAACGGCACATGATCATCTTCAATTAAGATTTTATTAATCATCAAATATAATACATCTGTTGGATGTAATTCTTTCTGGGTAAAAAATGTATTTTGTTCAGATTCTAAATAAGAATCTTCAATTTCACTTAATAATTTATAATATTTATGTGACGTTTTATAATAACTCTTAATTTGCCATTCGGGAACTTTATTTGTTCGTTTACCACCAATCAAATCTAATAAAACAAATAATTCGATTTGTGACATTGTTTCATCCTTTATCCATTTATTTGCTAAATGTCGAGATCCATAGATTGAATCTGTTTCAGTCCATTCATGAAGTGCTTCTTCACCATCAAAAAACACTATCTTAATACCATATTGTTTATCCTCTAATATTTTGTCGATTAAATATTGATCCTCATATACTAAATCATCTAGAAATTGTGATAAATACATTAATATAGAACATGAAGCTGCACTATCAACAGCACCAATAAATCCATCAATATTAACTAATGTATCATAATGAGCAGCAAATAAAATATATTTCTTATCATCTTGTTCATTGTTGTCCATATCTAATGTAAAGATCATATTAGTAAAATTATAATCATTTTCTTGAAAATTATCATATTCAATAATCCAATTATTTTGCATTTTAGTTTGAAAATGATTAGAGATAAATTGTTGAATAATAAAAGAATTTCCACTACCAGGTGTTCTGGTTATATTAAATGGTAATAATAGATTATCTTTACTATCTTCTATAAGTGATAATTGTTTGGAGAGATGTTCATTATGATAATCTATGAAATCACCTTGAACTATCTTCACATTGAAAAATATAGCAATAATAAGAAACACCAAAGTGTGTAGTTTTCGTCTAGTTAATGGCATTATAATCTGATCTTCTACAGTATCTACATGCGTTATGTTTTAAACGTATCTCACCATTGCTTATATATACATATCATAACATTTCTAGTCATAAATAATGGTTATTGTCATCTTCAACCTTGCACTCTCGAAAGAAAGCAACACGTCCCGCTAATAGTTATTTTCTTCGTTGTTAAATTTTCACGTGTATTGTAGGGTTCGTACTTAGGGTATTTTTTATTGATGCCACTACTTGATTTTCATTGAGCGATGCGAAATTCCTGCCCTTTACCCCCACTGTAATTTTATTTTATTTATTTATTATATAATCTATGGCATATATATATATATATAAACAAATATAGATCATCGATAATTTTTATATGACATAAACCGTACAAAAAACTATTTTTATAAAATATTAACAGAACTTCATATCGATTTCAATCATTATCATGAGTAATGAGAATATATCCAAAGATGGGAATTCAATACAATCCGATACGAGTTCAAACAAACAATCAAATCAATTTAATACATTATCATCTATAGAAAAACCAGAATTTCTTGGAAGACCCATAGTGATCCCTTTGAAATCAACTACAACTATAGATACTAACCCTGTACTAAGTAATATTACTGTTCCAAATAAGATTTTCTTGGATAATACCTCTCAAAAGAGTACAGCAGCCCCAACGACAATTACAACTGCTACTGCAACAACAACAACAACAACAACAGCAACAACAGCACAAAACCAAATAGATAATCTGATTGATCTACGAAAGATTAGAGAAGATGACAACAACAATAATAATAATAATGGACCTGAAAATCTAGTTATTCCAAGAACATTTTCACCTGCTATGGCGGCACGTATACCATCGATGAGAGATTCATCACCAATAATGCCAATGGAACAACAAAATAAACACAAATCTTTGACTTTTACCTTAAATAATGATAAAAATTTGAAAAGATCAAGTACGTATGCATCAAAATCCACAGTTAAAGCTATTCCAATAGCGTCAAATAAGAAAAATAATACTTTGAATTATTCAATGAATGATGCAGAATCTTCTATAAGTAGGTCATCATCAATGACAACATCTTTGTCAAGAAGTTTCTTATTCGGATTCTATAATGATAACAGGAAATCAAAACAAGCAACGAAAAACGTTTTATCTAAGGAATACTGGATGAAAGATGAAAGTTCAAAGGAATGTTTTACTTGCGGGAAACCATTTAATACATTTAGAAGGAAACATCATTGTAGAATTTGTGGCCAAATATTTTGCAGTTCTTGTACCCTTCAAATACCTGCAGAGAAATTTGGTTTCTCCGGAAATATGAGAGTTTGTCATAATTGTTTCGAGCAAGCTAATAACTACGAAGACTCTAGTGATGAGGATGAAGATAACATTGTAGATATATCTGGACAAGTAATAGACCATCAGCATTCTTTATTAAGAAACGATATCGATAATGAATATAACAACATCAGCCGTTCTATGACATCCATAAATGAAGAACGTGATGGTTCAGAACACCCAACTGAATTATCAACCAGTAGGAAACAGAGAGAGGTCTTATTGTTGAATAATGATGATGTCCAAAGTATAATGACTTCGGGAGAAGATTCTAAATTATTTGTATCTACTCCACCACCACCACCAAAGATGGCCATCCCTGCTACAAGGCAGGGTGAATCCCTAGAGATATCATTTAAGAATAACGTAGGGAGAAATAAACAAGTGATATCCCCAAATAACAATGTAAATGTAAACCATGGGCTCCCTAACGTGATGAAACTAGTTAGTCCAAGTAACCATAACACCTACAATCGAGATACATACACTTTAAGAGATTTAAATATACTAAGAACACCTGCATCTTCTCCATTTAAGAATGGAAATATATCAAATAAAGGGGAAGCAAGTTATCATCAACCTTATCATGTGAGAAATAAACCAAGCACAAGTAGATTAGGAAGATCGATATTCAATTATGTAACATCGGCTACATCGGCTCCCCTGGATGAGAAATCTGTAACGACACTTCACGATAATGAGCAGAGACAAACTACAGATCATGCCAAAAATATCATTGAAAATTTGACCAATAAAAATTTTAAATTTAAGTTCAATTACGGTCAAAATAATAACAATAAACAATTAGACCATGAATTTGCAGATCCTGACAATCAAAACCCAGAAATTAGATTACCATCCGATGAAACGAGGGAAGATGAGGGAACAATGTCGATATATTCCTCTTTGAATGGCGCTGTACACTCAGACAATCCTATCAGATCTACAAGAAATTCAACCAGATCATTCCAAAGAGCACAAGCTTCTTTACAACGTATGAGAAGCAGAAGGAAAAGTAAAAGTAAAATAGGAACTGTTAATGTCTATAGAGATATTAATTTGTTGACTCACAGTACTCCAAACTTATTATCAGTTGTGAGTGATAATGATTCATCTGAATTTGCATTAAGTAAGTTTCCAGATATTACTTCTGTAACTGATGAAAAAAACGATGATGAATCATCTGAGACCGCTGAAGGTACCAATTTGGATCGTATATCCAATATGAATCTCTCGGGATTACAATATTCGAAACCCCAAACAACCCCAAATTCGTTATCTAATTCTTTACTGATTTCATCAAAACATAATAGTGGAAAGTCTAATACTTTTAATCAGTGGAAAAGATTATCTAGTATATCAGGACTTAGATATCACCAAGGTAATAAAAATGCATTAAATGAAGTTGCTACATTACACTTCAAAGAATTACTAATACAAGTGCTTAATGATCAGGATATAACAAAGACGGATAAATGGCTCGATATATTGGAAAATATGGCCCTTGAAAATATTCAAAATATCACACTTAGTGCTAGGGACTCTAACACGTTGGATTACAGACAGAAATATGTCAAAATAAAAAGAATCACAGGTGGTTCAATTTCTGATTCAGAGTACATTGATGGTATCGTATTTGCTAAAGCACTTCCAATAAAAGGGATGCCAAGATATGTCGATAATCCAAGAATACTATTGGTTATGTTTCCTCTAGAATATCAAAGAAACGAAAATCAATTCTTAAGTATAGAATCTGTGTTTTCACAGGAGAAAGAATACCTAAATAAATTGATTTCAAGAATAACTTCATTAAATCCAGATATTATATTTGCAGGTGCTAATGTCAGTGGTTATGCATTGCAATTACTCCATAATGCCGGTATAGTTGTCCAATTTAATATGAAACCCCAAGTCATTGAAAGAATAGCAAGACTAACAGAGGCTGACATAGCTATATCCATTGATAAATTGGCATCTAATGTCAAGATGGGAGAATGCTCATCGTTCGAGGTCAAAACTTATATTTATGGAAACATTAGCAGAACATATACCTTCCTTCGCGGCTGTAATTCATCCCTAGGGGGGACAATCTTATTAAGAGGTGACAATGCTGATAACTTGAGAAAAATTAAACACGTTGTCGAATTTATGGTGTATGTCGAATTTTCTTTAAAATTAGAAAGTTCTTTTTTCAATGATAATTTTATTCAGTTGTCAACCGACTTTTATTTGAAGCAAAAGATTGAAAAAGAAACGACCATATGCACAGGATATTTTTCCGATTTTTTAATAAAACTAAACAAGAGAATACTTACGGTATCTCCAACCGTAGAATTCCCCATCCCTTTCCTTCTAACAAGGGCAAGAAATATCGAAAACGATATTCAAAATAGAATGCTAGAATATGAAAAACTTAACGACGATGGTGCGATGAATGATGTAAATAAACTTACGGACTTAGATATAAAGTCTACTTTGACACTCACGGATGTCAAATATATTTCAAAATTCATTTTGGAAAAGGATATAAACGACTTAAAGTTACAATTCCAAAGGAAAAGTCGTCAATGGGAGGTATCATATTCTTTATCCAGTAATCTTTTGGGTACAGGTTCACACCAGTCGATTACTGTATTATATTCCATGGTTTCCACAAAAACAGCCACGCCATGTATTGACCCGCAGCTTGTTACTATTGATTATTTTTGGGACACTGACATCTCAATTGGCCAATTTATAGAAAATGTCGTTTCCACAGCTTGGTATCCATGTGATGGTGGTTGTAATGGACTTCTATTTGATCACTATAGAAGTTATGTTCATGGCAGTGGGAAAGTTGACGTTCTTATTGAAAAATTTCAAACCAAACTCCCAAAACTGAAGAATGTCATTCTTACATGGAGCTATTGCAAAAAATGTGGTACTTCTACACCTATTCTTCAATTGAGTGAAAAAACATGGAATTATTCATTTGGGAAATACCTAGAGGTAATGTTTTGGAGTAAAAAAGGAAGTCTATCCGATATTGGAAAATGTGAACATGATTTTACTAAGGACCATGTGAAATATTTTGGTTATAATGATTTAGTTGTAAGGATGGAATATTCGGATCTTGAACTATATGAATTACTAACCCCTCCTCCAAAGATAAATTGGAAACCAAAAGTTGATATAAAGATGAAAGTTGAACTATACTATCAAATACTAGATAAGATAAATATGTTCTATGAAAGTGTCACTAATAGGCTAGAGAGAATTAAACTGGACAGCTTGACAGACGAGAAAACCCAATCAGGAGAAGAAATTATAATAAATTTGAAAGAAAAATCAGAGACAGAGAAGAAAATATTATTCGATGACTTGGAAACAATATACAGAGAAACTCCAGGTGACTCACATTTAAAATTGAATAGCATAGTCAAAGAGTTATATGACAATGCTTTGGCCTGGGATTCTGAGTTCAACTATTTTGGTAAGACATTTTTACCGTCAGAGACAGATATTTCTCGTATCACTACAAATCAATTAAAAAAATTATTCTCTGATGAAAACAGCGATAGGAAAAATAGTATTTCTTCGTTGGGGTCATCCAACTTCAGAGAATCCAAAAACATTATAGATAGAGGATCGGAGCAAGAACATGAAATGGAAGAGGAAGAAGGAAAAGAAAAACGAGAACATCGTGAAGATAAACCAAATACAGTACTGGGGGACAAAATATCCCTGCCAAAACCAGATTTTAGCACAACCTTCGCAATTGATACTGATTCAGCAGATACTCAAACAATAGACAATCAAACAACTCATACTCTTTACAAGGCACATATGCCATCACCATTAGTCAATCCAAATAACACCATAGATGGTCGTTCTTATTCTAACCCATCCAAACATAATAATGTTACAAAGTTAGCCAATTTCTTCGACCAAATGCATTTGGATGCAATATCTAAGGAATTTGAGTTGCAACGAGAATTACAGCGTAGGAAGTTGAATATGACCAAGTATCTCGGTCTAAAACCACAATCGATATCACCGATAGTAGAAATTTATAAGGATGTCAACGATGCTGTCGATGAACCTTTACATGATATTACAAAGGATAACCTTGCCGATTATTTCATTAATCACAAAAATGGAATCCAATTGGGTGATAGGTCATCACCTACGCAGCAACTGAATCAAAATTTGGAGAACGAATTAGAAAATTCGATATCTCAATGGGGTCAGCATCTCTTAAAGAAAGATGATATGTTAAAAGCAAAGGATGGAGATCATGTAATTGAGTTTGCGGACAAAGTGACTGATAGTGCAACTGCTGAACCTTTACCTCCTGTTACGACTCCTACAATTGTAGTCAAAGATGATTCTACGCCAGCTCCCGAAAAGAATTTATTAATGAAAGCACTAACAAATTTTTGGGCTGATAGGTCATCATCCCTATGGAATCCATTATCATACCCTACCTCTTCTACAGAACATGTATTTTCTGACAACAATGTTATTATTCGTGAGGACGAACCAAGTTCACTTATTGCATTTTGCTTGAACACAAGAGATTATAGAACAAAAATCAATAAGATGGAGAGTCAACATAAACAGAAACTTGGTGATGATGCGGTTTTAGCAGAATTGCAAACTAATCACACGAATGACGAAAAGGTTTTAGAGGCCCTTGGAAAGGAAGTATCAGACAAAGAGTCTACCTCTAGAGTGACCACAGATGGTTTAATTACAACAAATGGTGAGGATAATTCAAATGAAAATACCGCAACTCCTTCAACTAGCCAACCCTTAGATAATGAATCAGAAACATTAGAGTCATTCATGACTAAGAAAACAGCTGTTCATTTGAGGTATCAATTTGAAGATGAATTGACTGTTATGTCATGTAAAATTTTCTTTACGGAACATTTTGATGCGTTCAGAAGAATATGTAATTGTGGGGATAATTTCATTCAAAGTTTATCAAGATGTGTTAAATGGGATTCAAGTGGGGGTAAAAGTGGTAGTGGATTTTTAAAGACCCTTGATGATAGATTTGTGATAAAGGAGTTATCTCATTCTGAATTGGATGCGTTTATTAAATTTGCTCCAAGCTATTTTGAATATATGGCTCAAGCGATGTTCCATGATTTGCCGACCTCGTTGGCTAAAGTATTTGGGTTCTATCAAATTCAAGTGAAAAATTCTCTGTCTGGTGCAAAGAGTTATAAAATGGATGTTATTATTATGGAAAATTTATTCTATGAAAAGAAAACAAGTAGAATATTTGATCTTAAAGGGTCCATGAGAAATAGACACGTTGAACAGACGGGCAAAGAAAATGAAGTTTTACTTGATGAAAATATGGTTGAGTATATATATGAATCACCCATTCATGTTCGAGAATATGATAAAAAATTATTAAGAGCGTCTTTATGGAATGACACGCTATTCTTAGCTAAGATGAACGTCATGGATTATTCTCTGGTGATAGGGATTGATAATGATAATTACACGTTGGTCGTAGGGATCATTGATTTCATTAGAACGTTCACGTGGGACAAAAAACTGGAGAGTTGGGTCAAGGAGAAAGGTTTAGTTGGTGTTGGAAGTAGTAGCATTGTTAAACAGCCAACGGTGGTTACTCCAAGGCAATATAAGAACCGTTTTAGAGAGGCCATGGAGAGATATATTTTAATGGTGCCTGATCCATGGTTTCAAGAGACAAATTAAACTAATGGTTTATTAATTTGTTACAATGGTTAGAACATTCTTAACCATATAATTCTTAATTAACATTATAAGGGTATATATGCGTGTGTGTGTGTTATAAATATTATGCAACAAATTTAGTCATACGTCTAGGCAAGTTGTTGCATAGGAACAATAACGCGTACAAATTGTTTTACATCTTCACAGATTTAAAGATATTTTTTGTTTTTTATGTCTAAGCGTGGTCCCATGGGGGTTATTCAAAAAGGGATATTCAAAGCACATTAAAGTAAGAACAGCCGTTATAGATTAACGTAATGAAGTAAGTGAGAAGAAAATGATGTAACTATTAAAAAAACGTTATTCCAATATATATATATATATATATATTTATCTATCCAAAAATATTTGTTCTTGTGCAATAAACTTTTATTGTTCTGATGGGCTCTGAAGTTAGAAAACATTCCAGATATATCAGTTTCAATCAAACAGGAACGAGTATCTGTTTAGTGAACGACGACAATTGTGGTTTCAAAATCATCAATGCTGATACTTTGGATACGCAATATAGTGATCCCAAGGGATCATACTCTCAAGTGCAGCTGTATTTTGAATCGTCGTTGGTTGTTTTAGTCGGATTAGGAGAAGATATAAAATTTTCACCAAGAGAATTGAAACTATTCAATATTGAAACCTCTCGAATGATATGTCATTTATTATATTCGGATACAATAACTAATGTGCAAGTGAATAAAGATCGAATGGTAGTATCGCTAACGAATGAAATATACATTTATAATTTGACAAACATGAAATTGTTGCATATTATTAAGAACCTTCGTAAATTGAATGGATTAATTTCAGTATCCATGGGTACACCATATTCCAATCTATTAATATATCCAACATATTCCACTCGTCGAAAGAGAAGAAACAGTGGTCGGAAACTATCTAATAGCAGTGGGAAGAGTACGTTTGAACCACCCGTAACAGAGAGTAATTTGATAGGAGGTGAAACAGGGGTAATAGATGATAACGAAGATGACTATGATGATGAAGATGAAGTAATGAAGGAAGGAGATATAATAGTATTTGATATGATGTTATTACGACCATTAATGGTCATTGAAGCTCATGAGAATGGAATACAATGTATAACTATGAATGAAAATGGTTCATTAATTGCTACAGCGTCTAAATTAGGTACAATTATTAGAATTTTTAATACAATGAATGGACAAAAGATAAAAGAATTCCGTCGTGGTAGTTATAGAAGTACAATACAAAGTATGAAATTTTCTCAAGGAAATAATTTTTTGGTAGTGATTAGTAGTAGTAATACTATTCATATATTTGAATTACAACCATACGATATCAATATGTTACAAGAATCTGAAGTGAATAGCAATATAAGTGTTAAAGAGACAAATGAGCAAGATCATATTGTATTAGATACTATACCAAGTTCGACATCTACTAGTAGCATTAGTAAAAAAAATAAAAAGACTTCAATGTCACGATTAATTAAGAAATCCTCTAAAAAACTAACTCGAGAAGCTAATAAACGATTTAATCAATTATTTATTGGAGATAATATAGACAATAAAGATAGGATTAAGATTATTACAGAAAGACATTTTGCATGGTGTAAATTTCAAATAGATAAAATTAAAGAACGTGGAAATTCTAGTGTAATTGATATTGATTCCAGACCTATCATATTAAACAAATCACAACTGATACAGTTGCAAAACACAACCAATATGTCTAATAAAGTTCCGATTACGGAAACTGCAGATAACAATAGCAATAGTAATAACAAGAATGAAGATGAATGTGAAGATGACGATGGTGATGGAGATAAGACATCATTGATATATTTGAGAATCAAGATATTAACATCTGATGGTAACCTTTATACATATTTATTAGATCCGATCAATGGTGGAGAATGTATTTTACAATCTCAATTATATCTGTTACATTAATTAACTAAATAAATAATAACTAATACAAACTGGATAAATAAGCCATTATTGATTGTTTTGTCCCTGTACGATAGATTAAAGAAGAGTGTACATATGACCTTTTCCGCGCCTTCATTAAGCAATGTAGTTAGAAAGTGTGTCAGAACTAACCGCCGAGCTAATTGTTTTGAACAACTGAACCCCTAGCCCCTAATCCCTCACTCATAAAATCTTAAATACTGCCAGCCGGAGATAGCCTGACCAGAGCCACAGAAGAATCTCGTCGTAGTGTCAATACTATATAATAATGCTGTTGGCAGTGGACGGAGATAACCCAAGACCTTGAATATACAGATTGAAATATCTCATCACGTTTCATTGAGCAGTTGAAGAATAACGTGGGATAAACGATAAGATAACCTCAATATCCCACTATAATAATAAACTATTGTTGGTTTTGACGAACACTTAGCGCAGGGGCCCGGGGGATATGCACAGCTCTTTCTGGGGTCTTTGCATTGTATTGTATTTAAATTGCTGCAACTGCTGGTTATATCAGTGCCTCTTCATCCCCGGATTTAATTTCTGGATTTGTAGTTTGTTTGTACGTGGTTTGCTCTCCCAGGTTATTGTGAATCGGGAAACTCGGATAAAATTGGCCGAATGTCCGAGAATTTTTCTGGGAAAAGTGAGCGTCAGACGAAACACTGAGAATATTGAGAATATGGTTCAGAAAGGGCTGGAGAAGTACATGAAAGAGGGTGAATAAAAACTAATAGTAGAGTGCAATATCTGTATGGCACTATTCATTATACATTAACCCCCATAATAACAATATTAACTACTAGCAACTGAACTTCAATCAATAAAATCATGGTTTATCGAACAAGGGATATAATGCTAGTAACTATTGATATAATATAATACAATATACTATACCATATAATGAAGCTATGACTACCGTTCCGAAGGAGTATATAATATACGCAGTTAGGTCAAGATATTATTGCTGTAAGTTGATCTAATGTTTCGTCTTTTTAGCTGTTGATTGTTCGATAGTCATTTTTTGACTTTACTGGAAATATATGCCTTGTTAATAACTCTTTTTTTGTTTTGTTTTGATATTGTTCTTAATTATCTCTTTTCTTCATTGTTGTAGATTATTTTATAGTTCAATTACTTGGTTTTGATTACTTTTGAATTCCTTCACTTTTTTTTTAACTGATGGATGCTCAGCCACACGCGTATAATTGGTAGTAAGTTATAATCAATCGCAATATAAAATATAAAACATTATTTAAAGCAATATATCCACACACCCCTCCTTCGAACATTCGTTGCTTTTTCATATCTCTTTTGGTGATTCATTGCAAATTTAGATACACAGCCCACTTTTAAACAGTTCATATAGATATATATTTATACATATATATATGAACGTTACCCTATATTATAAATTTAAAAAGTTAAAGAGATTACTTACCTGATACTAACCTGATCGTACATTAATCATACATCCAATAGTACAAACTAAAAACATATCAAAGATAGATAGATATATATATAACTATAATTTATTAAATGCAGTTTAATAATAAAGATCCGACTATTGATATTACAATTCAAAGTGGAAAAGATGGAGTCATCGTACTGAAAGGGCCACCAGAGAATGCAGCACCTGTGTTATTATCAGGTGTAATCACTTTAACAACATCGGAGACTGTGAAAGTGAAATCTGTGTCTCTGAGATTAACTGGTAGAATGAATTATAATGTACCGATAATACCAGCAAATCCTCAGATTGGGTTAAAAGTATTAACAGTAGATAAATGGTTATATCATCATAAATGGGATGATTTTAATATCGAATCATATTTTAAAAGTTTATATAAAAATTATCAATCAAAGACTCCCATTGTAGATTCAAAGAATTTAAGAGCAAATATTATTTCGGCTTATAATAGTAATGGGAAAATGAAAAGACCAAAATCAACTACTTCATTATTAACATTAAGAACTACAGGAAACAGTTCGAATAGTTCAATTAATAATAATAATGGTAATTCGGGAACATTACCATTTCAAAGAAGAAAATCACATACATTATTGAAAGGGAAGTATGAATTTCCATTCACATCCGTATTACCAGGTGATATTAATGAAACAATAGATGGATTACCAAATACAAATGTAAGTTATTATTTGGAAGCAATCATTGAACGATCTAATGGGAAATCAGATTTATATTGCAGAAAATACGTAAGAATTATTAGAACTATTACACCGGATATTCCAGAGATTTCTGAAACGATAAACGTTTCAGATACTTGGACAGATAGAATTTTTTATTCGATGTCAGTCGCTGCAAAGACTTTGGCTATTGGTTCAAAAATTCCGATAAACATATCTATTATTCCATTGAAAAGTGAAATTAAATTGGGAGCCATTAGAATATCTCTTTATGAAACCGCTGAATATTGTTATAAAGGGATACGTTCGAAAGTTGATCGTGTAGTAGCAAGGGTTAAATTGGAAAACCCAGAAAAGATGTTAGTGAAATTGATGCATGATGATAAGTTTCAAGAGAAATGGGAACTTGACGTACCTTTTAGAATCCCTGCAAATTTATCTAAATGTACTCAGGATTGTCAAATAGTTAGTGAAGTCAGAGTCACTCATAAATTCAAATTTTCTATTAATTTTACAAATCCAGATGGTCACGTATCAAGATTAAAAGCTAACATTCCAGTGACATTATTCATTTCTGAATTTATTCCCTTAAAAGTTAAAGGAATGAAATCAACTACAGATTTTACTTGCATAACAAAAGATATTAAAAAACAACATGCCACTGATGAACCAAAGGAAACAATATTTCAAGCAGGTCATGTTGGTTTAATATCTGCCCAATATGATAATGAATCAATATTACCTGTAAATGCATTAAATGATTTACTGTCCCCACCAGAATATGAAAATCATGTATTTGATAGAAGATTTTGTAACGATTTGGACGTAGATTCTGCATTGTTACCTCCACCTTCGGATATTGCACCAGATCTATTACCTTACGAAGCAGTTGACGATAAGTTCTTTCCAACGGATATATTAAGAGATATTGATATGGATTTATCTAATCATAGAAGAATGAGTGATGCATCGTGTCAGACTATGCCTGAAATGCAATTTTCAAGTTTAGATACTGCTATTGAAGATACTCAGGTTAATGAAACGAACATTCAACAACAGAACCAAAATGAAATTATGTCAAACGTGGGGAATTATACATTATGTAGCACAAACAGTATTCACTCCTACAGCCATTCAAATTTACAAGTCGATAATATTCCAAGTAATAAAACAAATATGAATCGATCAGAAACACATAATCCACCTCCACCATCATATATGGAAGAAGATCACACTATGCAAAGAGCAAGTGTGAATACAATTGTACAAGAGCATCACCCAAGGAGGTTTAGATCAAGTTCATTGGCACATTATTTGCCTATAATGGAAGCTGTTCCAGGCCACACACCTAACTCATCTCAAGATATAGTAAGATCTGCACCACGTACTTTCAGAAATAGATCTTCGTCTACATCATCAAATAATCCATTTTTAAATGATATTAATATAACTGAGGCTATTGACATAGCCGTTGAAGAAACCATTCAACGATTTTCCCGAGTAGGTGACTCGAGTAATTCAAGAGATATATTTAATTTACCAACGTCAAATCAAATGTTCCACAACATTTCAGAACCATTTGAAAAGTTTAATAATCCCGATCGACTTAGATATTCTATCACTGACAATATGAACAGTACAAAAGTAGATTTGATTCCGAGAAGGGATCTATTGAGAGTTGAACCAAAATTGGATCAAGTGACTACAAGTTCTAACAATTGAAAATATTATTGATTCCAAGATAAAATTGAGAGATTGGCGAATTAATTTGTTGCTATATTTAAATTTGTTTTTCTATCGTTCTATTTAAAATTGTGTATGATATATATTTTCAAAACTAATATTTGAATGCTCCCATTTCACATTGGTTTATTTTCCACTCAATGTCCCGTATATTTAGTTTCTCAAATAAAAAGACGTCACAAATTTGCAATACAAATAAACGTGAAAGTAGTTATGTACATAAAAAACAATATAGCGCAAAATTTTAATATATAAAATTAGAACTTAATAACTGGATTAAATAATTGCACAATACTCCAGAAATTTCTAACTGTACTGTCATGTCCATAACTTCTGCATTATCTCATAGCACCACCAAATTATGTGCCCCACAGAATACGGTAGTCAATACACATTACGTCGGGAAAGATGAAGGTTCAGTAACATCCGAAACTGTAACAGATTCTTCATCAGACACCTCTGGTCCAATGAATCTCGATACTGTATATTCCTTTAATAATAAAAGTGGTAGATTGAATTGTGAATCGTATGAAGCCTTATTCGTTGGAGATTTAAATCCACAAATTACTGAGAGTCACTTGACTAAAATATTTTCCAAATATTCATCTTTTATCTCCTCTAAAATATGTATGAATAAATTTACTAAGTTATCATTGGGTCACGGATATTTAAATTTTGGAAACAAGAATGATGCTGAGTTAGCGATGGAAGAACTAAATTACACAAAAATTATGTCCAAAGAAATCAGGTTAATGCCATCTCTGAGAGATATAAAAAATAGGACTGCAATTGGGTCTACTGTATTGTTCTCGAATATTCCAGCTTGTGGGTTTAATCTAACTACTAGAATATTTTTTGAAACATTTCGAAAATTTGGTAAAATACTGTCATGTAAATTGGAAAATGAGAACAATAAGGCATATGTTACATACTTTAATGAAGTTGACGCTAAAAACGTTGTGCTCATGTTTGATGGTGTGTCATTAGAAGATACTAGACTAAGTTGTGCAATCTTTACAGAGAAATATTTAAGAAATCAAGAAGAAGTTCGCATAGAGACTCCAAGTACTAATTTTGAAAAGGAAGTCATTATCGATCCATCTACAGGAGGCATTTCAATCAAGGCTAGATCAGACACTAAAACTGGGAACCTTGCAACCATACCGGTTCATTCTTCTAAAGAGAACTTATCTTCAACGAATAGCAAATCGATAGAACCTCAATATACAATAGTTATCAAGAATTTTCCATTGGGTTTAACTGAAGGAATTCTTCCCGTTACGTTACGTTCTTATAAAGAACTTTCGATAACCCCAAAACTTAGACAGAAGCAGTGTTGGGTTTATGTCAGAAATATTTCAATTGAACAAAGAGACATTTTATTAAGAAATTTTCATAATGAGAAATTTTACAACAAAACGTTAATTGTGCAACATTTTGTAGTTAAAAAAAGATTTAGCCATTTAAAAACTAATAACAGCGTACTCCTAACTAACTTATGTATTCTTTGCAATAAGAACTTTTTGAAACAAATATGCTTACAAGAAGATATAAACTTTACAAATATCAAAATTGAATCTTATCAAAAGGAATCCATTACTTTCAATGGTGCAATTAACTGTAAAACCCACCAGGATGCCTTACAACTCATAAAATACATGAATAATCGATTAATAGGTGGTATGTTGGTCAGAGCTGAATTAAAAGAATGAATAACTTTTATGGTAATATAACGATCTAAAGTATTCTCACTCCGTATTCATGGTTCAATTAATAAAAAAGACAATTATTTTACATTTACATAGCGACAAAAATTAATTACTATATATTTCTTAAATAAATCTATACGAAAGAACATAATTTATAATGCTAATTGTCTTCTTAAAGATACGAATTACTTGACTTAAAATAATACATTATTTTTAGATGGCTTATACGAGGTGACTCAATATTATAAATATATTTATAAAATATGATTGGGGGTTTATAGAAATACAATTCTATAAATAAATTTCTCTATATTTTTATTTTTTATTTTTGGCTATTTATCAAATTGATAATACCCTGTGAATTTTTTAATTACTCATTATGAATTGCTTGTAAGCAATTTTATATTTTTTTTATTTTTAGATTGATAGTTATAAAACTTTCTCAATAAGTTTCAACTTGAAAAAGAAGTGAACAGAATTGCGAAAAACATCAATACATCATTGGTTTACTTTAGTAGAAAAAGGGTATAAAAGGAATTGATTCAATCCTATTATTGAAAATCATACTAACTCAACATAATTAGCTGGGAAAATACCTTCGCTACCATTAACTCTACCTGTCCACCAATCATCTTGAGAATCTGATTTCTTTAAGATTGTAATAACATCACCTTTTCTAAACGCCAAATCACCTGATTCTTCACCTTTAAAACTATACAATGCAACAGCCTTTGGTGTCTTTTCAGAACCTGTAGATGATACTGGAGCTTTAATATCTTGTCTTTCATCTGAGTAACGTCTCGACCCACCTGGACCTGAAGAGATACGGGATCTTGAGAACCTATTTGAAAGGTCATCAACGCCATGCTCATCTCTACGAGAATCACGACCGCCAGCACCACGACGATCATAAACATCATCTTCCCAACGTGATCTTGAATTATTGTAGCTGCTATTAGTATTATTAGTATTATTAGTATTATTTGCACTACCAGTTCTTCTATGACTAGCATAGTAATCATTAGCACCACTTGGGTCATCAAAGTCATTATCATCAAACCCATTATAACTTCCTCTTGTTCTTCCTCCCGTATTACCACCACCACTGGAACGGTATCTAGAATCGTTACGAGACACACCACCAGTTCTACTACTGTTTCTATTACGATCAGGAGATCCAAAATCGTCATAATCATCATCAAAGTCATCATCATCATAATATGAATTACTTCTACTTCTATTACCTCCTCTACCATTTCTTCTGGAGGACATATCTGAGAAAGAATCAGGAATATCGTTATAGAAACTACCTTCAGAATATTGATCGTCGTAGTTTTGAGTTCTATAATTGAATGCTCTTGATTCAAGGACACGGAATAAAGGATCTACCTCTGGTGGAGGTCTAATTCTACCTGATAAAATTTGTTTAGTTTTACAATTATCGCCATAAAATTTTCTATTAGCTTCTCTTCTTTCTACAATAACAGAACCTTCAACAGAGACACCAGCAAATAAACCTTTAGATTTAGAATAAGCAAAGACTGCAGAGACACCACCAGCAGAGGCAGAAGCCGCGGCTTCTGCGTTTCTACCTAATGGACCTGCTGAGACCGAGACATTACCACCCAGTGTAATAGTACCAAATTCAGAAAATGATTTGACTGCTTCCGGTGTATTTAAAATAAAGACGAAATCAGTTAATTCAATACCAACTAACCCACCTGCACCTGCACCAGCCATAGCAATGGCAGATGGAGCTGACCAAGTACCATCACCTAATCTTGCAACAATAACACCGGAACCTGCCCTCCCAGAGAATAAAAATCCTGCTTTTAGAACAGTAATTATAGCTAAACCTTTAGCTTTTTTCAATACATCAGGAGGAATGACTTGATCTGCACCAAATACTTGATTAGGTTTAACAAAACTCGATAAAATTTTTGCAGCTTTTCTATGTCAAAGAAAGGATGAATTGATTCTAAATGAATAATTATTATAGATTAATAAACATGCATATTTTAGAATTTATTCATATATGATAATTGGTAATGTTAGTAAAAAATAATAGAATAAAACAACAATAACAACCTTCAAATAGATGAAAAAAAGAACAGATATACGTATACATATACGTCCTACCTATTTCAATTTCTCTCAATGACTACAAATCAATCGTATTCACGTTAAATGAAAGAAATAAAAAAAAACATACTTGGTTTCTGAACCCAAACTTCTTGGGAGAGGATTATTGATACCCATTTTTATTATATTGATTCAAAATAATATAAAATATGTTAAACGAATAGAGGGAATCACCACTATTTATGCTTTTGTAAAATAAATTTAATAGTAAATTGAAGATTAGATTGAATTGAGTATACTTCAATATTGTAAACTCCAAACTTTTAGACACTAGTCTGTTTTCTTCTTGTTGTATCTTAAGTTATAGTATAATAGACTAAGCAAAGTGTCGCACTTAATATAATTCTTATTTGACTAGTTTAAAAGAAATTGCCACTTTCTCTCTTTTTCACTATGTGTGTAAATGTATATATTTTCACCCTAAAAGGTACTCAAATATAGCCGGCCTTCCCACGATTTCGATATTTTATTTCACTGCCAAACAAACAAACAATGACGCTTTATAAAGAGAAATAATATATTTCCGCAATATTAAGAAACGTTCCATTGAATAGATGCATGTATATCCGGCCCCTCACATCGTAACAAATGATACACATCTCCTTTTTTCTGTTCTTCTCTTGTTAACGCATTTTGCCGTTGAGCAGCAACGTAACGTTATACGACGCAGCACTGATTTCAATTGAAAAAAGGCGCAATAAAATATTCATAATGAAGGAAAGCGAGAACCAAAGTGACCGGTAGGTAACAAAAATGTTTCTTAGTTGAATTTCGGGATATATGGAGGGTTGCTTTGCCCGAAACGTATTCGGATAGAATGATTCTATATAGATAGAGATATTAACAACAAACAGAGGAAGACGAGAACAATGGCATTAATACATCATTAGATACGATGTATTTGTAAATATATATATATATACGGATAATGATTCTCTTATCAATATTATATTCTTAATCTTTATATATCTATTATTTTATTTATTTGTTTGCCTTCAGTAATGTCCAGAATTCATTGTTGACAAATTCCGCAATTGGTATCTTCTCTAATTGCACAGTTCTATTCTCACCATTTTCTTTCAAATAATACATATTGTCTAACTGTAAAGTTTGTGTAATATATTGCAATGCGTCTAAATAACGTACACCAACTTGTGCAATTCCATGTGCATCATCACTTAAGACAAACCTTCCTTGACAATGTTGTTTGACCAACTCACCAATATTAGAACTTGGATAAGGTTCTTCTAATCCTTTACGTAATGCCGATGTATTAATTTCAATGGCACCACCATATGAATTAATATATTTTAAATTTCTTATCACTAATTGTCTGATATCATCCCATGCATTTAAATATGTCATTGGTGTAATTGTAATGATATCCACATCATTATTGGATACATTACAATCACCTGTCTTAGAATTAACCTTTAAATCATTAGGCCAGAATAATTTAAATAGATCAAAATGACCAACTACTTTTGGTTGTAAAACTTGTAACATTTCATACTGTGATTCGAAATACGATATTAACATTTGTTTCAAGTTTTTATTTGAGAATGACGATAATGCATTATCCCAATTTTCCTGATCGAAATCAATTGGTATACCATTGATATGATGAACAGAACCAACACAAAATTTTAACAGATCTTTATGTTCTGAAAGTAATTTTTTAGCATATTGAATATGATTTGTATTACAAGCTTCAATTTCAGTACCTATTATAATATTTGGTTTACCTTCTTTATGTAAATCTTTAATTCTTTGTGCATGCTCAAGGAATTTTGAGAAATTCAATTGTAATTGTGCCAAAGAATCAGTACCGTTATTACTATCAGTATTGTCGATTTCCTCTGGATAAAGAAATTCGGATTCTATTCTTGGAATATGTTCAGTTAAACAATATGTATGAAATTTCATCTTTTCTACTTTGAGAATCATATCATCTAAAGGATCGACACCATGTGCAATATAGTCCCCAGAATGGGAATGATGAGAATGCATAATTTTGATGAGAATAGTGAAGAGGTTTTGACTAGATACACTAAATAAGTTCAATTGATAACAAAAATTACAGTTTCAATTACCTTATTCTCTATAGAATTTTTTTAATATCATCAAATGAAGTTGAACTTGCTCTTTTATTCTTTAAAATATGTCTTGCCTTTTTATTTATGCACTCTATCTTGAGTCATGCATTATTGTATCATCGCGAGAAAAATCAAAATATTTAATAATCTCTCTCGTTTGATTTAGATGACTCTGAATAGTACCGGTTATTTAAAAAAAAGAAAATAGATATATACATATAGAAAGGTCTTAAGATCGCAGTTTAAAAAAGAATGGAACAAATTTATGTTAAATTAATATAATTCATCGTATTTACAAGAAGGACAATTCTTGATGGGAAAATTGAATATTAGACATCTTCTATTTAACTGAACAAATTTTATTATATTATAAAATCAAGTTATAGTCGTCTGATCTTTTATACCTTATATATAAATATGTAAAGTAAATTATGGAAACAATTACATTGATTAATGAAATATTGTTCCATTTATATATGTTGAATTTCTCGTTGTCATGATTATAAACTCACTCGACGGTAGTATAACCAATCTATTATTAAGTTGTTGCGAGATGAACCTATCATTAGATCATAACCTTGGGCATTATCATTCTTATAATATATTTCCGACAATTCTAGTCAGCTGGATTTTTCTTTGACTGATCTTGAATTTTATCACACCTATAATTCAGCTCTTTTAAAAACCACCCTTCAAATTTGAAAAGCGTTANNNAAAAAAAAAAAAAAAACTAAAATCGCCAAATACATCATTAATAAAAAACTCTTAATTTACGTGTAATGAATCCAGAGAAGAAATATAGAAAAAAAGTACAAGATATCAATAAAAAAATAAGGCAAGTATGCATGCCCCAAGCATAATATGAAACCTAGAAATTCACAGAGATCGAAATCTGTACGACCTTCAAAAAAATACTCTCAATCTCGATTACAATTGGGAGGTCTCAATGGAAATAAATTGATTAAATGTGCCAAATGTGAGATGGCCTACTCCCCTACCAATATTGAAGATACGACGGCTCATCGAGCATTTCATGACACGTATTTGAAAGGTAGAAAATGGTCCCAGAATTGGGGTTCTGTAGTCTCTATACCGACAAATTCAATGACACCGCCACCTTCACAGCACTCATCCAATGAACGAATAGTAATGATTAGACCCGATCATCCAAAGGAAGTTAATGCAACGTTAGATGTGATGAATATAGTAAATAATGAATTGCATGCACCACACGATGAAAATTCATTCTGGGTAAATGAGGATGGTAAAGGTAAAGCGTTTCTATATATCAAGGACGATAGAGCCGTCAGTGCTATAACAATAGAACAACTGGATGAAGGTAGAGGTAAATGGATGTTATATGATTCAAAGAAATTAGTACCCAACGTGACACCGAAATTTGAACTTGGGATATCAAGGATATGGGTTTGCAAATCACAAAGAGGTAACAAAATTGCAATGAAATTATTGGAAACTGCAAGAAATAATATGCTACCGGGGAAATCCTATCAAAAATGGACAATCGCATGGAGCCAACCTACAAATGATGGTGGAAAATTAGCATCTAAATATAATGCAGTAACACATAAATCTGGGAAACTATTAATACCTTGTTACATATAGAATACATTGATTATATGAACAATCTAGTTTGTTCACATGAAACTTCAGAGGTATATATTTTTATATTTTATCTTGATAAGAAAAGTGAAGTATATCTTCAAAAGTCTCTCTAAAGAACGTTATAGAAAAAAAGCCTAGAAGATATAGAAGCCAACTTCTAAAATTTAATATATTGTGAAACTAATGTAAAGCAAACAGAAGCAAAAAACTATTTTCACTAGTTTCCAACATTTTTTAACTAAATAATATGAATATAATCTTTAGTATACATTTTATGTGTCATAATTCAATAACAACTCTAACCCTTTCCAGTATTACATTGACGATAATGAATTGGTTACTTCTTACATAATGTTGCACATTTTAAATATTTAAAAAAAAATCTCCAGGGGGCGAGTCGAACGCCCGATCTCAAGATATCTTGTAAAGATTACAGTCTTGCGCCTTAAACCAACTTGGCTACCTAGAGTACGATTTCTAAAAGTTTTAAAAAATGTTAGATTGTTCAAAACAGCAATATCTAAAATATTTTTTGAAATTCCTTTTTGTTGTTATTGAATTTGAGCTGAAGCAGACATACTGTGGTAGACTTATATTCGTTCATTATTAAAGGTGTTCGGTATAGAGGTGAATGGTGTAGCTTAAGTTTTAATGTTAGGTAAGCAAAATATAATTGTTATATTTCTCTTATATTTGTAAATGATTTTTTTATATTGTATATAATTTACAGAACGAATAGAATCTAACTCAGAATGTAAGTTCAGAATTATTTGTCTTTATATATGTTTTATTCTGATCTCAATTGAGGTTCGAATTATGTTTTGTTTTATAATGCGATTAACTTGTTTCATGTTGCCACATATTTTGTTTCATATTTTAACACACTTCATGATAACTGTGCTTAAAGGTAGTTCTTTACCTATTGAAATTAAGTGTTGTACATATTACTCTTAATTTCTGACAGTTCATTTGTTATAGGGACTATTTTATCTTTGTTCTACACACAAATAACATTAAATATAAATTATATGTCTTCACTTTGAATTGAATATTAAATGCAAAAACTAACAGTTTCAAAAACTGTGTATATTCTCGTAAAGAAAGAATAAATACACTCAAGTGCATAATGGTTGGTTTAATGCTTCATATGGTTAATGAAACTTTCTAGAAAGTATTACTTACGGTACATTCTGTATAATTTTTATCCATTTAATGCGTTATTATTTCATTGTATACCTAACATACGAACTATAATTTGAGAGAAGAAAAAATTGGGTTAATGGAGGTAATGACGCCTTACTTTACATATAGAAATCGACTAGAGGTTAAATAAAACATGATTTGACTATATTTTAGTGTAAAATAATCTATTAATTTTTGATTTCAGTTGATATATGACGTCTATCGATTAACTCAATTACACATTTGATCTAAAATAGAGTTTTAAATGAAGGTTATAAAATAAACACTACTTTAACTTTGGTGATTTAAGCACACATATATGTTCTTATCAATTATTTTGCCCTTCAGAAGATAAATCATCCAAAATCAACTCTTGGAACCTTCCTTTTCATTATATAAATGTTCTATACTCTGTCGTATATTATTATGCATATTTTGATCCTTTAACTTTTCTTTGATGTAGTTTGTTATATCAATTCTATCGGGACCGCCATCCAACATTTTATAATAATCCTTAAGCATCTTAGTTTCTATTAAGGCCGTTGTGGTACCTCTATTCTTAAATATTAAATTTTCGTCCTCCATAACCATTTTATTGACCATTAACTTTACATGTTCCTTTACTGAATCTTCAAATGTTATGGGATCCGTGGATCCAACATCCTTTTCTAACTGGTTTGACAATATATCTCTTTTCAGTTTATCTAAATAACCTTGTTTTTTAAACTGTTCAGCGAGTTCCTGAGCTTCTTGTTCATCGAACGTGACGGAATTATCCATTTTTTGACCCTGTATTGTATCTTACCCTCTTTATTTATGAACTTAGGATATTATGTTTGTGTATGTATACTGTTTAATACTGCTCTTATTTGGTTTTATTGGGAAAATTGACGAAAAATGAAATGACTTATTCATGGAAATAAAAAAAATGATGACAAAAGAACGGCATATTGATACAAATATATAAAACGTTATTTTATTCTGATTACCTATATAAATATTCAAGCTGACATATGTAACATGACATATTGCTAATCAGTTTAATGGAATCTAATGATTATTTATTGCATATTTGGACTGAAACTGTGGAGAACTTGTTCTTTGATGAGAAAAGTAGTAACTATTTTAACCATTTGAAAAAATTACGGTACATTAGCGTTCAACTAAACAACAAATACAAATTTGATGAATATATTTGGAATGTTGTGATAGATTCAATTTCATTAATTGTAAAACGGTATTCAAATAATCTAAATGCAGATAATTTGCAAGGCATCGAAAATTCCCTAGATATTTTCAATGTGTTTTTTGATCTAAAGAATGAAATTCTAATTTACTTCTCAAAGGATAAATCTATTTTGGATAATTCAACCAAGAAAATCGAAAAAATCTTTTGCACTAATTTAAATTTAAATATTTCCATGATCTGGAACGTAATTTTGTTAAAGATTTTGAATTATGATAATATATGCTCCACACATTCATCGTTGTTGAACTATACAAGGCTGATAACATATATAGAATCCCTCAAGTCTTCCAATCAAGAAGATGTAGCAGTAGTATCTGTTGAGGCTTTGGAACTCGCAATCAACAATATTATCAATTCCATGATTGAAAACAACGAAAACTGTGATAGCAGTTTTATTATAAAGATACTTAAAATACAGCAAATACGAGATAAAATTTATCACATATACCAAATAGATGGGGATGGAATACAACCCTATTTAATTAAATATTTAGAAAATGATCGAAATGAGAATGTATCATTAATTAACCTATTGAAAGATTCAAAATTGACAGATGAAACGCTCTCTATCTTATACCGGTTTTACCAAATTAGAAGAAATAGTAATCAATTTTTGGCCGATATGCTTAAGTATAGATCAGTGGAATTCGAAAATAATAACTGGAATGAACTGTTGAATAAAATTGATTTGTTCGATACGTTTGAAACAAAAATATCAAGCATGTACCATGAAAAATATAACAAACAGTTCGAAAAAGACACTTCCTTGGAAGTTTATAAGAATAAATTTAATTTCAAACATTCTCAAATGATATCTGTAATGAATAAGAATGATACGGAAGATCACCCAAACATTGCATCAAAAATTATCGATCAGTACAGACAAGCATTAAGAAATAATTTTAAAGCATCAATAGAGAATGCACAGCTTTTTTATGAGAGTCTATTAGTAGTCCTCGACAGTTATTATGACACTACTTTAGAGAGTGGATCAAAATGTGGCTTCAGAATAGATTTTATGAGTACAACGTATGCTTTATCGATGTTAGTATTAAATTATACCCCAGATTTGGAATTATTTATAAAATGTTATTACGCACCAAAATTATTAAAGAGAATGATCACTTATCAAAATATTTGGATTAGTGAATATAGTACACTCAATAGTTTTGATAGCATACTAATCGATATGTTACCAAATAAGATTGGCCGACCTCTTATAAATATGATAACTCAATTTGTACAAACATTTAAAAAGCCAGAGCCTTTGGAAGATACTAATTGTGAATTTTATGGAACATATCTTAAAGGAGCCGAATATTCGTTTTCTTTGCCAACCACAAAGCCATTGTTTCCTGACTGCCATCTCAAGAGTAAGTGGGAAAAAATCTTATCTGGACCAGAAGGTATGAGTTCTGGTAAGTCATTAGACCAAAGCATACATATTATAGAAATGAGTAGCCCATTTTTAGATACTATTGGAAACCCAGTAACTTTGCTGTTACCGATAAATTTGGCTTCAATTCTTTTTTGCTTTAATAAAGTGGACGTTCGTGATATTAGTGATATCAAGAGATTGCTGAACGTTGAGAGATCTGAGGAAAACCAGATTGTTTTTGGTTTAAAGGCTTTATTAAAACAGAAACTATTACTCAAAAAAAATTCCACTTTTAAGTTAAATATAGTTGATATTCCCGTCGAATCTTTAGATAAAGACGGAATTTTGCGAATTCTATAACATTATTTTTTTTCAATGCAACAAATGTCTTAATATTAACTATTACGTATATAAGTTTCCATTCTATAACCTTTAGAAGTCATACGATAGCCTTTTATTTATTTATTTAATTTAATTACCTAAGAGTTCAGATAATTAATTATTCTGGTTCAAATGCCTGATCCGCAACATCTAACAATACCTCCATCGAAGCAATTTGATAGTTTACGTCGTTGGGTTCTTCTTCGTTGATAGGTACAACAGTTGGACCCCATATAATACATACTGCCTTTTGGTTCATTCTATTAGATTCTTCATTAGCAATAACTCTTTTCAGATGAAATAACAAAGAACGTAATGTCCAATATTGGGCATCAGGTAACTTATATAACAAGTTATGCATATAGTTCTTTCTTGTTTTGGGATCCTCTATGGATATACATGTTTTTAGTTCTGGTCCTATGACACTGGGCACCAGAGGATCTGGTAACAAAGAGAAAAATGATTTTAATAATGATCCAACCAAATATATATCAGAATCCGAATGGTTATTTCCTGGAAGAATCATGGATATATTTGAAGGATCCTTATCAATCTCCTCTTTTAATTTACTAACATCCAATACATTGGCAGATTTTCTATAAATACCCTCTAATTGTAAACCATATTTATCAATTACGAATATGCATTGACGAACAATAGCTGGTACCATATCTTGTTCATATTCAATTAAATTTTCTAAAGGTACACCGAAAGTTTTGAAATTATTTTGAACACCAGCTGGCATTCTTCCATCTGTCTGTACATAGGATACTGGTCTATCAGAGTCCGCTGTATCTACTGATGCTAATGTGTTAGATATACTTGGCATTCTTGTATCACCTTTACCTGGATCTAACGAGGGGAAGTTACCGCTCTTGCCACCAGTCATGTTGCTGTTTACAATGTTTGTTTGTTTATCATTATTATTAAATGTATCTATAGATTTACGCGGCTGTTGAGGTTGATTCAATGGAACAAATGATCTTGACTTTGTACTTGATAATTGAGAAGTCCCCATAGGTGTTGCAGTTGTATATTTACTAGAAGAGCTGGATGCAATTATAGGTGTTCCAAAATTAGTAGATGGGCTATGTTGGAATGGTGATTCATTATGTGTCGAAAGAATTCTCTTTGGAATTGAATTTCTTGCTGGGTCAACGGCAAATTTTGGTGGGGCTTTATTAACGCTATTCCTACGTTTCATCATCGATGGATGTTTTTTATACTCGACAGGTATTAAATTTTTGTTTAATAATAACCCACTTTTGCTGGAAGAATTATATTTATTTAAGAAATTGTAAAGATCTTGTTCATTTTTAACTGAATTAGCAATACCTTTCATAGAATTATGTGGTTTATCAAATGGACTCACTGTTACACCACTATTAAGAATTAAGTTTTCGGTCCAAATAGTATATTTTTGTAGTTGAATAGCCATTGCAGTGTCTAGTTCCAATATTAGATCCTTTAATTGCTGTACGATTCTTGGTCTTTCTCTAGTTAAGAAATTATGTCTTAAGGAATCTGAATGGTCAACACGTTGTTTGTATTCTAGATCGGCGCTATCTATCTTTCGTAACAAATCTTCTTCTTGTTCTTTTGTTGTTCTAGAACCTCTTAAAGTTAGTTTTGTCTTTGAAGGATCCGCCATTCTTACCTTTTCATAATCCTGACAAAGAGAGATATAACGACTTTGTGCCTTTTCAGCAGCATGGATAGCATCCACAACGTCTTTTTCTAGACGTCTACTATTTTCCTTTACACTTTTTCTCATTTTTGTAATAGTTAACAATAGAGCACTTATTTCATCATACATTTTCTGTAATGCAGTTAAATAACTCTGTTTCACCTTAGCAAGTTTCCCATCAAACTCCAGGATTTCATGAATCATTTTTCTCAAAGAGGACACACCATTTGTAGTTGTGAAGAAATGTTTATATTGTTTTGATAACTCTTCTGTATGTTCTTCTTCGAATAAATATTTTTTACGCAGAAATTTCGTGAATTCTTCGCATGTCAATAATGATTGTTTTAATCTTGTCAATAGAGCATTAATTGCAATATCGGAATTCATAACTTTTTGAATCTCTGGTGCATCTAATAAAGTTCTTTGATTTTCTGTGTTTATGTTATTCGATGTCTTATTACTTTGATCATCTTTAATAGGTTTATAGGTAAAGGTTTCTTCGTCACCAGATAAAGATATATCTCCTAGTGAAGCACTGAGACTATCACCGGACATAATTAAAATTGTAGATTGATCGGGTATTGATCTTTAAATATGTTCTTTACTTAACTTTATTTTTGCTTTTTAAACAAAGGAAGTGGATAGTTTTGCCCTTGTTCTTTTAATAATATTTAAATTGGGTTTGTGAAAGAATAGTTTTCTTCAAATTCAAATGTCCTTATAGTTCAATAAAGAAGCAAAGTTAACTGAAATAAATCCTTGGAGGTTCTTATTGTGGTTTCCCTTTAAGTTTAATCTCTTCTACTTTGTTAACAACGAAAATATTAATCTGTTTTCTTTAGAATCAAAGTTTCTTTCTTTTTCCATCGCCCAAAAACCGCAAAATGTTCAGTACTCATAACAATATATCAGTATATAATAATAACAATATAGTAATATAGTATTTTACACGTCGTTTGCCAAATTGATTTTGATCTCGCCCTCTAGGTAAATACAAAAATCCCACGGCTCAATCTGAGGAAAGCGAAACCATTTCAATTCAATATAGAAAATTTTGACAATTCACGCTTCTAAGTGGCTTTCTAGCACGTGACGTATACGATATATTTAATAATTATTATAATAATGTATGTACATAAGGATTACATCTTTAAATCATTGTGGTACTTGAGGTTTTAATGCATACATCCTCACAGGATATAGTTCTTTGGGTAGACCCATTTGTCTATCTGTAGCGATCAATTTCAATCCACTCTTTTCAAACAATTCTTTAAACTTAGAATCACATCTTGTAACACTTGAATCTGTAGAATCAAAATCGTCTTCGTTTGATGGAGTATTATTCTCTTTGACAATGATAGTGCCGTTTGGTTGTAAGCCCTTTATGCATCTTTTGAAAAATTCTATCAATTTATCATCTGGTAAATGACCAACACACCATTGACACCAAATCAGCCAATATTTACCTTCTTCGGGGGTCCAATCCTGCATCCCAATTGGGTATATCTCTCCAATTTTACCTTGTGTCTTTAAATCAGCCAATTCGACTTCCATCTGCTTGCAGAAGGGCTCTACAGGTTCCACCAGGTCTACAATATCACATTGTTTAGACAACATATTCTTAGTGACTCTACCGATCCCAGCACCAATATCAGCACCATATTTCTTGTAATCGTTTGAGGCAGGCACCATTCTTGATTTCAATTTTCTTAAGAAATGCTGAGACCCTAAGACGTCCATTGTAGGTACCACGGTTTCTTCACCATAACCACCTAATACACCATTTACTGTGGCAGGTGTACTCGTCCAATATGAGATAGCATCATTGTAATTGATAAGAGAATCTGGTTTTTCTTCAATACTCATCCTGCTATATTGAAAATAATGTGTGTATCTGTTTTCAGTCCTAGTTTATAACGGCTGACCTCATCGATCTCAATTTTAATTCAAATATTACAATTACTGAAGAAATTATGTTTGAATCTATTATTTTTATTAAATTTTTCAGTATGAAGTACTACAGCCAAAAGAAACAGCGCGAATAACCAAAAAATTCATTACCTGTATTTCTCAATATAACGAATATAAAATATGAATATATGTATGAAAAGTAAGTATAATAATATTAGTATCATCGTATTAAAAGAATATTTATGTATTTATGAACAAGTATATGTGACATGAAGTTGTACTATCATATATATGTATATATAATTTTGTTTTCTATATCACCTCCCCCATGAATATATCCATGAAACAGTATCTCTAATCTGTTGATTCCATAAATCTTTAAACATTTCACTTTGTGATCTAATATTGAGATCTCTTGCGGTCTTATCCTTCAACATTTCAATTCTTTCTTGAAATACAGTCTCTACGTTACCTCTCTGTTCCACAACGTCTTGAACTTTATCATTAATTTGTTTCAACATGGATTTGTTATAAAAATAGCCATTTTCCCTAACAAAATACATATAGTATGATGTAGCAATGGCACCTGTCACAGCAGAGAACGAAAGAAATCTAACTACAACACCCATATTTTAATTTGTGTTTCAGATAAACTTGTTTTAGTTAGTGATACACTCCTAATCAATCGTATATATCCAATACCTATTACCACATATGTATTACACTAACTGTCTATTCTTAAACCAGTTATGTCCCTTGTCCGTAATATGCTCTTACCAAAAAATAACAAAATTCCTAGCCAATCGAGAAAAAATAAAATCTAAAAAAATAAATCCGAATCACGATCGGAATGTCTCATTCCAACAGCTGTTAACCCTAATGAAAACCCTAATACAACAGAAACAGAGTCAAATTTTTGAAAACAGCGACAGAGAGAAATGACAGACCACAAGGTATCATCGGTAGGTGCGGCGATCTATTTCCGCAGTGAGGCATCATTTCTTCACAGGCTGGAAAAACACACTTGTGCACAAGAAAACCGGTTGAACATATCGAATATAGGTGGATGAGGAAAGGGAAGAGAGTGATTGATTGATGAGAAGAGTGTTGACCTTATTGTTCTTAGTTGAACTTTTAATTGACTCAATTAATCGATATCAATGTCGTATCAGTGTTTGGAGAGATCAAGAAAAGATTTGTGGTACAGAGATAACAATCGATTGTTATTGTTTCTCTTGAAATATTAAAGTTATATCTTTCCTTTTTTTTAACATTATTAGATATATCTTATATGACTTATATAAAGGGCTGTCGTTAAATAACTATTTTATTTTTTTAGCAAAAATATTAGCATTCTTATTAGGACTCCACAGAAGAGAGAAAGAAAGAAACTAAAAAAGAGGCCACAGCAATAAGTTATGTTTACTAAAATTGTCAGAACTGCGCCTGTGCCATCTTCAAGACTAGCAATTGCTAGATCTCTAAGAAATGGTCTCGCAACTAAAGCCACACCAACTGCAGATCAAATTTTGATATCTAAACATGTTCAAGATATTGATCCAGAAATGCATGAAATATTAACTAATGAAAAACAAAGACAAAAACATTCAATTACCTTAATTCCATCTGAAAATTTTACTTCCAAATCTGTAATGGATTTATTAGGTTCGGAATTTCAAAATAAATACTCTGAAGGTTATCCTGGAGCTCGTTATTATGGTGGTAATCAATTTATTGATCAAATGGAATCCTTATGTCAGAAACGTGCTTTGGATTTATATAAATTAGATCCTGCCAAATGGGGAGTTAATGTTCAACCATTAAGTGGTGCACCAGCTAACCTTTATACTTATTCTGCCATTATGAACGTTGGAGACAGATTAATGGGATTAGATTTACCTCATGGTGGTCATTTGTCTCATGGTTATAGATTAAACTCAGGTACGCCAATTTCTTTCATCTCTAAATATTTCCAAAGTATGCCTTATAGATTGGATTTAGAGACTGGATTAATTGATTATGATCAATTATCTTTAACCTCTAAATTATTTAGACCAAAAGTTATCGTTGCTGGTACTTCTGCTTACTCAAGATTAATCGATTATGAGAGATTTGCAGAAATTTCCAAAGATTGCGGTGCTTACTTGATGAGTGATATGGCTCATATTTCTGGTCTTGTCGCAGCAGGTATTATTCCATCTCCATTTGATCATTCAGATATTGTTACCACTACGACCCATAAATCTTTAAGAGGTCCAAGAGGTGCAATGATCTTTTATAGAAAAGGTGTTAAGAAGGTCGTTAAGGGTAAAGAAGTCATGTACGATTTGGATAAGAAAATCAATTTCTCTGTATTCCCAGGTCATCAAGGTGGTCCACATAATCATACTATCTCTGCACTTTCTGTAGCTTTGAAACAAGCAACAACACCAGAATTTATTAAATATCAAAAACAAATCGTATCCAATTCAAAAAGTTTTGCTAAGGCATTAGAAAAGAATGGATTCCAGATGGTCTCTGGAGGTACCGATAATCATTTGATCTTAATTGATCTAAGAGAGACAGGTATTGATGGTGCTCGTTTAGAAACTTTGTTGCAAGAGGTTAACATTGCTGCCAACAAGAATACAATTCCAAGTGATAAATCTGCAATGTTCCCATCTGGTTTAAGAGTAGGTACACCAGCTATGACCACTAGAGGTTTTACTGATGAAGATTTTGAAAGAGTTGCTGATTATATTGGTCAAGCAGTTACTTTAGCTAAACAATTGAGGGCTAACGAGAGTCCAGATAATAAAGATCATAGATCAAGATTGAATAATTTCACGACCTTGTGTAAGGAATCTCCAGAGGTACAAAATTTGAGTAAAGAAATATATGATTGGGCTGGCTCGTTCCCTGTCCCAGGTGAATTGTGAATTCATTGAATGGTTACATATGTATTCATATATATTATTTTATACAACTATCACGATGGAAAGAAATATGTTATTTTCAGTTTAACAATTACAAGAACTTATATCGATATCGTAAAACTTTTTGTCTATTGGAATGATTTTATTATCGACTGTTTCGCTTTGTTTTATAAACATTTCTTCTGGCAGATCACTAATCGCACCATCAAATAACTCGTAGATACCATCTCCAGTTTTTGCGCTAACCACAAAGAACTTATCACTTCGACTTTCCTTTAATTCTTCAGGTTGTTGATATTCATCTAACAAATCAGCTTTATTTGCAGCAAGGATTATCCTTAACGATGATAGTTTTCTGTCTGTATCTATGTAAGAATTCAATTCATCAATCCAATTTTCCGCATGTGATAAACTTATGGGGCTCGTCACATCGTATACTATAATGGCAACATCTGTACCTCTATAATACATTGGGGTCAAGGATCTATATCGTTCTTGTCCAGCAGTATCCCATATCTCTAATGTCACATCTTTTTCATCATCGAGTTGAATATTCTTAGTCATAAATGCTGCACCAATAGTAGCATTACTCGTTTGAAATTTACCAACAATATACCTCATCAGTAAGGAAGATTTCCCTACAGAAGAATCACCTAGAAGGACGACCTTCAAATTACAATGTTTTTTCCCATTTCTATTCTCTATTGGATTGGTCATAACATAAGTATCTGATCTGTGCTCTATTATCAATACTAATCATAAACTTCCTTTAGCAGGATACTAACTTCCACGGTAAAGACTAAGTGGAACCCATAAAACGGACTGAGAATAACTGCTAACAATTGCCGATAATTATGAAGCCATTATCATCAACCTTAAAATATGTAAACCGTTGCCTTTTTTGCCCTTTGGCACATCGGAAGCTGAATCATTACGTTTGTTGTGAAAGCATCATCCTTCACCGGGTTGCCTTTCTCCTGAGATGCCCTCTCTCATTAATTTTTCCCTTTTGGTATATCACACAAAAATTAATTAATTAACGTGACGCGTTAGGTAAAGTAATTAAATTTAAAATTTGTGCGCCTATTCGTTTTTCATTTGGCAGTTTTTTTTTCCTGAAGCCTACTAGGTGTGAGATGGAGAGCTGTGCTAAACCAGCAGATGAACAGGAAGAGATCAAAATTTAATTTATTGTTTCAACGATCGATGACTATGGGACATAATCCGTAACAAAAATAGTTATGTAAAACTTTTAAGACTGAACTTATATTCACATATTTAAGATAAATCAGTTACTATTTATATTGTTTTTCGTCTTTTAGTTTAACTTAATAAACATAACTTCTTCTAACGTTTTAAGGGCCGACAAGTGCACCAATCACATATTTATAGACGTAGTTATGCCTAAAAGAGTTACTAAATTACCCCTACCTGCAGAAAGGCGAATATTACGATCTTCAAAATCAAATACTATACAGATCACTCAGCCCATTAAAAAAAATAAAAGAGCGTTGGATGCATTGGACAAGAAATTATCGCAAATTTCAACCAATAAGAAAAATGGATCCCCAACACCAGGTAACACCGTTCCTTGGTTATTAAATACTAAACAATATACGATGGATACGAATACATCGGATGTACAAGGTAAATCACCAATTTTGCCTGTTGGATTACACATTCCAATACGATCGGAAAATGAGACATCTCCAACTCCAAAAAGACGTAAGAGATCGATCAGAACTGATAATAATATAATTAATAATAATAAAACTATTAAAAATAGGAAGGTACCATTGTCTAAACAATCAGACATTTCTGATGAAGTTTCATCAATTGGATTGTCAGTAGGTGATATAATGGAATCTGATCTTATTCAATCTTCGCCAATTCGAAAATCTGTTGCATTCTCAAATAATATTGAAGAGCTAGATACCATACTAGATAAAATAAAATCATCACCTATTCAAAGTTCTTCAAAAAAACCTAATAAATCAATTCTAAGAAATAAAAATGATAAACAAATAACAAATACTCTATTAATTCCTGATCTGCAAAACGATGGAACTCCTGAGAAAACATTATTTGTTCAGGGACGTATTTTAGCACATGGTGAATATTGGTCTAGTGGAGAAGTACATCAACTCACTAATAAAGATAGTATTATAGAATTTAAAAATATAATAAACAGTGGTTTGATAAAGTTGGAAAATGATGTTGGAAAGAAATTTGAAATTTATGCCACATTTAATAATATATTGCCGGACAATAATAAATATGCTATAGGTAGTAACAATACACTTCATAGTAATACTGACCTACTCAAACTAAACTTTATCAGAAGTGTTCTCCCAAAGATTATTGATGTATCCATCAGTGATCTAGTAGATTTACAACCGGAAATAATTACGGTTTCTGAAAATAAAGATGCTTTTAGTATAAGAACTTATATTCAAATTGTTAAAGTTCTTAGTTTTATTCTTTCAAATGCAATATTAGTACACTCCTTACCAAATAACCCACATATTTTGGAAAGAATTAGCCTCGTCTATAAAGCGTCTATTGAGGCCTTGGAAAATCAACAGTGCTCCAAACAACTTATTATTGCATACATAAATTTTTTAAAAGATGAACTCTTTGGGGAAAAGCATTTAGGTCCAAAACAAACAGAACATATTGTTGGTGTCATAGTAAAAATACGAGAACTGAAAAGTATGAGTTTAGTTGTGGAGAAATTGAGCTTAATTAAATGTCTGTTAAGGAAATATAGGTATGCCATGTTAAAGGATATTATGGTATGGTTGCCTGGTGAAGTAATTCCACGTCTGCTTCTTCATAACATAGAACATGGATGGACAATAACGGATTGTGCTATATCTATCTTGTTGGACTTGTTAAACGTATATCGTGAACTAAATTTTAACCACACTCAAGTATATTTGTGCATTGAACTGAAAGATATATCTATGGTTGTCCCAAAGAAATTTATTGAACCGTTACAAGCCTTAATGAAAGTACCTGCCGGTCAGAATCTTACTTTGGGAGCAATTCTAAGAAATCATATTAACATCCTATCAACTCATGGAAACTTCAAAGTGGCGAATGACATATGGTTAGCTACTGTTGGTTTATTATATAACAGAGATAATGTAGGTTATTTGTTAGACCCATTGAATAAAGTTGCTAGTGAGTGGATTGATTTAAATAGAAAATGTTTCAAAAATTCAGATTCGGTCAATAGATTACATGCTCTCAAAGTATGGCGCGTAATAATACACAGCATTTATTCGAGATTATGGTATGATACTGTTTCTCATAAAGAAATAAAATCCATAAACAAATTACTTCAAGTACCGTTTGATATGGCACTGACAACCCAATTAGATAAATCATCGACACAAGGTTTATTATTTTTGTTGAATATGATGTCGTTTGCTACTTCAAGATTGTCGTATAATTTAAAATTTAGCAAGGGTACCCATTTTTCCAAATGGTTCAAGACGCTACAAGAAATTTATTTGAAATTATTCAACTCTTCGAATAAGCGTTTGTGCATTGCTGTTGTAAAATCAATGTTCAGGTTATTTGATATGGATTGTAAACTAGATCGTGCGATAAACACATCATGTAACGATAAAGACTCTGATCTATCCGGTTCTGAGATGATGTTAACGATATCTGGTATTTCATTATCAGATATTTCTTGTATTGATACGCCATGCTCGCAAGATATTATTTATGAGTTTTCCAATTCATTAAAAGAAAATGTTGAACGACTAATTAAATTTTCTGATACAAATGATAATGAAAATGACTCTGTTGATTTCCCTATGATACTCTTCGATATTTCATTATTTCGTGAGCTATCTCAAATTTTAATAACATACTATTCACAAAATGCAGATTCATTGCTGAACCCATTGGATTTTATCTTTCTTCCAACTGCCTTAGTTTCCATTTTTTCTGATGTTTTATTCTATGACACCTCGTCAGATTATCTCACAATTTTTTTGTTACAACTAGAACACGTTTACCCTTTCGATAGAAAAAACCTCATATTGGAGCTACTCTTCAAAGAGATGTTTAAGACATTTTCAACAAGCAAAAATGTTTATTTGGTGATACATGCATTCTTAAACATTGAGAATGATAGTTTACAAAGTTATATTCACCAAATCCTGGGACGATTATCACCAACGTCAGAATTGACCTTAACCCAAGTATATATGATTCTAAAGATCATGGCGATGTTTCCTAACTCCCAGTTACTTGAGAAATTTTATTTCATTATATTTGAAGAACGGTACGATTTATTAGTAGGGAATTACAATTTTTTAAATATTTTACGAATGGAAAGTTGGAGTTTGAATCAAATTATTAAATTTACTATGAATTACTACGTCCATAAAGGAATGGGACTGAATAGCTATATATTTAATATATTGCAAGACTTGATTAAGAGAGAATCAAATATTTTTTATTACATTGCACCAATCATGGAAAAGAACGGAGATATGAGTAAAATAAAAATATTGGTCAATGATAATCCTCAATTGATTAATAACTCTCTATTCTTTGAAATGCCATTTTTTACGGAAGTTCTTTCCAAAGGTCTTGAAAAGAAACTTATCAAGAACCTTCATAGTTATCCTAAATTGAAACAAATAAATCTAATGAAAAAGTTCATAATCAAAATTCCACAGATATTCCTTAGTAGAGGTAGTCCTACAATTCTCGATTTTGTTAAATTCAGCGGTCCTTTATCAGGAGAACGAAAAAGTCTGGCAATAGAAATATTAAAAGCATGTTATAAATATCAGATGCTCCCTCTTGCCAACAATGTCATGTATATTTTACTTTCGAATGATAATGTTACTGTTGTAGAAGATTTTCTTTCTGGAAATAATGTTTTTAATCACAAAATATTAGAAGATAAAATATTAGTTAAACTGGCATCTAAGTCTTATAGGTTTAAGAAAGATCTATTGGCAGTTATTAAAAATGAATTCAGAATCAGAACGGATACACCATTACTGTTATTATTGTATTTCATTATTGAGGAAAATGATAAGCTTCTAATTATGTCTTGTATCAAGGAAATATTTTTATCCTTTATAGATGCCCCAACCAGATTAATTTCAGTAGACAAGCAAATGATTGAAGATATATTCCATAAGGTGGTTGAACTTGTTTTGTTCAACGATGACGATTCCGCAGTTATTAATTTTATCAATCTATATTTAGATATGTTACCAAAAGAACCAGCCGCCCAAGTTATTGAAGGTGTACAATATTTCTTATCAAAATTATCCGATAGAAAAGCAAAATATGGAAGAGATGTTGAAATTGAACGAATGGATGATATTTTAGTCTTTTATAAGTCGAATATTAGGATACCAGCTAATGATAATGGAATAGTATCGGACGTCAGTTCGACTCTAACTCTAAAGGGTCTAAATAATTCACCTAAAGCAAAATCTTCAAACCTCGCGCAGGATGTGTCTCATACGGAGTCCGGTATTGATATTCCAAGAGGTTATTCAACTGAGACAATAGCACAACACAAACCAGATATAATGAAGGTGACTTCTTCTGATGCAGGGTCATCTCTACCAGAGTTTGTAGAAGGTGTCGAAGTGAAACGTATTGCCACAACAGGAATCAATTTATGTGATAACAACCCTTCAATGTTACTAGACATTGACTTAAACAGTCTTGAAAATAATAAAAATCTTTCCCAAGTTAATTTGGCAAAGAGCACCCAACTTTCTCAGAAGAGAAAGGAGAACATTGTTTGCAGTGAAAATGAACCAATATTTGATACGAAAAGCCAGGAAAATATTATTCAAGTTAAAGAAACCGCTATACTAAATACGCCCGACATTTTATTGAAACCGAACATCAATAGGACTTTAGAGAATATATATAATGTTCCAAACGTTCAGCCAGATAATTTTAGAGTGGTAAATGGATATTTAGAACGTACTACTCATGCCATTACTGAAGGGTGGGAAGAAGGAAGGGTTACAAATACTCAAATAGTTGGTAAAATTAAAGGTAACGACATCAATGATGAAAAGTTTGATGACAGTAATAAGAATGATAATAAGAATATTAATATTACTCAAGTACAAATTGAAAAAAAGGACGGAAGTTCTATTGGTGAGTTTGGGAGTAAAGTTGCTATAGAATCTGTTACCTCGATAACTGGGGACAATGAGAAAAGCCCTACCACATCTGGTAAAGGGTATCACGAAAACGTTAGTAAATATGAGGCCTGTTTCACTGCTAAACATGACAACTCGCATATAATTATATCACCAGATGTTGTGACCAATATTGCTGGTGATGGGAAGATTGATGGCTGCAATGCTAATCTTGATAATACAAAATCAGATCTTGTAGAAAAAGTGAACATATCAACAAAAGGAGTATCTAAACCTTCAATGGCAATAGGGTGTTCAAAAAGAATAGATAATTTAAGTGAAGACTTTGAACCGGTGATTCCAGATGGAGATGACAATTTTTTGAAGGAAATGGAAACCTTAAGTGTTCTGCTTAATCAGCCAACCTCAACTGGTTCTGTGAAGGAGGTGAAAATTGAAAATATCAAAAAATCCCCAAGTTTTAAACAGCAGGTAGAAAAATCAAAAAATTATGATGGTGATGTGGAATATTCATATGAAAACAATGCTGTACTAAATACAACGACAAAGCTAATTCCGTCTAAAGATAAGCAAATTTGTTCTGCGGAGGGAGTAGAATATTCTGATAAAGAACCAAAAGGCATCAAAATTCCTATTTTTAATTCAAGAAGGATGAATACTATGAATACACAATCAGCTAAAGTAAGTCCGAGAAAGAAAAGTCTACGTTATGCTAATAAAAGTACAGTTATAAACGTTAATATACCGAAAACGTTTAGAAGATCTGTTAGTCCAAAGCCTATCATTAGGCACCCAACAATGACAGACTCATTTGGTTACGATTTAATAATGTCAGATCACTCTCATCAAGGAAACTCTAGGAGTTCCCCGTTCACATCTTTACAAGATGATTTCTCATCCAAGAAGGCTCGTAGATTGGTGAACAAAATGAGATCGATTTCTTCTACAGATCTAGCAACTTTATCCCCAAATGAAAGAAGAAATATGAGGGTTGAAATGTTAGATTTTTTAATGAAATTAGAACACCAAAGTTTGAGCGATCCTTAGTTTAATGTAGTCGAACAATCAGTAATTTAAATTATATATCCAATTGAATAAGAACTTTTTAAACTGTATATATTATAAATTTATACATTTTCAATTTTATTATTTAGTTCTAATTAGTCATTATTTGGCATAAAAATCAGATCTCTACAGTATAATGTAATATCTTTGAATAATCTTCTCCACTCTAAAGGATCACCAGATTTTCTTTGAAAATTTAAACATTTCAAATCACTATCTATCTGAGTTATATTAATAGACCCACACAATTTACTCTTCATTCTATCTTTAGTCTTAATAGTAATATTTAGAGGGAAAACATTATCCATACCATACTCATCTACTAAAGTTGCAAATGTATCTACGATATTTGATTTAGTAACAATATTTCTAACGTTAAAAGCTTTTTGCAATGTAGAGACAAGTAAATACATGTCAACAATACTATAAAATTTGTCTAATTTAATTGGATTAAACTTAGAGCTTCTATATCGTTCCATGTTCGAATGTGGATTAAATTGTAACATCGCAATATCTTGATTTATATAATTCTTCCATTTTTCCAATTTAGTAATTCGATCATCGTCATCATTAGTGGCCAATTGAGAATCCATACTAAATATGCTTGTTCTTGGAATGTACTGTGAAAATGCAGTAATTTGAGTATTTGGTAAGATATTATCTTCTGTGAGGGAATCATGTTTTATATTAACCATATCTGTATTTAATGGTTGAGTAGAAGCAAAGTTTGACACATTATTATTATCATGATTGGGTACATTTTGTGTAAATAAATCATAACTCTCATCAGTTAAAGAAACTTTTAGATTCGAATATAATTTTTGAGCCAATAAACCTGGATTATTACATAATCCTAAAGAATTTGCAAAAATAATTTTTTTATTATACCAAGGATGTAATTTCAATTGATTAATCGTAACTCTTTGTTCAGGTAGTGGTTGTAAAAGTTTTCTTAACAAATTTAAATGACTAAATTCAATTTTAGCCCATGGTCCTAAGTTTAAATTACCTTTATTCCTAATAAAATTGACAAAATTATTATCTTCTCTTGTAGGTATTTCCCAGGGAATTTCCCCTGTCAATAGAACAAATACGAGTATCCCAATGGACCACACATCTGTAACGTCTGCATAATATAAAGGTAGATCTGAACTTAAAATCTCAGGAGCCATATATGGGTACGAACCTCTCTTATCCTTTGAGACTTTCTTTGTACCGTCCTTTCTTCTAAATCTTGAAGCCAATCCAAAATCTGCCAATTTCAAATTCCCATCTTTATCTAATAAGATATTTTCAGGTTTGATATCTCTATGTGCGATTCCACATTCATCATGTAAATAGAAAATGGCATTTACCAATTGTTTAAAATAAAATTGTGCAATTTCTGTATCTACACCAACATCTGGTTCAATTTTATCGAAAAGATCACCACCACTAGCCAATTCCAAAAAAATACAAACGAATTGATCTTCCATCCGGCAATCTATCAGTTGCAAGATGTTTGGATGTTTGGAACATTTCATATGTAATTTAATTTCGTTGAACGTATCACTCTTTTGTAAACCTTGAGTCTCAATGGTAGGTAAATGAATAAATTTTATAGCAAACATTATCGATGGTCTTTTTGTAGAGTGAGCACTTGCCACACAACCAAATGCACCTTGTCCTATCGTTTCATCTAAAGTTACATCTTTAATTATGGGAAGTTGAGGGAATGATATTATATCATTACTTATATCATTTTCTTTGTCATTATCATCATCGTTAAAAATTATTAATTTGGGTTTTATTGTATCAGAGTCCATAATCTAGAATGCAAGGAATAAATAGTGTTCAAATATAAATTAGAGGTGTTAAATTTAACCGACGTTAATACAGAGTTTCGATATAAAACAAACAAACAAGACTACAAAGTGAATAGGTCGGGAGATTGCATGTATTTTAGAAGACCATTACCTCATCTCTTACAGATTATGAGATCAAGAGTTTTAAAAATACGTCAATAGAGAGTGCATTATTATTGTTTGTATTTTAAAAAAAGAAAACCAAATTATAGAGAAAGGCTTCGAGAAATTGAAAAATTAGGCCCTACAGAAACCACCGCATAACAAAAAAGAGTGTATTTGGCATGTGAATGTACGGCGCTACCTCATTTCGCACGTGATCAAGAAAACATTCCTGAGGTCACTGACCACAGAGTGTCATTTTTGTTTAACTCCGAGGATATCGGATTTAAGATAGTAGTTACAGCTCTCAATGTAGATCTAATTAGAAATGAACGAATAAATATATATATATATATATATTCAAGAGATAAACCCATTAGACACCGTTTATATGCACTGGATCGAGAGTAATAGATGGGAGCCACATTATTCTATATTCTATGTATTTACTATGCGATATATAGGTTTATATACTTACTCAATAAAATCATTGATGTGCCATAGTTGACTCAAAACAGAACGAAATTGCCTCTAGTTGAGTAATTTTTATTACTTTCCATATATCTGAAGTCTTTTGTCGCTGTTACCCCGTGGTCGGTTACTATTTTGAATATTAACCGGATTCTCTCTCTCTTGTATATTTATTCTTATTATATTATCTGAATGAGAATTCACAGACAACATTTTAAACCATTTTCTATCCTCCTCTTTCTCTTCCTCCCCCTTGAAACTGGCTTTACAGTTCGAGAATTTCTTATCTTCCCTTTTTCTGCCAAATTAGAGAATGCGCCGGATATGTCGGTCTGTCGGAGAGTGAATTTCCCCTGAAAGTAACTTGAAAAACTCTATAAGATTGTTATACACGCAACGAAAGTCAAGAAGGGACGAAAATAGTAAAAGTAGATCAAAATTTCAACAAATTAAAATTAAAGATTGAAATTGATGATGAACTTATAGCCTAGTACAGTCACATACATATAAACGCTGGAAAGTTGATAGTACATTGCGTTTTATGGACATTACAATCTGCAAATAGATTACTGCAATGAACTAACTGGAAAAGAAAGAAAGAAAGTGAGAGTTGCGGTAATGGTAGTAGTACAGCCCCATTGTATTATTAGGACAAACGTAGTTAATTATAATTATAGTATGCCATTTTTTAAATATTGAATTAAATTCGCTCTGAAATGTTCACTTTCTCACTTTTTAAAATTAATTCATCTTGATATCAATAATAGTGTGGAGGAGGTAAATGTATCTGATAGTAAGTAATACTGGACAACTTTACAATTTATTACCATAGCGACTTAAGTGAACTCTATCAAAAACTTATTTATTCGTTTTATGCTAATTTTTTATTTTTTATGTAGGAGAGAGAGAGGGGTACTCACGTTTTAAGGGTCCGTATGCCACTTTTTTTTTCAAGTGTTTCTATATTGTAATACTCATTCTTTTTCCTTGATACGAAGTATAAATTATTATTGTATTTTTATAAAATATAAACCATCAATATATAGCTATGGTACTGTTTTCCTGTTAACTGTAGTTTATTATATTTATAAAAAGAACTATAATCTACTAATTAAAAAGTGATCTACATTACAACTACAACCATACTAACAAACAAAACCAACTCTGATGATACCAGAATTTTCTTTATCCAACATAGGTGAGACAACTTTTATTAATAATGTCCCACATGCATTTTATCGTGCTTTACAGACAGATTTACCATTATTAATAATTATTCAAAATCAAGAAAATGATGATGATAGTAATCATGTTGTATCAAGGAAAGATTTAACAATATTTAAAGATAAATTAATTATGATGTGCTTATATTATGGCACTACAGAATTGGATAATTTTAAAAGATTGTTTCCTAATACTATTATTTCTCAGAATAATGACAGTTATATTATACTTATGAAAGGATCTAATGTTTTAAATAATTGGGATTTGACCCAATATTCGTGGCCAACAATTAAGAATGATTTGAAAAAAAAATTCAATATTATCAATGAGTCTATATCTGTAAAATTTTCCAAAACTCAGAACTTTCAATTAACTTATCGTGAAAAAGAACTAAATAGAATAAAATATTTAATAAATCAGGATAAATTAGAAAGACAATGTGAAAATTTTTTAGAGCCTAATAATCATAATGTAATTAATATTAAAAAGTCAAATAGTAATTATGATATCACTGATAATGAAAATGCAAAGTGTAAACTTCGTATTAAACTTAATGATGCCTCAACTATTGAACATACTTTTAATTCATGTACTGATAGTTTATTAACTGTTAAAAAATATATCGAAATTGTTACTGGGAAAAGAATTCCCTCAGATTTCGCATTTCATCATGTATTACCAAAGAGAAGATTTTCTGATCAAGAAGAATTACAATCTTTGAATTCACTAAATTTAAAACCAAATTCGGCTCTTTTTTTGTTTAAAAATAAAGAATATATTAGAGAATTAAGAAGAAGTAGAGACGCTTCTCAGGATTTTAAATATATTAACATTTGTATTAACAAGATTAAACAATTACTACAATTTATGCATCTCAGAAAAAAAGAAACTACAATTGGCACGTTCTCTAGTACTATAAATTCAAAATACTTCATAAGAAAAAATATAAGACCTGCGCCTTCTTACCCATTTAATGATCATTTACCTTAAACGTCGACAAGACAGCTATTTTATTTATTTATTGCATTTTTCCCATTCTTTGAAGAATCATAAACCAGCATAAGACTTACTTTAGGGCAAATATCCGCCCATCTGTATAAGCCTTCAGCTCTTATCTATGTCACTATTTCTTCGGAATCATTTAAACTGACAAGATTCTACATTCTCATTTTCCCTTCATAATTTATTTTTGAAATAACACACAATATTCCTTGTATACACATTTTATCTAAAATGTTTACATAACTTAATTCATAATTTTTTCGTTTGAATAAATCTTTTTGTTCAACTATTTATTATTTAAAGACCCATTTTACATGTTGATAATATATTTAGAGTTCCTTTCCTGTATATGGACGAACATCGCGCGATCAAGTTGGGATAGAGCAAATATATATATATATATGTAAGCGCAGGGAAGCCTCATCTTAACGGCAATTACAATTAACAATAATAATAATAACAAAGTTACTAAAAGTTTCACCACCGGCTTTACACAAAAACCTGAACATAAAAGAATCTTCAAATTAGTTCAAACAAAAGAGTTAAAACTAAAATTCTACAGAAAATTCCTACTTATTTACAAAGGACAATTTTCAAAATACTGTGCCTCCAATAACATATGTCTAACGACTCAGCCAAAATACCCTATTTAACATCGCTACTGAACGAATTAAATGAATCTCTTTTAGGGATAAATGATGATGCAACTGATTTTAATTATATAAACAGATTGATAGAAAGATGTGTTCTTAATTCAAGTACGCTTACGACACTACAAGACATACCAATAGCATTTTTTTTGACTATAAAAAATTTCCTTCAAGAAAGCACATATTTTGAAAACTTTGACTATGAAGAACTGTTATTGCTATTAGATAATTTGGTTAGTATATGCCCATTTGAAGAAATTACAAAAATATATACTGTAGAGGATCTGGAGCAAGCACTTCTATCCAATATTTCATATTTGATCAGAATTGCTTGTAAAATTATTAAAAACTCACAACCATTGGATTATTATATAAATGTGGCACCAAGTAATACACTTTTCAATCAATTATTAGAGATATATTTTAATAAAAATACTGAGTTGGCTATAATAAACGAAATAGAAAATATTTTACAAGTGTTGGATAGAAATGAATCAATACGTAATTTTATCCTTCAAGAGAATCTTCCTCTTTTACTAAAAGTAAAACAGAATCATGAGGCGTTGATCACAACAAGACTGTATGAACTTTTGAAAATTGAATTAAGTTATATTGACCCTCAAAAGGAACTAAACGAAAAATTATTTATTTTTAATAAATGTGAAATCTTTAACATGTTAGAAACGGATAGTTTTGCATTTGTAAATTTCTTACAATATGTTACTTCAGCATTGAAGCTAATAAACTTTTTATCCAAAGAAATCACGGTACAAAGTACATCAACATCATCAGTTAGTAAAAGGTCGCTCCTCCTTCAACAGTTTCAACTAATGGTTCCTATTATTGGAACAATATATAAAGATAATATTACTGATGTTGTATTAGTAGCAAAGAGCTATTTTTTTAAATTTTTTAGGGAGGTTTCTTATTTACCTGACCTATCCTACTTCAGACAATTAGACACTAACGATATATCTATTGATTATGACAATAGTGACCTCATAGATTTTCTTTCATTCGTTAATCCTGAATATCTTTACCAATATTGCAATGAATTGATTGTAGATTATGTTAAAGTTTTAGCCTTTCACCTTTCTATATGGAGGAATATTATTCAGCATGAAAAAATGTTTTCATTAGTAAAGAGCAAATTAGTCTCAAATTCGATACTAAAATTACCATACTTAGAACAAATGGTATTATTGGATAAATTATCACAATTCGACTACTCAGCAGAGTTTTTGGTATTATCGCTTCCTGGTGTTATGAGTAATCTAATCAACGATCAAAATGTTAACAATTTGGTAAATCCGGAGACTATAGAACTAAGAGCAACTGTAATAAGGAACCTGTTAAAATTCAATGAAAACTTATTGAACATGTGGTATATTACTCTTACTGCAGAACTTTTCAAGATTTCTCATCCAGGTCAATATAAAGAAGCCAGAACAAAGATTGAAGAAACTTTTATATAATTTTGAAGCACCATTATTGCGCACACATCTATTACTCATCGTTTCGTTATATATTTATATATTATCAATTGTCATAATTTAACCTTTTAGTACAATTTCTCTATAAAGATACTTAACTGATCCCCAGTCGTCTACCCCTTGGTCGTAACGTTCATTCAAAACCGCAAAATTATTTTTTTGTAAAAGTTGAATAAGAATTTCCCTTTCTTTGGCATATTTGGATCGTATTGGAATTTCCAAATAACATTTTCCATCAGTTTTTAAAAACTTTGAAAGCATATTAACGACCCATTCCGGATGGTTTGGAGAATATATTGGGTCAGCCACCAAAATTATATCAAATGAATTGTCCTTTATTTCATACTTCTTAACAAATGGATCGGGATATGTCCAATCTAAAACATCTGCCGTTACAAAGTTACCCACATTATTATTTATTACGTTCTTTTTTAAATTTTCCAATATCTCTGGTAAATCTGTTACAAACATTTGAATTTTCAAATTTGAAGTTTCAAATTCTTCTTTCCACTTGCAGGCCCACGATATACCCACCAGACCTGTTCCTGCACCTAGTTCCAGTACCCTTAATGGTTCAGAAGCATCTTTGGGCTTAAATACTGTCTTAGAATTAAAATTTTCTACAAGAATTTCAGATAAAATCAAAGAGGCACCCCATGTTTTCCAACCAAGGTTATCATTGGTAAGGGAAGGCTCGAATAAAGACACTTTCGTGTCCATATTATCAAATTTAAAATCTCGCGACATTGATGGTATTGCTGAACGTCCACAACATTCGGCAATTCTAAGACTCACTTCTTTTAAAATGTCGCCCTTTAAAGATAATATACTGGTTGTATTTTCATATCGTTTTAGAATAGATGTATAATAATTTAATAGCGCAGATCTTTCAGTCTCTGACACATTTGCCAATGCAGGTATTTTATTACATATTTTTTCAATAGTATTTAGTTTCTTATTGGGCATTGTATTTGAATACCATTCTACAATACAATTCTGTAATATTTCATCAAGATCTTTTGAAATGCATATATCTTTGGTGAGTAGAGCTTCTGTTGATTGGAAATTGACTTGTGTCTCGGGACGTAATAGATGTAAAGTCGCTAGGATAATTTCGGGTGAAGCGTATGCAACATAAGGTAAATCAAGAACATATATCGGTCCTACTAGACTATCTCCATCTTCATCATTATCATTAGTCTGTAGTTCACTATTATCCTGTTTCTCTTGCCCTTGCATGGACAATTTCTGATCCCATTGGCGGGGTGATTCAAAATTCAATGCAGCTGAAGTACTACGTTTATCTGCATCGTACAGATCTAGTGGATCAAACATATATGCGTAAAGGCTTAATATATTTTAATTTTTATACATTTCACTGACAATACCGAAATTCTTATAAAATCAATAATTGCCTTGTAAAATATTTGTGTTTTAGAAATGGATCATTCAAGTCATCGTTGTAGTTCTCAATATCGAACAAAGTTAAAAATTTGCGCGTAAAGTTTGTTGATCACGTGGAATAGAGTTATTTTGGCAACCTTGTTTAGAATAACGTACTAAATAGTCGCTGAACTATACCACTGAGGTTATTTAATTTGTGTTTAACATTACCGATTTGGATTGCTTTCATATATTTATGAAAATATGGAACTACCTTCGAAAGCGACGTATACCATAGTGTGCGCAATGAGTGATGATCTTAACTCAACAAAACGAATTAAGGTAGCATATTATGATGAATAATCTATAAGCCGACTCCGAAAAAAACGTTCATCATATCCTTATTCATGTATGGGTATGCATTGTTCATTGTACTATGGATCAGATAATATACATCTTGTTCCTGATGTTATCTCTATTAATTGGGATATAGACGTTGAAAACGGTTAACAAATAGTGGTTTACCATTTTTTTCTATGGTACGGCTCCCCTTTAACGGGCAATATGAAATATATCTGAAAATAGGAAATTCAATTTATTCTCAATGAATAACCGATCAACTACTAACCGTTTCAACTCTAAATTCAAAAAGAACAAGGCAGGATATCACGAAGTGATATAATATTTTTAAATATTAGACCATTCGAAGGTATAATATAAGGAGTACGATACTGAACCCAATTAAAGCAGATCAATAATATCTTTAGCTATATAGGGCAACTAGTGTTCACATGGAAATATGACACATAGAAAGATATCTATAAGTAATTCAGAAAACATTCTGAGTAACAAGTCAAACGACAAATTTACAGGTCGTCATAGAAGTTCAACATTATTTCCATTACCATCCTGGCATGATCACAAAGAAAATGACGAACATAAGATAAATGATTTATCACGGGCTTATAGCGTCTCCTCTGAAATTATACCTCAAACATTGACTCATCCAGATGAAGATGTTTTATCTATTAAGAATGTGAAATCTTCAGCAGATCTACATCCATCAAGGTGGTCTCATGTTGGGTTTCAATCAATCTTTCAAGGGCAAAATTTCAAGAAATCTTCAAGTAGTATCAACTCTGAAAATTCGTTGGAAGAGAAATTCCCGTTTACAAATCTACAAAATTCTGATTCCTTTGATAGGAGAAGTAGATTGAGTGAAGATAAAATCATAGAAGAGAATGATGACGACTTATCTGATGACAGTTTATTTACGACGCTATCAGGTCGAAAAGAGAGAAGAACAAGAGACAGCGGATCTGTATTAAATAATTCGATCTCAGATACTAAGAGCGCCAGTAGTAAAGATAAAGTTACCAGGCTTTTTAAGACAAATACAAATAAAAGTAATTCTAGTTTACCTAATTCATTAACAAACTCATTGATTCCAAAGAAGAAGAACCAATTTTTAAATGTTACTAGAAAATTATTTCATCCAAAGAACTCAAGGCATATTAAAGATAGTGCCGACCCTGCTATTCCAAACCCTTGGAGTCAATTTTTGCATTCATCATATATAAAACACAGATCACCTGTCCAATTCATTCATAATACGACAGGTGGTATAATGGATTCTGGTAGATCTGTTTATTCATTCAATCCTTCAGTTCCAAATAACACAAATGACGTGGCATTAGCGATCACCCAACTAGAAGATACCTTTGATTCTGCAAATATTGCAATCTTACATGATCTATTAAAGACATTACCATCTTTAGAGGAAAATTATAAAAATTTCTCTACTCGTGAATTGCAAGTACTATCAGGGAATGTATGGGGGATATATTGTTCTATTGTTGTTGAGTTATTCAAAAACCAACATATATGGGAACTTCCTGCCAAAATAGAGGATATAAACAAACTTTTCGAATTCTATACAGTTCTGAAGACAGAATCTAAAGTAGCTGCAAATCACAGTAAATTCATTAATGAAATAGAGGATTTTATTACAACATCATTATTTGTTTTTGAGAACCAGATCGTCTTTAATTATACAAATGAAAATGCGATGAATACTGCCTTAAAACGACTGGGTATCATATGGCAAGTATTCTATCAACAAGTTTATCGTGACGTTGTTACAGTTTTATTACCCTTGGAAGAAAGTTTCAGAAGTAACCCTAAATACTGGTCGGATAGTGTTTATATGGGTGAGTATGTAGAAAATATGTTGAGTGTCGATTATTTGCTACTGAAATGTTTTCGTAATTCCATTGTTCTTCCATATTATCAAAACTTTGTTCACAGTCATGATGGTGCAAGTAATAGTTTTAGAAACTATATTTTAAACGAGGAAGATGAAAATGATGTTACGGAGATGGATAAATTGACTTTATTGCAATGCTTCGGTATTTTATCAACTATTCAGAGTAACGATAGATCTCAACAGATTATAGAGGAGTTACTAGGGGGGGTACGTATGAGTATATAGAATATAAATTACACACACACGAATTTATGAACAAACCTTTCCTTTTTTTTTTTATTGCATCATAGTAATATAATAAATACATACCTGTGTGTCTTTCTTGTGTTAACAACTCTATGAACTTATTTGAGCAAAAATAATAACCGTCCGTTATTACAGTGAAATTCACTCTCCTCCGAAAATATAAAATAAGAGCAGCTTAGTCATTGTTAAGGTATTTAAATTGGAAATTGTTCAATACTACAATATGTTGTATCTTCCAAGAGGATAAATAATATAAAGCATCATGTTACCAATGAGCAAGAATGCTGTTTTAAGGTCTGTTTCTTGTAGACCTTTATCACAACTTATTAAGTTTCAAAATATTAGATTTTTAAATACCGATAGGATACCAAGTCCTCCAAAACTTCCAAAGGAAGAGCAGTTAGAATTTGAAAGATTACAGAAGATAGCAAATTCCCAAGCAGCCATTGAGGATTATAACTCTAAGATATCACAAGATAGTACAAAAGAGAGTTTGAATAGTACAATATTAACTCGTAATGATATTGGCGCCTTTTCGCCTGAATTCAAAAAGACGATTCCTGAATTTGAAGGAGATACAAACCCCAAAACAGGTGAAGTAGGAGGACCCAAACAGGATCCATTGAGACATGGTGATTATTCTTTTAATGGGAGAGTCACTGATTTCTGATATGAAAAAAATTTATAACCTAATACGCATATATTCTTAAATTATAGTTTCTATTGACTTTATTTACATGTTTATACCTTACATAATATAGTTATATATACATTTGCTGATTCCCATTTACAACTGACTAATAAAGTTATTTTGTTTTATTTTTGATCTGTTTTCTTTACGCAGTTGTTTTCTACGTTCTCCTAGTTGATTATCTGGAGATATAGGTTCTTTTGGTTTATATGTCTTTGCCTTCTTAGAATTATCTTTAAGAACAGTCCATAACCAGTCAGGATATCCACTGTCATCTAGAGCTACTGGACCTGGTTTACCTTTCTTAATATCTAAGTTTAATTTGGTTCCAACCAAACATGACGATACAACTTTTGTTGCATCCACGCCTTTGGCAGGTGATACCTTCTTTTGTAGAAACGATCTCGATATTGAAAGGAACCTTACACCATTTAGCCTTATCATCGTGATTTAATTCTTTATCTTATGTTGTTCTACTCGTAAAAATAACCTCAACAATATATGTTAATAGAGATCCTTTTTTTTATTGAATTGATTGAATTATTCATTTTCTTAATTCTTCGATTTTCACCTCGCTCAATATAAAATTGTTTACCGCAAAATTTCATTTGTGACTAGACAGATATTCCCAAACTAAGAAATATAATCTCAAACTATATATAACAACATCGGTTCAAAATAAGAATATGACATTTTATGGTAACGATTGCGTTATGTCTTAAATGAAATGAGTGTTCAGACTTGTGCAAGAAATGAAAGGTAAAACTAACAACAATAGTTCTGTAATATGTATAATATACAAATATAAAATAAAATAAAAATATAGACCTATGCCAGTGATAAATTATAATTTTGATGAATCTTATTATCGACAATGTACTATCTGTAAGAAAGATTATATTGTGTCATTTGAAATTCTAAAATAATGCAAATATATTCAAAAACGAATGGAGATTGTTAAAAAGAATTCTACAATCATTGTAGTAATTGATCCCTGTAATAAGGTTGGTTGTTGACGAACTTTGCAGCTCTTTTGTCCTCTCTCTTCTTGTCTTTGTTTTCTGTTTGCCATACTCTTTGGCGAACTTGGTATCCCTTCTTGTCAAACGCTGGTAGGAAAGTTCTTGTCTCTGCAGCGACCAATGTACCTTGACCCTCAGTAAGTTCCTTTTCAGGTTTTAAGTTTTGTTTGAAATAACGTTGCAAGGATCTGTGACCAATTTTTACACCATTAGGTAGATGTAATTGAACACCATCATTATATAAGTATTCTTCTGGTACATATTCTTCTTCTTCATCAACTTTATCATCTGTAGCTTCTGTTGTACCATTTTCATCATCACTTGGAACATCCTCCCAATCTTCTTCATTTTCTTGTACAACTGATGAGTTTGTGTAAGAATCTTGATAAGAAGAAGTGAAATCATAAAATTCTGATATTTCTAATCTTTCATTTTCAGATTCAAATGGTATCTTACAATGTCTTTTAGCCAACATATGAGCTCTGACTGCAGGTAGAGATCTACCTTCATAATTGCAAACGATGCAGACATTACCCAAACCGATTTTCTCACTCATGTATTTCACTAGACCTTCTTTATCTGTTAAATATTTCTGTTCTGGAATATAAAAACCGTGACTTTCAAACATATGTTTTAAATTACTTTCAAAATCAGGAAATGTCTTGTTTGTACAGAATAAACATGTTTCTGGTTTAATTTCTACTTGAGATTCTAATTTTTGTTTCATTAACCTTTCAGCTAATTCTTCCTCTGTTAGGTTTTCCTCTGAAATAGATTCAGAATCAACTTGTGATTCTTTGTCTTTCTCTTGATCAGTAGGTACTGTTTTAATTTCTAATACAGGTTCTTCCACATCTGATTTTGTAGTTGATTCAGTAGTTTGAGGTTCGACCTTTTGTTGTAAAGCCATATTTTTTAACATATTTTCTTTAGCTAACGCCAACAATTTCTTTTTCTTCTCTAATAGAGCTTCTTTTTCCTTACGTCTAAGATCCTTCTTAGTCATTTGTCTTTTATCGTCTTTCTTCTTCTTTTGTTCGTCCTGTAATTCATCTTTACTTAGACTATTAACTTTTGAATTAAATACTTGCTCAGAGATAGCAGGTAATTGAGCCACACGTCTCTTCAAATTATAACGATGCCATTCTGTCTTCATGTGATTTCTCTGGTCTTGACCAGTTTCAAATGCAATAGAGCATGAATTACATGTGTATATTCCCGACATTTTTGAATATCTTGTGTATGTATCTATTTTTATTGTATTACCTTAATTGTATAGTCTAAGGATAGTGAATATTTATTAATATAATTGAAATTATGAGATATGCTCATCTCATCCATTATAATAATATCTATATAAATTTCAAATGAAAATTTTCTTCGCCATTTATTTCGAGTCCGCGAGCTCATCGCTCTTTTTACGTTTTTTTATTTATTTGATCATTGCAATACAAACAGGATAGTTTCTATATAGGAGGCTACATGATATTAATAAACATATATGTTATGAACTGAGCCTGTGATGTCATATCATCTACTGTACTAGAAATATTTACGCAAATATTTTTGGAGTTTTAATATTCGATTTTCGTTGTATATACACACATATATATATATGTATATATTATGATAGCCAAAGAGCTGTTGCTCTGAATGTCTTTTTTGTGTTTGTATTTCTTAGTTGTTTATTCTTGATGTGATTGTCTATTATGCCATAATTTTATCTGTATAGAACAAATCACCATGTATATTGGCACAATGATTAAATTCGCGAGTGTTCCAATCAATAGTTGACATATCCAAAGAAATGATTTATTATTATGTTTATTAAGTCCCATATCCAAGGACATTAAGAACCAACCCACGACATCCGTCGTTATATCATCATATCCCATCTCTAACCACCATACGATCTTGTTGCAACATTCTTCACATGATATTGGATAAGATGGACCTTCTATTGATTTTGTTATATCAGGTTTTGTTACTTCTTCCAATTCAAACCCTTCAGATTGAAAATTTCCGGGAAATACACACGATATTCGAGCATAAGGTAATTCATGTCGAAGGATACCTACCAAAGCTTTCAAAGATACTTTTAATGGAGCATATTGACTATATCCGATGAAAGGGAAAAAAGCAGTAACACTAGAGAACAAAATTAAATGACAATTGGGTACTACTCTAGCTACTTGATGTGATAGATATAATGCAGTTAAATAATTCATTCTAACACCATTTTCCAATTCAAACCCTGTTAAATCTTTAAATAGTTTTGGTGTAGATCCACCTGCGCAAGATAATACTTGAGTTGGTAACATATTAACCATAGTTAACGTTTGGAAAAGACTTGCTACCGATTCATAATCTGACAAATCACAAGGCATATAAAATAAACGATGGTCTGCAATTGTAGAATGCAAAGTATGTTCATTAATAATGATAGGGTCAATATCAGTATGTGCATCTTCCAATAGATGAACAGTTTGTTCATCATTTTCTGAAAGAGCTTCTTCTTTCTTTCTATTTGTAGCTGTCAATATAATATCTGTTACAGCATTTCTTAATTTGTCTTCTGATCTACTGATAATAATAATCTTCGAGTTTATAGTCTCTTGATAATATTTTTGTGCAAATTGTTTTCCTAGTCCCTGAGATCCACCTGTAATCAAAGTGATTTGGTCTTCTAGTATATATTTCATGGTGATGATAATGGTATGTCTTTTCTCTGTTTGCCTTTTTTGATATTGCTTCTCTGAAAGAAAAATAAATAAAATAAAATAATGCTATAGTTAAATGAATGGAAATGGTTATAATATATTAACCGAAAATGAATGAAATCTTCTTTTTTTTCCTAAAAAAGTGAAATGCAATTAAAATGGATGAATAATATACAAAGTAATGCGAATGTATGCAGTAGATTAATGGAAATGGAAATAATAAACGTCTAGTTTCTCCAGATAACAACTACGAAAATAACAAAGTAAGTTCTTAAACTTTTAACGAATATCAACAATAACAGAAACTTACAGTATCTGAAAACTACTTGACAATAAAAGAATAGACATGCTTAAAAGTTAAGATGTTTTAGTTTATATATATATATATATGCAAATATCGTCAAGTTGTCTATCTGTGTGCTTAACGGTTCAATTTTGGCACAGCTCACCAAACTATCAACAATCAAAAAAATGTGTTTCTTTTCGCTTTGTCGCTGTCCTTCACATTCATTTCTTCGGTAAAAATTGAAAGAGCCGCAAAGCGCTCAAGACTGGCTGTTTTGGCCGATAAAATCAATGAAATTGGTGGTCTGCTAGTCGTAGAAAGTGATTGAGGTCTGTACGTTCAGACTGCTTATCACGTGAATTTTAGATATTTATTATAGTAGATATATAAACATATATATAAAGATACTATGCATTACTAATTTATGTATTTACATGCAATTGCGTGGAGCGGCGGTGTGTGATGATGGTAAGTTGATCGTTTCTGATGATGATGATGATGTTGTTGTTGTTTATTTGGCATCTCTTTGTTTCTTATGTTCCTCGTATTCTTTTTTCAATTGAGCCAGTTCTTTCTCGTCGATAGGTGGGATTGGAACGTCTGCGAAATCATTATCCTTGTGTAAGAACTTGTATGTGTAAACATATACACCACCGGTGACACCCAGTAAAGCAGCAAGACCGATCATATTCCTTACAAAAAAAGGCTTACGGGCTCTAATCATTGCCGGTGTCATCTTAAACGTACGTGGATCTTGGTATGGTGATTTCTCTAATGCCATTGTATATCGATTTATAGATATGTGTGTATGTGTGTGTATGTGTGTATGTGTGTATGTGTGATATGAATGTCTTTCTATCTTATCTCATATCCCCTTGATTACTTATATGCTCTTCTTCTAATTTGTAAATTTTCATTTTTTGTATATTTTTTCTTCTTCGGAGTGCGAATTCCGCATTAATTGCAGTGTTGCTTCCAGTGGTTAAACCAGTTTTGGGGGACTCAGAGGATTCGAATTGGTGCACAATATGTTGTCATATATATAGAGAGGTATGATGATTAGAATATGCTGGATAATTCAGTTCATGACATTAACAGATTAGGTTCAGTGATAGACTATTGACACTGAGTTTATTACTGTTATAATTTCAGTTATAGTTAATGTTATGTATCATGTTGGTTTATCACAACGTACGAAAACCCTTTTTATTGTTTTATTTTATTTGTCGCTTTATTTCTTTGCTCTCCGTATGCATTTTCTTTCTCTTTAGTAAATTTAGTAAAATATCAAGAAACAGACTTATATACAAGCAATAAAAAGGTCTTATATGTATGTTAAATGTAAACAAAAACATATTTACTGGTAATCATATATATATATATATATATATACGTTCTCAACTACTCGATAACATCGTACTTTTAGCTTTGGAAAAAAATGACTCAGGGACTAGCTAGAAAACTATCGAGAACAAAACCTCATAGAGATGCACTGCTAAAGAATCTTGTGAGTCAATTATTACAACATGGTACATTGACTTCGACTCATGAAAAATGTAAAGAAGCCTCGAGGCTAGCAGATCGTGTGATTAATATGGCCAAAAGGTATGTGGATCCAGAGACTCCCGAATTAAGTAAACAAAAATTGTTTGCAAATATCCAATCTCGTTTGTTTCTCTCTGGTGACAATAATCATCTGATGAAAAGGTTATTAAATGATATCGCACCAAATTATCAACAAAGAAATGGTGGATACACCAGAGTATTACATTTGGAGAAAAGATTTAATGATAGAGCCTCTCAATCAGTATTGGAATTGGTTCAAACACCTATAATAAATCCAAAGACAAATCAAATTCAAAAGGGTAATTTGAAATTTTGGTTATTGGTGAAAAATGTTATAATGGATGAATCTAATAATGCGAATATAAATCCTTTAACTTTAATCAATTTAAAGAAAATTCAAAATTTTAAATCAGAGGAGGAATTCTTAAATGATTTATTAATAGTCAAAAAATGTATTAAAGATCAGGAAAACCTTACTTGGGATGATACAAAGGAATTGGAATCTATTAAGCGTTTAGTAGAAAATGTGAAATCTACAATTTTACCTCATGTGGAAGAAAGTACACGTACCTCACCAACTATAAAACAAGGATTTCAAATAATGGAAAAGAGACCCGAGAGACCATCGATGTAATATCGATGATGTTTTCTCTCAACCATTACATCATGTAAATATTTGATTACGAAAAAAATCTATGTCTATGTCTATTCTTTTACCCTTTTTTCTCGGTTTATTTGACCATACTCATCATCATTCTCATCATCTCTTCTTTAATCTATTCATTCGTTGTATAAACAAAATAAATAATCTCTGTATTTTATACACGGAAATATAATTATTAGTATTACAATTACACAACTAAGTTTCTTTATCAATTATTTATTATACGTATCGCTTGTTTAATTCCAAAATATTTCGACATATTATATGCCAATCCATTTCACGAGTTATCCCTAAAGCTTCTTGCCATCTTAATAAATCGTACATGAATATCAAATTAGGTTGGATAATAATGTTCAATCGACGAACACGGACATATAAATAAGCTCTAAGAACCTCGCATCTGAATCTTTTCATACATTCTGCAATACATACAGTAGCAGATCTTGATACTCCGACCATGCAATGGACTAATACTTTGCCACCTTCATTATATGCAACGTCAATAAATTTTAAAATTTCTTCCAATTGATCAGTAATACAGTCAAATCCATTATCTTGTAAATTATTTATCTTCAGGATATTAAAATCATCCTGAACAAATTGGTGTATTGACGTGCTAGATAATTGAGATGTATCTCCTGTGGTTATGGTTGCGCTTCGTTGTTCTCTAACATTACTTTTCATAACATGCACGTTATGGGTAGTCGACATACCACGATTTCTTACGTCGGATGTTGTAGATGCCTGACTAGGTTTAACCCACGATATTATTTCACCAACAGACACAATGTGAGTAATTCCCAATCTTTTCAATAATTCAGGGGATTGAGCATGTTCTAAAGATCCCAAATATAGATGATCTAGGATTCTGGATGGCAAAGGTCCGTTCAGTTTATTCAAATTAATATTGGTCTCAGATAATTTCGTGAAAAAAATATTACTAAACATTTCAGAATCGATCTCTAGTGGTTCAGGTAAATCATCGTTGGGACAACTGTTATATCGTTCAAAATTATCCTTACGTTTGGGACTAAAACTTCTAATTAATAATTGTAAATGATTTAATACTTGAATATCAGTTTGGAATAAATAAAAAGGTCTTTCGCAATCTGTATTAAGCTTAATGATTACTTCTTCCAAAGGAATATCCCATAAAAATAATAAGTAGGTTACAAGCAAAAATGTTAATTCTGTATATCCATCTCTACAATGTAACAATGCTTTATAATCAGTTCGACGAGATATTATGTACATGAAGTAACAGGTATTTAAAATATTTCCAATAGAAGACATATTTAAACTTCCTAGGCCAATACTACCAGAACTTGGGAAGGAAAACATAATATCTTGTTGTGGTCCCATTGTTACGTCTAATGTTTGACATAAAATATCCCATAATTGTTCAGTTGTTAATAATGCAGCATTTTCTGAACAACGAATAAATAAATTTTTATCAACATTTTTCTTTTCTTGACATTCAACAAATGGAATATTAAATAAATTCTTTTCTAAGTTCAAAGTATCAACTTCATTTAAATTAATTCTATTCCCTTCTCCATTATTATGTATCACTGTGGTTAAATCAATTGAAGGTAGAGTTAATATTGAATTGTTAGGAGAGTAGTAAGGATATTTCTTGTTATCTTCTAATTTAAAAGATTTTCCATTGTATATATTGTCATTTGAATTAAAGAATTTTATTATTCTAAAATCTGTAGTATTTCCACACCAAAAAGAATGTTCGAGATCAATACATGATCTTGATGTCAATTTAGCCATCTCTAACTTTTCGTGTATCTTAAATGCCCTATCCCAGTTATTAAACAAGATTGCATCATACGGAGAAGTTATTGTTCCTCCGAGTTCTGGATTCTCTCCACCTCGTTTCATAGTATTATTCAAAGGCGGTGTACCGATTAATGAGTTCGGTATAGTATTGAAACCACTATGTTTTAAAATGTATATGTTATCGTTACAATATGGAGTCATTTCTTTTTTATTTAATAAAGTCATTGACAAAATTAATAATTTTTTGAAATGAATACAATATTCACATGAATCATGTTCATGATGGTTGTTCTCATTAAGACAATATAGGACAACTCTTGATGACAATTCTAATATCTTAGTACATTGTAAATCAAATCTTCTGAAAGAATTGGTGTATTGTTTCCATAATGCATCAGATGATTTATCTGTATTTAATGAAGAAGTGATACCAACTTTATCTCTATTTGAACCACAAAATTCTTTAATTGATTCAAAATCTGTCTTTAAAAATGGTAATATTTTAAAATGAATGCATAATTTAATAATTTTATTATTTTGAATATCAGATAAATGGATATCTAATCTTTTAAGAATCCAATTCAAAATTTCATGTAAAAAATCTTTAATTGTTGTAAGATTTTCTAATATTGAATAATTTTTCGAATAAAACTTTAATAGGTTATGGTTAATAGAGTCTGACCAAGCAACAAATATATCATGTGGTTCTACAGAATTCTTAAGTATACCTGAATCTTCTAATGTTTCAAAATCCACTATTTGTCTAGATCGTATTATCATGGTTCTTCCTACACCACGTGGCGGACAGTCCTTTGAATAACTATGTAACCAAGGAAATAGTAGATCGTATGGTGGGATCACTGTAGTTGTATCAGATTCTATCCATCCTTGTAGTTCATTAGGCGTTGTGAAACGAATTGGTTCATTATTATATTGAAGAATGTCTGTACTATCAAACATACGTTTGTTTACTTCTCTATCTAGATCATTTCTCAAATCAACTTCAGACGGTTTCATTGAAATTGCACCTTCTTGAACATCCAAAATAGAAGATAGCATTTGTTAAAATATATATATTTATTCGTAAAATTAAAATGATGAAATGATGAAAATTGTCTCCAGGAATATGACGAGTCGTAAATGATAACTGTATTGTCTTACTGTTGAAGTAGACAAATACAGGATACTGCTCTAAGCGCACACAAGCACACACACACCTGGTTTGGTTTCAACTTATATTTTAGAGCCTTCAACTTAAGTTGTCAAACTATCTAAGTAAGGTTCCTCTTTCTTAAAAAAAGTGTGTGCGTATTCATCTATCCATCGTTTTGTTATTTATCTACCTGTCTTAAGTCCTCGTCATTTTCCTTTTATGTGGAAATTTAAAAAACAAAAATATTTACATTTTCTGGCTTTCTTCAATATGCACACAATAATGTAAACTATAGTTAACATATTCCCATTAAGAACCCGAAGGAAATTGAAAAGTCATCGCTTCATTTCTTAAATTGTAAGCAACTCGAAAACGCGTTAATTGCTTATATAACATAATAGATACATAGATACCTATATGTATGTATACAAGAGAGGTCACAGAGTATTGGTAACTTTGCAATTTGGGAGAATATCAGGTAGGTGAGGCTTGTGTACTTGGAAGCAGAGGATATATAATACTACATTGTTTTAAAGGAATTTACTATTCTTGAAAATGTCATCTGAAACTATTGAAATTGAGCAGAATGAAACTGAGGTTACCATCGAGAATGCTAAATCTTTCTTACCAAGGTTACCATTGTCGAAAGCTAAAAAGATAGCCAAGATGGATTCTGAATATTTGTTAACTGCGAACGCTGCAATGGTGGCTACTACCTTTGCTACAGAATTGTTTGTCCAATCGTTAGTAGAGAGTGCATTGGCTATGAATCAATTAAATCGTAATAATAAGAACAAGACCGATCCTCAAAAGGTTAAAAGCGCAAGATTAACATATAATGATTTAGCAGAATCTGTATTAAGAAAAGAGTGTTTCCAATTCCTGGAAGATGTAATACCGAAAGTACAACCACAATCAAACTCGAAGAAAAATGTACAGACTGTCAATAAAAGTATGCCTACCAAAAATGAAGAGGAAAATGAAGAAGAGAATAATATTACAAATGATGATGATGATGAACCCCCACAAGAACCTAGAGCAAACACTACGGCTGAAATAAATGAACAAAATACAACGAATAAACAGCACACTTTATCATTTTTTAAGAAATATCAGTATAATTCGAACGATAAAGAGGTTGATACAAGAACTGAAAATATTGAAGAAGAAGAACAGGAAAATGATATAGAAATGCTGGATGCGTTTCCAATTAACCAAGATGAGGATGAGGATGAGGATGAGGATGAGAACGTTGAAGAGCATAGTGCAGTCGATTCAGAACTTCAAAAACATTTATCTCAGGTAGAACAATTGGATCATGTGGTTGACGTTGATGACGAAACAGACAAAGCCTCAAGAATGAAAGAGCGTATGGCACTGAACAGAAACCAGGAAGACAATAACGACGAATTGAATTCCTCGGACAGTGAGAGTGACACAGATCTGATTTCTAAATAGTTTAAATAAAGTCTATAAGATAGAATATAGATAGATCATTGTTAGTATTATATTTGAGAAATGAATATTCTGAAATAAATAAAGGTTACCCTTATTTAACATGTGACTTTTGGGCATTTCGGTTGGTATTTGTTTGCGAGAGCCAAAAGCGAAGACGGAAAAAACGAAACAGGCATATAGAATATACTAAACAAGGTAACCTAACTGAAATTTATCAATACATTAGAAACTTCGATGAAAAATTTAACAATTCTAGTTCCAAGAACGAAAAAGAAATAGGGAAAATAATCGATACAACTAACTTCTCAAGTAAACTAATTCGTTTATTCTCTTTGCGTGGATTTCTTACTAATAGAACAATTTCATTTCTTTGTTGGTTTTAGCTACCTTCAATCATATACTTCCCCAGAGCTACATAACTTGAAAATATACTTACAATGTCCAAGAAACAAGAATATATTGCTAGAGTCAAATACTTTAACAATCTTCCAGCGCCATCGGTTGCTCCAAAGTTACTAAATTACATTACTAATTCAGAGGAAGATGCAGATGCCCCACAATTAGTCACATCATTATATAATAAAACTAATGTGACCCCATTGATTGACTTAGACAATGATCTAGGTATGCCACTGGATTTGATGAATATTCCAGGTCTGTTAAACAAAAATGATACAAAACTTTTATACGGGTTTGAAAATATTAAATTACATCCAGATGATCGTGTCCTATTGAGAGACCCAAGAGCTGATAGATTGGCAAAAACTGACACTGCAAAGGTTAGTTTCTTAAGAAGAACAGAATATGTCTCATCTACGAACGCTACTCCAGCCGGTACTGGCAATGGGAAGAAAAGAGCAAGGGACACATATGAGCAAAGAAGAGGCTTGAATAACGATGATGATGATGATGATAGAATACTCACGGCCCCTGAGATTGTTACTAAAGTAGAAAACACTTTTGATTCTACTTCAGAAGATTTATCTAAACTTGTACACCCTGTTAAACGTCATCTAAAAGCTGTGGAATCCTGGAATTTGCTTCCAGATACTGCCTCTATGGATGAAAATTACTTTTCATTGAGATTAGTTGGTAGTGCTGCATTAGATAAGAGAGAAAAGGATAAATTGGCTTTGAAGACAGCTATCTTTAGACCTGTGGAATTGGAAGAAGACGAATGGATTTCTATGTATACTACCGACAAGACGGATTCAGATATTTTAAACAAAAACGTTGAGAAGGTTATTAGTGAAGAGGCAGATGATAATGATGAAAGCAATAATAAATCCTTCAAATTTAAAAGAGTTAGAGATTTTGATATGCAACAAGCTCAAAAGACTACAGATGAGGGTATACCAGATTTGGATCAATCTAGACTTGGCGAATTGGCTATTCTGTTCAATCAGGAAAGAGGTATTGCCTATTATAAACCACTACGTGCTAGAATTGAATTAAGACGGAGACGTGTTAATGATGTTCTTAAAACTATCGTTAGAGAACACACAGTGGATCAAATCAATATTTCTGTAAGAAATCCAACTACGAAGGAGGCAAATGCTGTTGATAGACTAAGAATGAAATATGATCCTATTAATTTTGTTCCAGTTGATGATGAAGATAGTAGCAATAGTGAACATGAAGTAAGCAAAGGAGATTCTAACTTAGAAACGCTAACTAGTCAGGAATGATATGATGAAAAATAATAAATATCTACCACTTTACCATTCATTGAAATATTTTTATATTATTATTCATTAAAAATCAAGTAAGTAGAATTCGAAAGTAAAGATATAATGTAATATAATAAACATTCAATAAAACAGATATTTATTTATTTATAATGTATTCTGGATACGTTACATATATCGTGTTTACTTTCTTCTATAAGGGAGAGTTTCCTTTAAATTTTCTAAAATCTTACGATCTCCTAACGATAATTGCAGAACTTTGCCAGCCACCAGCTGCAATTCCAACACATATATTTCCCTCCCCGATATCTATCTTTCGTGGTGTCTCTACGATAACATTATTGCGCCCTTCAAGATGACCCCACGGTTGGTCTTCATATACTCCTAAACCAAGACATCCGCACATTTGACTTTCAGAACCTGAAACATATATCTGACCCTTTTTGGTCAAAATCAATGTGTGATAATCTCCACTAGAAAGAGAAACTATATGATCATCATTTCCTTCATCTACCTTCAATTCTTTTATTGTTTCTAATTCAATTTGGTTATCTTTTAACTTAAATGAGTAACAATGATCGACAGTGAATAGAATAATAGAATTAAAACAAGATACCAACTTCGAAATTTTTTGTTTTATTGGAGTCTTTATCTTTTCAGTGACTTTGTTTGAATATCTATACAAGAACTCACCTGCTTCATCGATGTAAAACACTACTTTATCTGAGAGACATGTAAAATCGATAATTTTAGCCGCGCCGTTCGATTGAGACGTTCCACCAATAACCTCATACAATGCATAGCTACTTGTTTCTCCAGATTTCAAAGGATCTCGTTCCCTCCATACTACTAAACCAACGTTATACTGGTAGATACAGTTAAAGTTCCATCCACAAGCTATTTTTAAAATTGGATCTACAGAAGATGTTGGAAGGTCTCTAAATTTAATTCTGATTCCATCATTAGATTCTGGGCTATCCCAAACATATATGTTCCCTTCGGTAGAAAGTGCTAAGAAGTGAGTTCTTCCAGATGTTACGGCTGAAAATTTCACCGAATCAAGTAGTTGTTTATCAAATTGAAGAATATTATCTTCGTTCATATTGTATAGGGGCAATGATTCTCTGGGAAACATTCTTGTTAAATATTCATTTCCAGGTGCTGTTTCTCGAATTTCCTTATTGAGTGCTTCCAAATTCTGATACACATTTGCATGTGGTGATCCAATTATAGGGACTCCTATGGTAAGGTTCTGCTGATCACTTACAGTTCGATGAATATTAATGGGGGTAGCACCATGATGTGGTATAGATGGGTTGGTCAGATGTGAAAAGCTTAATTCTAATAAGTGTGCAAGTTCTCTGAACTGATTATAATCAGATTGACCCTCTCTTGGCCCAGGTCCCCTAATTCCACCTGTAAAGGATGTCCCGGTAGAGAATATCTTACCTGATTTCGTCAGTATTTGAAAAGAAAATCCACCCCCAGTAACAGAGACAATACTATCATTGTTATTTCTAATGTTATCACTGTTTGAATCCCATGGGACCTGTGTAGGAAGACAGATAGCCATTCTCACAGGATTATAATTGTAAGGCGAAGAATCATCATCTGTATTTTCAAGTCTATGCGCAAAATTGTTTGTTAATGGATTAATAAAAGGGTTCGATGATGCACTATAGCCCAATCTACCTTGTTTAATAGAACCCCAAGTTAACAATTTTGCCGTTTCTGTTCTTAATCTATAACGTTCTGCCCAACTATTGGTCAACGTTAGGTTGCTAATAATTTGTTCAGAGCAAGACTTAAATGTATCTGAACCTCTCCCTTGGAATGGCTCGACATTTGTATATGGTGAACCATAAATTTTGTGGTATAATTCTTTCCAAAGGGTATCTGAATTCTTGTAATCTAATAATTTGTGATAGTACTTATTTGTTAAAGACAAATTTTTAATATCCTCAGTAGAGAGATAAGGAAGAGTTTCTAATATGACATCTGGTGGTAACGCATTGCTATTATTTTGGCTGATTGAAGACATGTCAAGCTAGGTAGTCTAGATTATGTATGTGTGTATTTACGTATTTTGATTGTGTTAATTCGATGATTCGAACGTTTCCCCTAATTTTTTATGTTTCTTTAATACTTGCCTTTTTTAACTTTTTAAAGGTCCGAGAGGATAAATTAATTTTGGAAAGCTTCTCAGTGATATTCAAAAAATAATGCGAAGTTAAATAATTATGTATTATATCATATAAATAAGTTAAAATATTTATAATCTATTGATAACGTTATAAAGAATTTCTGCCATATTGGAAAAATTCTTTATACGCAAATTTTCATTGTATAAATGGCAATTATCAGTAGATTGACCACATGGAATTTGAACAGCAGGTGCTTCAAATATCCTTTCCAATGTACGAATGCATGGGATAGAACCACCTTCTCTAACAAATAAAGGTTGCATATTCCAAGCTTTTGTAATTTCTTCCTTTAGAATTTGGTATGCATCATTTTTCGGGTCTCCTAACCATGGCTCTGCAACATTAAGAATTTTTACCTTTAAATGATTACTTGAGGAAAGTTTCTCAAAGCAATCTTTTACATATTGTTGAAGATTCTCCTTTACAGAATCTACACTTTGCCCTGGAACCAGACGTATTGACATACCAATAGAAGCAGATCTGGGAATGACGGTGATGTTACCAGGACCACTAGTACATAATGTGGTTAAGGACAAAGAAGGTTTTGTCCAGTTCTTAATTAACTCTTCGGTTGAACCATTTTTCTCCATTTCAGCCATTTCTGAAATCTCAGAAAATCGTATTAATTCTTCTTGGTCAATATCTTTAACATTATCATAGAAATTAGGGATCCTGATTGAATCATCATCATTTTGTAACTTGGATATAATTCTTATTATATCGGTCGTTGGTTCTTGTAGAATACCACCATTAACACCAGAATGACTGTCTGGTACATCGGAATACACCGTGACTCTAGCATTAATAACACCCCTTAAACCATAATTTAAACATGGGTGGACAGTATCTACCCACGTAGAATTACTTAGCATAATCCAATCTATTTGTTCTCCGATTATGTTCTTGTATTTTTTACAAACTTCTGCAAATCCTGGGGAGCCAATTTCTTCATTACCTTCAATTAAGAAAACTACATCATTTTCTAACTTATTTTGTTTGTGTAGCATAGCAACACTATGGATAGCGCTCACTAACGGACCCTTATTATCACTAACACCACGACCCTTCATATAACCATTTTCACATGTCAGTATAGATGGATCAGTATTCCACCTATCTCTATCACCCGGATGAATAACGTCATAATGACCATACCAAAGTATTCTACGTTTATCGTTATTCTTTTCATTACCAGTGAAAGTAGCCACAATAGCTGGATTCAGCGAATCAGAAATAGGCAATAATCTCGATTGGGATGCACCAAGAGTTGCAAATAACTGTTGTAAATAAGTGGCACATCTTCTCGAAGATAATCCAAAGCTTGTTCCATCCGTAACTTGGGAGACTGTTTCAAATGCAGTTAGATCCTTTAGAGTATTCAACATATTTTCGGTATTAACCTTCTGCGTTTGTTTAGAGTCTGACCAATTTTCTTCCAAATGTGTCAAATTCAGATCTTTCCCACACGCTAAACATGATAAGTTCCATAAAGTCAATGAACCATCATTACCACCAGTCAATAAATTTGGATAAACTTTCCCATTAGGACCAATTCTTTCAAAGATACCAGAACTTAAAATCTTACCTTGATGAGTATTTATTAATTCAACTTCACCCTTTTGGAACAAAGTTATGCCACTTTCATTTGCGGCATATATGCAATCATTATAAACAGATAACGAAATAATATCGGATTTAACAGGAGTTGATAAGGTTGAAACACTTTGATTTGTACTTAAGTCCCAAATTTTCACTGCCCCATCACCCAAACCACAATAGAGAAATGGAAACTCTACATCTTGCGAGAGGACACTATCTTCACAATCTAACATTTTACAGAAATATAACGCTACATCATTGTTTTCATCCCCAACAAATACCCAAATCTTCGTGGTTCCATCACCACTACCCGTAATAATGTATTCACAAATAGTAGCATCTTTAACAGGAGGACAGCCACTGCAATCACTCTCCAACAAATCCTTAAATTGAGAATCTAATTCACAAATTGAATATATGAACCCATTATGTGCATAATTGACAATGTTATTTGATGGGATCTCCAAAATGGTATTAGTTAAAATTTCTAAATTTTCATCTAGGGAGAGTTTTTCAATTGATGACTCCATTGGTAAAAATGGACTAGCAGAACCTGTTGGTCCATTCGAATCAAAAAATTTATTATAACGCCTATGAGGTAATCTATTTGCATTTGATTCTGCACTTGATAAAACCCCTTTTAATCTTTTGAACACATTATCTAAATACAACAAACTTGCATTTTGACAACCAAACACTAAAGTCTCCAATGAGTCAATAAATCTAATTGAAAATATATCACCAATATCTGTTACAGAGTAAATTGTCACCAATTCATTAACTTCTACATCAGTATCAACAGTATTAGTCACTTCCCCAATGGACCATATTCTAACTAAGGAATCTGCGCCTGCAGAAAATAACGAATTTTCATCCTTTGATTTATCTAGGCACAAAACACTTGATCTGGTATTCACTTCGATAGACTGCCCTAAATGTAATATTTTAATTAAATTATAAGTAACTGTATCAAACACTAGAATTTTAGAATCCTGAGTACCTGCGAATAATAATTTCTTATGGGGAAATGCACATGTGGATAAAATCGAGTAGGTATGACTCCATTTATGTACCAATTCCAATGAATCAGACATACTTTATGATGATATGTGTATGATAATTTTTTTTTTCAAGAAACTAGTAGGTATCGAAAAGTTTGCAAAGAAATATTAATATATATGTTGAAACCCAAATACTCTTATACTTCTCTTTTATTAATCATAAAACTCATAAACATATCACTTCTCAATAAATGACTGTTTCAGATCATAATGTGTATTTGTCTGCAGTAAGTCAATTTCCAATATTCACTGAAAAATAAAAATAAAAATAAAAAAATGTGTATAAAATTGTATGTGTGAAGTGAATCACATCACATATTCAAGGTGTTCCGTAAAGTAAGACAGATCCTCTCATTTTGCCATAGAATATGAAGAGAAAAGAGCAGAATATGTTCAGTTAGTTATATTCATTACATATTTATATACAAGGTAATGAGGGATCATGCTGTTTAAGTAATTGAATATCTGTAAATAGATCTCTTATGCATCGGAACTTCTAAATAGCAAATGTGGAAGAGATAACACTTAAAATGGTACGCATTATTAGTAGCTTGTGATAGTATATATAGTGTAATTAACATTTTAAACGATAAAACTATCTGTAACAAACTTAACCTCAAAATCATAGTATTATCATGCCGAGTTAACTTTCTTACCTGTCTCTTTATCGTGGTGATATATCCAATTGGTTATTCGTTAGCTTTGCACCGCTTAACGGCAAAAACTATCTACTTTTCTTCTTTTTGTGCTGGGGAGAGAGCGAACCGTAAAATTATAATGAAATTCATTAAATGAAATTGATAAATAACAAGGGAAGAAACATTTTAAATATTTGAACCATAGCATTAAAGTTTGAAGTAAAACTCTCAAGTTGTGAGATTATATATAAACATACTACAGTAGAAGAATTTAAGAATGAAGCCTACATCTGTTAGATATTTTAGTCAGACTGCGGTAGAACAGCTGACAAGACCCTGGAAGAAATACCGTGATGGTACTCTATTCTATGGTTTAAGTAAATCAGGGAACAGAAGAACTCCATTAACTACAAAACAAGGGAATAAGACTATGTATAAAGGTACTAGATCCTCAGGTATTGGTAAGCATACCAAGTTTGGTGAATATGTGATTAACTGGACCAAAGTACGTACTTATGTGACGCCCAAATACTTAAATATGGATTTGAAACCTTTATTGAGTAGTAACTTACCTGAATTAAAACATGAATTTAAAGGGTACTCAAAGGGTCCACAAGATACTAAATTATATATTCAAAAATTGAAGGATTTTATCATGAATGGTAGAGTTCAAAGTGAAGCAAGTGATGTTAACTGCTATGTTGAAAGGGGTTAGTTAAGCTAATGTTAACCTTTTAAAATTCTGTAAATAAGACATTGAATGAACGTATAATATATATAGATGCTAATAAGACCAATATATGTATACTTAAATATATAACTAATATTATATTTCACACTATTTCAAATTTCGGTATATATGTTAGATATTAATACAAAAAAAATACTTCTAGATTTACATATACATACCAATGAAGATGTGTACGGTTGCAAGTTTGTAATCTGTTTTGGGAGATGGACCTTATAATTGATGCAATTAGATAAATAAAAAATATGAATACACTAACTTCTTGATAAGAGCTGCACATCGATCAGAAACCCATACCGGCTTGTAAAATATTACCTAGGTTACTTTCACCACCATTTTGTTGGAAATCCAAGGAAACGATTTCTAATAAGGAGAAACCACCAGAAACACCAACAACCATACCAGCACCTTTACCCTTTAGACCTAATAGTTCACCGGCAACAGCAACTATAGCTAAGATGGCTGCACCAGTAGTAGCAGCAGTTGGAATAACCTTGCCTAGTTCCTTAGCCATGTTTTGTTCTCTACGACCTAGCAAAGTAATACTCTGTTCCTTGAAATCTCTAGCAATATCACGAGCAGATCTACCAGAGATGGCTTGCCATTTAGTAGCAAACCAAACACCGGTAGAAACCATGAATAAAGTGTAGACAACAAAGGATAATGGTTGTTCAGTGATACCACCGACAAGAGATCTTGGTGGAGTCAACATCGATAATGGGAAAGTTGGAGCAGCGATAATATTGTTAACGTTCTCATAATGGCCTAATACTTTACAGATTATGTTTTCTTGGTTGTTCTTAGCAATAATTTGAATCAAAATAAAGGCACCAATGTGAATGTAGAACAAACAAACGTAGGAGAAAATGACTGATAAACAACCAGTGTAAATCAATTGAATTGGGTACATTTGGTTAGTACCACGAGCTCTAGTAGATCTAATGGCGATTTCGTAACGATAGTTTTGTAAGTAACAGACAAAACCACCTAAAGCAATGACCAAGAAAGTAGTCGTCATATTTGGTAAGTAATCTCTGTTGAAAGCAGAGATTATACCACCAAACAAAGTTCTATGCTTAGCTCTTAAACCTTGGATCAAATTCACTAAAGCACCTTGTGCTTCGTTGTTCCCTTCAGCATCGACAGTAATTTGGGCAACACCTAGAGTGTCAGAGACTAGATTGGTAGAAACAGCAATGGTGTTAATAATCATAGCACCTGCACCAAGACCAAATCCCTTGTCAATGACTTCAGTCAATAGACAGGCAAATAGACCACCCATCACTAATTGAATGTTGATGACAACCATTTGGGCAATAGATAAGTTAGAACCATAGTAACCAGAGAAAATGAAAATGTTAGCAAGGACAAAATATTGGAAGATGGAAAATAATTTTGTTAGGGATTGGAATAATTCTCTGTCAGCCTTCACTTTGAAGTTAACTTTAATAACTTTCAAACCAGCAAGTAATTGTAATATGATACCACTGGCAAAGATAGGTAATAGACCAAATTCCAGGATTGTACGTGGTTCAGCAGCAAAGACACCACGTAAAAAATACAATGGGTCATTAACTGCTGGTACATCATCCTTACGAAGACCTGCTAATGGGAATTGAGCAAACAGATAGATTAAACCTGTGAAGATGGTGTAAACCATCTTATCATCGAAGGAGATCTTTTCATAAGGAATTTCAACTTCTGGTAAAATTGGTAGGAATGGCTTTGCCAAATCGATCAAACGGAAACCAGCCATAATGTAATGTATCGAATTTGGTTTACTGCTTCAATAAAGAACTGAAATATGACAAAAACAACTTTATACAATAAAAATATTTGAAATTTAACAAGTATAACTGTTAATTATAATAACCTTTGTGATGAAATGTACCTTTAACGATAACGGCGACAACGACACGAACACGTAGTAAATGTAAATGTGTGAAAAAAGAGACGACAATTTATAAATTACAATAACCAAAATTTGTCTCGTTATGTTTCCATGACCAAAATTTTTCACTTTCCTTCGTCGTCAAAAATGATTTTGTGGCCCTTCGTATTTTAGAAGCGTAACTCTAATGACCAATCTCGTTAAAAACTGATAGTAAAGATATAATTTTGGTTGACACTAAAGTTCACGATCATAGCGAACAATTATCTTTTACGGTAGAGTTGTATATTATGGGATCTTTTTTATATTATAGTATATTTTATAGATAAAGAAACAGTCCTATCAAATTATGTTGCAAACTGATAATCTTATTATGCCTATGTATCACGTCACTCACTGTGGTAACAAATATGACTAAAAACTGATAAATGTCATAAGTAGAAACCAGTAGTGATACACATGTATTTTTAGTACGTGTTTTGGACCCCAATAGATGACAAGTCCAGAAAATGAAACTTGTACAATAACTTATCCAGCAGTATGTATCAATCCATATTATCGAATAGAATATGACCTGAATGGAGAGTTCCTCGAACAAAAGTTTCATCAATCATATTCCTTAAATATATACATATTTTTATGTGAAAGTTAATTGGTCTTTCGTTATATTTCAATTTTGTATTTTCGTTATCGACATCTCCGAAAACCAGTATTTAGCCGCCAGACGACGCAAAAAGAGGAGACGTCGAATAGTTGACTTTAGATATTTTGTATCATTTTGCAATAAACACAAACAAGAACAAATATATTAAAAGAGGAAATGCTCCTTACAAGTATTTATTTGTTTAGTCCTTGGGTTCTAGTTTTAGAGTTTATTTGAATAAAATTAATAACAAACAAACCGTTGCAAATTCCAATGTCAAGTGTCTTCCAATATCTACATTCACGTTTCTCCTCAAATAATAATAATAACAATAACCAAATATCGAATATTATTACTGAAAATGGAGGAGGCAGTTCAGTTAATTCTAGGGTTGTAAACCTAGACGTTGTCAGTATTATGTCAGAACATAATGTGGATGACGATGATGACGAAGAAGAAGAAGAAGATTATGATGATGAAGAAGAAGAAGAAGTAAGTAACGCAGAAATGGCAAGATATTTCCAGAGCTTTCGAGAAAAGAAGAATATAAGCACTGATTTAACCTTTAGAGTGTGTCGAATGCAAGCTAATGATGTTCAACAACAAGCGGGTATTACTTTAGACGATCAAAAGAAAAGACGTACTAGAAGTGATGAAGTCCCTTTAATTTACAACAAGAAGAGACAAAACATTCAAACTGAACTTGAAGTAGAATCTAAACCAGTAGAATATGATGATAAATGGTTAAGAATTCTGAAAGGTATTAATAGACGTAATTTTAACACCGGTAGAAAATATAGATATATAGAAGAGAGGATTTGGAATAATACTGGTATTAATTCGTTACCATCTGTTGAGTTACCTACAATTGATTAACCCCAGTTCAAAAAATAAAATATAAACCTTATCCTGCTGTTTTTGTCTTTTTAACGATAACGTCCATATCCATATATTTTCTTCTTCCCACGACAAATATCACATAACAAACAAATTAAAACAAAAATCAAAAATACATATATATATATAATGCCCTATTCTACTGATAATATATAATTTTAAATAGATTTATGCATTTATATATGATATATTCATATCTATACATATAACATCAATCGCCGCAACGAACTTCCTAATTTAAGACATCAGACCATTTTTCTTACCTTTATGTAGAAATTTGTAATATTTTCACCAATCATTTTGGTTTATATAGTAAAAAATACGAAGTCAGTATCATCCGACTAATCCGCCGGATAAACACAAGATATATATTACCCATTCATTAAGGTATCATTGTACTCCAATCCATTATTCTCTATCACTCCACTATTAATCTTGTCTTTTAAACGAACATTCCATGTAAGCTATATTTTGCTTTAGAATAGCTAATTACTATTCTCTATCGCTACAAATTAAACCTTTTTTTTCTATCACCACAATTTACACAACTTCAGCCGGTTTTCTCACCTTCTCATTGTAGCTTATCGGAGGCGGGGAGGTGAGGGGGAAAAGGTTTCCCTCATCACGAACAGTAAAGACGGGTGTGCCATCTATCTATCTGTCCATCCGGCATGAGCTTCCATTCTATATATTTATATAAAAAGTAGATAAAAGAAATAGGATAGTAAGATATAATTATTTTGGACCTTTTCAAATATTGTTCGTTCTATTACATGAATATATAAGTATAATAAGATAACAAAATACAGTCAATACAATATGGTGTATATGAAACTGGCTGCATTGGCACCCTTATTATTTTCTGCTGAAGCTTTTGTGCTTCCAGGCTTGTTCCAACAAGAGTTTGCTACCCCTGAATTGCAACAATTCCTAGAAGTAAATGGAGAATTGACTCCTCAGGTTATTAAGGAATCTCTAGACGCTAACTTCTGGAAACCTCATGTTCCATACTTCTTAAAGCCTTTAGTTGAAACTGAGAAATTACAAGAAAAGATTCAATTGGAAGATTTGAATACTACTGCTCAAGACTTGTATGAACTGGCTAAGAAATCTAGAAAGAAATATGGTCATCCAACTCGTGTCATTGGTTCTCCAGGTCACTGGGCTACCATTGATTATATCTTGGAGGCTTTAGATGGTATGTCTGATTATTATAACTATACTCTACAAGAATTTGATGCTTTGTCAGGTAAAGTTAATTCCTTTAACTTAACCGATGCTAAGACTGGTATCAGTTTCCCAAATTCTACTGCTTTTTCTTTATCTCCTCCTGTTAAACCATTCGTTGGTGAATTAATTGAAATCCCAAATTTGGGTTGTAATGAAGCTGATTACAAATCCTTGGAAATATTCCATGGTGAACAATTAGAAGATAACAGCGTAAAGAAGATCGCATTGATCGAAAGAGGTAAATGTCCATTCGGTGTTAAGAGTAATCTAGCTGGTAAATACGGGTTCCATGCTGCCGTCATTTATGATAATGAACCAGAAAATGGCGGTGAGGGACTTCATGGTACATTAGGTGAACCTACTAATACTACTATTTCCACGATTGGTGTCTCTTATGATGTTGGTGTCTTATTGGTGACAAATATTGAAATAACAAAACATTATTCTGTTAAGTTTGCCATGGATTCCACTGTCAGTAATATTAAGACTAAAAATATTATTGCTGATACTAAACATGGTGACCCAGAAAATATTGTCGCACTTGGTGCTCATTCTGATTCTGTTGAAGAAGGTCCAGGTATCAATGATGATGGTTCTGGTACTATTTCTTTATTGACTGTTGCCAAACAATTGACCCATTTCAAGATTAATAACAAAGTTCGTTTTGCTTGGTGGTCTGCTGAAGAAGAAGGTTTATTAGGTTCGAATTACTATGCATACAATCTAACTCAAGAAGAAAATAATAAGATTAGAGTCTTTATGGATTATGATATGATGGCTTCACCGAATTATGAATATGAAATTTACGATGCTAATAATAAAGATCATCCAAAGGGTTCTGAAGAATTGAAAAAATTGTACATTGATTTCTACAAACATAACAAATTAAACTATACTTTGATTCCATTTGATGGTAGATCTGATTATGTTGGATTCATTGAAAATGGTATCCCAGCTGGTGGTATTGCAGCAGGTGCTGAAAAGAATAACGTTTGGAATGGTCAAGTCTTAGATAGATGTTATCATCAATTATGCGATGATCTAACCAACTTAGCTTGGGATGCTTTCCTAATCAACACCAAATTAATCGCACATTCTGTAGCCACATATGCTAATTCCTTTGAAGGATTCCCTCTAAGAAACGTTAATGGAACTGTCAATACAACTGAAACTTCTGTCGCAAGTACTAATAATGTCTACAACGAAGTTCCAGTACCACAATTCAAGTACGCAGCCGACTACCTTGTCTACTAAACTAGTCTGATTAATTATTTATTTTCTCCCTCTCTCTCTTTATAACTTCCTACACTAAATTTTTCTATCCTGATCTGTAATATTTTTCAATTATAATAAATAGTAAATAAATTCACATCGTAATACTATTATAACAGAATGAGATATGGTATGGTTCAATATATATATATATACATAATAAATGAAACATATGACGCAAACCCTAACCCTAACCTCTCCCAGTAATTAGGGCTACTAACAATCGGAGACACACAGCCACAGTCTACTATACACCCATACACCTGCAGAGACATGTGCTTCATCCCCACTGTGCACCCTTTAAAAATATCGTTTTATCCGTTTTGAGTGTGAACGATGAGAGCGATACACTAAATTATTCAGGTTTCCAATTACAATGAATTTTTATCATCTATCATTTATAAGGCAATCTTGATAACAATAATGAAACAATAGTTAGGTAAGAGGCGAAGTATTTTTTTATGGCAGGTTTGTCTTGATGTTGCAGTTGTCTTTTAACTTGTTACTTTAACTTGCAAATCGTATATAGTATTATAATTATTATATAAGTTCATATTCTATTTGCTATATTTGAATCTTACCTAATTTTATTTTAGGGAACAAAAACATTGGAAGTTTTGATCGTTTAGTGATTACAATTTCAATTTAAAAAGAGAAAGAAAAACATAGTTAGTTGAAAGAATAACCATATTAACATACAGTTACTTTATCATTTTTATTTTATTAAGTGAAAATTTATGACTTTGGCGGTAGCAGAAACATTTACATTTTCTCATCTAGCCTATTTGGTATTTGAATCTGTCTTACAGGTTGTAATCATTGCATTAGCAGGTTTCTGGAGTGCACACTCTGGACTATTACCTAAATCATCTCAAAAGATTATATCTCTTTTAAATGTCGATCTCTTTACACCATGTTTGATCTTCAGTAAATTAGCAAAATCATTATCCATGGCAAAGATCATGGAAATCGCTATTATTCCAATATTTTTTGCATTAACAACAGGTATATCTTTTTTATCAGGTAAAATTATGTCCATGATTTTGAAACTAGATAAAGATGAATCTAATTTCGTTGTGGCAAATTCGATATTCGGTAATAGTAATTCATTACCAGTATCGTTAACTTTATCTCTAGCTTATACTTTACCAGGTTTAACTTGGGATCAAATTCCAAATGATAATAGAGATAATGTTGCATCAAGAGGTATATTATATTTATTGATCTTCCAACAAATTGGTCAAATGTTAAGATGGTCATGGGGTTATAATAAATTGATGAAATGGTCTGGTGAAAATACAGAACATATGCCACCCTCTCAGATTTTAGCTTTGCAAGAATCTGGTGGTTCGATTCCATCACCACCGTCTTCATCAGATTCTATGACAAGACCTCCTTCAACACCGGATTCTATTTCAATGTCTGTAGAACCAACTGATAATGATAATGATTCTGACAGTCTATTAGCTAATTCTACTGAAGGGAATAGTACCATTAGATATAAATCATGGTTCCAAGTTGTTATGATATTCAAAAAGGTCAGATCATATTTGAATCCACCATTATATTCTATGATACTTTCTATTTTGGTGGCTTGTATTACTCCTTTACAACATGAATTGTTTCATAAGGATGGTTTCATTAACAACACATTTGCAGAAGCTGTGACTCAATTAGGTTCTGTATCAATTCCATTAATTTTGATCGTTTTAGGTTCAAATTTATATCCATCAGATGAAGTTTTCCCAAAGACAAAAAATCATAATAAATTATTAGTCGGGTCTATTGTCGGACGTATGATTCTTCCATCATGTTTTCTTCTACCTATCATCACCATTGCTGTGAAATATATCAACGTTAGTATATTGGATGATCCAATTTTCTTAGTTGTGGGGTTCTTATTAACTGTATCACCTCCAGCTATTCAATTGACTCAAATTACTCAATTGAATGAGTTCTTTGAAGCAGAAATGGCAGATATTTTATTCTGGGGTTATGCTGTGTTAAGTTTACCTGTAAGCATACTAGTGGTTTCAGTGTCAATGTATGTCTTACAATGGGCTAATCCTTCATAAGTAAAATCCATACCTTTCAAAAAATAAAATAAATGTTTAGATGTGCTTTTCTTGTGTACGTTTTCACCTAATGTCTTCTTCACATAGTATTTTCTAGTTCATACATTCTCATATTTTTTATGATATCTATAACTTCATAAAATCAATAAATATTCAATCATATATACAACCCTTCGAATAAAAATAAAATGTCTCTTAGTAATGTGCGACCATAACTACTAACAGTCTTCTGATAATAATATTTCTCTTTTTTTTATCTTTTACATATCTTTTTATTATACATATATGTATATACTTCTTTCTTATTTTTATCTTTTATATGTTCATGCATTATATAGTTCATTCATTTCCTCTTGGATTGTTTCAATAATGATGCAAATCCACCACTTAGTTTCTTCTTCCTTTTCCCTAATGCAGCACTGGCTGATTTAGCACTAATAAAACTAGCTTCTTCTTCTGAAGAGGATGAAGAACTACCACTGGAGTCCGAATCTGAATCTGAATTTGAGTCCGAGTCTGAGTTTGAGTCTGGACCAGGTTTAGAGTTCGAGATATCACTATCTGAATCAGAACTAGAACTAGATTCACTTTCTGATTCACTTTCTGACACTGCACCGTTAGATTGAGAATTACCACCTGTTAATTTCTTGGCTCCTATTCTATTGTTTCCCAACTTACTTTTATCTTTTACATCAGGGATACCTCTAGAGGCAAGATCTGAAAGTGATATTAAGGATGGGCGAATTTTCTTTGGTAATTCAGGAACATCCTCAACAGAATTTTCTACTGTTGAAGTCGATTTATTATTCTGTGTCTTCGCTTTTTCGGGTGATTCTCTCTGGGTAGAAGTAACCATATCTGATTCCTTGAATATAGTTTCATCAGAGTTCTTTTGCGATGGTACTCTTGAATTCACTTTCCCTTTAGGTGGGGCAACGATCTTTCTTCTTGACTTTCTACTATTCACAGAATTATCTTCATCTGAAGAAGATGAAGACTCGTCTGAAGATTCGTCTGAAGATGAACTATCATCTGAGGAGTCATCAGTGGAAAACGAAGAAGAGTTATTCTCGATTCTTGGTTTATGGTTACTAATAGGGCTTGATTTTAAAGTTTTGATTGTGCTTTTTGATATTTCAGGAACCTCACCCTCTAGTTTATTAGAATCAATAATATCTGGCTTGATATGACTAGTCTGTTTATATGCGTTGTCCACATTTTTCGAAACGACAATATTTCCCGAAAATTCCATAGACTGTGAGCCCTTAGCAATGTTGCTGTCCTTCTTTGGTTTCTCCTTCACATTTTGTTTGGTCTCAGTTTCAGAATCAGAATCAGAATCAGATTCGAGGTACTCAGGAGTTTGGAATATTTTAGGTTTTGGTGGTCCACTCCTAGTGGGCGAAGGTTTCGTCCCTTCGGTAGTTTTGCTTCTGATAATCCTCTTACCATTATTTCCAGAAGTTGTTCTTTTACTGGCTTCGTATTTTTTAACAAGGTTGATACGACGATTCGATTCATCATCACTGGAACTATCGTCGCCGGAACTTTCATCAGAATTATCATTTGAATCGTCTGATCCATCGATAGAACTTGCACTTGCACTTGCACTTTCTTTATTTTCTGTTTTCGTTAATTGTGGTAACTTATCTTTATTCTTCAAACTGACATATGGTTTTGAATTAGAGCCCTCTGGGACTTTATTTGCCACCAAAGGCGTTGCCAAAACAGGACCTAACCTTTCTATAGAATTTTTAACTACATTCTTCTTATCTTGTTCCCCTTGTTTTGCTCCCGACTTATTGCCTTCGGTGGTCTCAGGTTTTACGTTCTCCTTCCTTACATCAGTCTTTGTATTGCTTGTAGTCTTCTTGGTATCAGTCTTTATGTTAACATTCTTCTTCGTACCTGTTTTTGGTTTTGAAATAATTGATACCTTCTTGAGTTCAGCAGACTTAGCATTAGCCCGTCTATTAATAAATTTTTCTTCATTTATAGATTTGTTCTGCGAAAGATTTTGAATGATGATATTTCTTGCTCCTTCTTCCCCTTCTTCATTATATTCATCATCTGATGATGAGTCATTACTGCCAGAAGATACTGTGACATTACTTTTGTTTCTTGCATTAGCCTTTTCACGTATAACTTGAACATTTGATATATCACCCTTCTTCCAGCCATTAGATTTACTAACCTTGTCATTATTAACTGGAGTTACAAGTTTTGGTTCTTTTTGGTCATTGTCCATCATGTCTGGATTCTTGGTTAATTTTTCAGGGGTAGGACTGTTGGCCAGTTCCATAACAGTTTTCGATGTAACTAGATTATTTTTGGTAATCATCGGAATTGGCTTCTCCTGTGACTTTTTGGTAACTTCTTCCTTATTTTCAGAATCTTCAGAATTTTTTTGTCTCTTTTCGTGATGAGCTAGAGAGGTAGTAGCACTTCGCTTATTTCCACCTATAGAAGGTTCATATCTAGTAGATATACTCACTGATTTTCCTAGTTCTCTCCCGCTGATGATTTCACCAGTACCAGAAGAAACTTTCAAAGGCGAAAGTTTTGAGGTATCTTCTACGGCGCTAGTAGATTTAATCTTAGCGGATACGGTTGTCGATTTCCCTTGGGAGATTATCTTTGGTGCTGGTAAATCGTGCTCTTTAGAGACGTTATTTTCTGTCTTAGTAGTTTCGATTACAGGGTCATTCTTTATTTTCAGTATTTTCTGAGCTATTGGAGGTTTTACAGATGTTTTGTTTAATAGAATTTTGTTCAGTTGCGATTTGACTGGTATCTCAGGCTTTGTGTTTGTAGTAGCACTTTCCTTAGGTTTAGAAATTTTATTTTTAAATGTCTCTGTCTTATTTACCAGAAGTTCATTTTCGGCGGATAAACTAGTGGTGCTATTCTTTCCAGTTTCAATTGACAAATTAGGTTCAGAATTTTGCGAAACAATAATATTTGAGTCTTTTAGAGGTGACACTATCGGTTCATTTATTTTCTTGGTCACTTCCCTCGATTTAGTTTGAATTGTTTGCTGGCCATCATTTAACGATATTGATACGCTTGCTTTTTCTTGTCTTTTCATAAACAACGAATAGAGATCAGTCTTAGGGGTATCTGGTGATTGGTTATTCACAGTATTTTGTGATACGCCAGATATATCGAACAGAAGTGAGTCATCGTTTGCAAGATTTCTTTGTTCAGATTTCTGTGAAGTGACGATATTTTTTGAGGTTGTATTATTGGAATAATCATTCTTAGTGTGTGAATGTGGAGGAATAGCGTTATTAAATGTACTTGCGTCAAATGGTTTTCTTAAAATAGTATTTTTCTGGTGTAGAAGATTAACAGGTGATCCATTTCCAACCATATTCAAGAGATCTGATTTATGTATTGAAGGATGATTTATGATGGCACTGGTAGGGTTAGTAAGCTTGTCCGGAAGTTCTATATGGTTGACGGTATCGTTAACAAACTCGTCTTCAGTTACATCATTGGAGTTCATGGTTTCAGACACCTCGGATTGGGTACCATCAAATGGGACATTTTTTGCTAAACCAGGTTGAATACTGACATTATTTTCTTCTTCGTCTTCATCTTCATCAGAAAAATGATCCATTCTTCTCAATTCTTCCTCTTTGCCATTCTGAGTAAATGTTGTGAAAGATTTGTTCTGCAATTTTGATTCTAGAGATGATTTTCTTTTAATCGCGGATTCGATTCTACTTGTTTTTGAATCAGATAGGCCTCTATATTTTTTTACATCTTTAATCGGTTCTATTGTTGTAACTACTTCAGCTTGTGAGGAAGATTGCTGATTGAAGGGACTATCTTTACTCGATGAATGGTCGTTTATAAAAGATGGAGACTTGCTCTGTCTTAATTCCTCGTCAGTGTCTGTGGATGAGTCTGTTTCAGGAGTGGGAGATTTTTCTATATAAGGTTTTTTCATAGGAATCTTTGATGCCTTAGGTGGTAAGATAGAAGAGGGACTAGCAGGGCCTTCTCTTAATTCTTTTTCAACTTCAGATATTTTTGGTTCGGGAATCGTTAGAGACCCAGATGCAATTCTTGGTGTAAATATTGGTGATAGAGTCTTTGAAGGTATCTTACTTGATGTGCTGGCAAATACCAACCCTTGTCTAGAAGTTGCATCATTTCCAAGGTTTTCAGACATAACTCTTTGACCAGTTAATGTTACCCTGTTTGGAGTCATCATCGTCCTAACTGGAGTTCCAGAAAACATCCTTTGCTGCTTAGATTTATCGGGATCAACAGTCTCTGATCTCGAGACAGTATCTTCAACAGTATTCCGTATCCTCTTATAATTATCTATTCCTGAACTAATGCGAATAGGGGGAGATTGCGGTTGATTAGGAGGAGGTAAAAATGACCTATCGACGATATCATCTTCATCGTCAGAATTATTTGATACTTTATTTTGGTTATTCAAAGGATATATTTGATTCGCGAGTGGAGTGGAAATTCTCAAATTATTATTATTATTATTATTATTTACTGATGGCTTTACAGTCGAGGTTCCTGAACGTTTTTTGACAACATTTAATATGCTATTTTGTTGAGTTTGTACCTGTTGTGAGGCAGATGCTGAACTTAATGTCTTGCCCTCATTGAGTTTTCTTCTTTTATTGCTTTGGTACAAAGATGTGTTTGAATTATCATCAGATTCAAGTTCATCACTCAATATAACTTTTACTATATTGTCTAAACTAAAAACATCTTTCACAATGAAATCAGGATCTAAATCACATCCTGTGCTATCTTGGAGACTTAAGATATCAATTGGTTCAGTTAAATTAGGATACATCTTATCACATTTCTTTTGAATTTCTTCAGAAAGAACTAATAATGAATTGTTAGGTTTTGTAAAATGTAGAAATTTTTTAGTATTTACTGGAGCTTGATATAATGGCGTCATGAAGGAACTATTGAAGTTCATAGTGTTTTCATTGTTCATCGCCCCATTTTGGAATTGAGTACCGGATTCCATTGTTTGCTGGGGATTTTGTTGGTTTATGTTTTGACCAGGCATCATCATTGGAAATGAATCAACAGAGCCAACTCTAAAATTGCCTCGGACTAGACTATCTCTAGCGCTAGGTGGCACTAAGATGACTTGTAATTTATACATGCAGAGAATGTAAATGGGGGCTACTGCCTTGTGTTATGCTTAGAGAATTGGCTTAATTTCTGGAAGTAAAAAACTTTTATATAATTGAACGTAGTTTTATAGATATGAGATATCTATACTATGATCTTATGAAATTGATATATATTATGAATGAGTTATTTGATGTTTATTTTGCGATGTGTGTATTACTTGATGTTTTTTCTTTCCTGAAAAAACGAATGAGGAAAGAGCGCTACTAACTTAGTAGGGCAAAAAGTTTGTTTACCTGTCGTTGAAAGTGATGTTTTACTAGACGTGAAATTAAGTGAGAGGATGAGGTAGGTTTAAAGGTAGAGGGTTATAGAACTGGTCATAGATTATAGGTTTTATATGAATGGGAATGGCTTTAAAAGTTTTCAAAATTAGTTATGGTTTGTGTTTTTTTTCGACCTTTAAATGGGCTTTCGGGCAGTCGTTTTTGATGAACCCAAATATTTTTATTGTTTAGCTCACGAAAATTTAATTTCTTGGTCATTAGATATCTAACTGAATATATATATATAAATCCCGATTTTAAAATATATTTAGATAGATATCTTGTCATTCATCTTCAATTCCTCCTTTCTTTCTCCTTATATCTTCATTCTTTAGAATATCCGACAATAAAACTGCCCTTGTTAAACCTACAAGAGTTGAACAAATTCGTTGGCTATAAACCAATACCCCTGCGCCAGATCAATTATTTTGAGAAATGTTTACATGCTGTTTAATTATTAAAAAAAATTCTTATATCATTTTATATAGGTCAATATGATGACAATGATGACACTCCTTCCTTTCCGGAAATGCTTCAAGTTTTAAAATTTCATATACTCACAAGCTCTTTCACTTTTTGTTTTTATTTACATAGCAAAGAAAAGAAAAGAAAACAAAAAAATAACAAACTTTTAAAGCAAAAAGAATCGATGATAGATAATGACGAAATGTTTTTTTTTTTGGTGCTTGTTCTCTAATCAATCTAGTTTTTTGATTTAACTTTGGAAACACGTACTTTATCATTTCTTCTTCGTCTAGTACTTGTGTTGGTAGTAGCACCTGTAGATTTTCTTCTATGAAATTTAGTCTTTAACTCAAACAATTCATAATCTTCTGCCATCAATTTGAAATGACTATTAAAATTATTAACAATTTGATTTGTAGCGGACTCTGAGTCATTTGAATTCAGTATAGTGGTTCCACCTAACATATCATTTCCATTTTTATGATAGGTATACATACCATTATCTGAAGTCACTAGAGATAAAGGAGACTCGGTGGCAGTCAATGATGGAATAGAATCATGAGATAATTCTCTTTGAGAGATATTCATCTCACCATTACTATTACTCCCATTGGAAACTGAACGTTGTTCATTTTCAAAATGATTCTTTAAATTATTACTCAAATGAATAAGTTGATTAGTCACAATGAATTCATTTTTGATTACATTACATCTCAATACGGTTAAAGCTATTAAATTTTTCAAAATAATTAAATCTTCTAAATCTCGTTTACCTTCCAAATCAGACAAAATAAAATGGAATTGTTCCCAAAACAAGTTAATATCAATTTGATTCCATGGAATATTCAATTTATTTAATGACCGTCTTAATGGTTCTCTAATTGGTGAATTAATAAAATTTTCATGAGTCAATAAATATCTTTCCCAATTTATTTTCATTTTCCCACTTTGATTCATATTAGAGTATAATTCAAATAATTTTGTAAATACCTTAACATTATCCCAATTATTTTCATTCAAGCCGTACAACTGGAAACCCTCCATATCATAACGAATAATATAGTATGGAATATCGTTATTTGTATCATATCCATAAGAGGAACAATTAATTTTCAAATTATTAGAATCAATTCCATTCAAACAAAACTCAACATTGTGTTCTTCTTGCAAATCAAAGAAGTATTTAGCTATATCATTAATACTTTGAAATGTCTTGACAAGTTTCAATTCTTTTATAGATTCATCCGACATTCTTTCTCTCTTTCTTTGTGTGTTTTGTTTCGATCGTACTAATAAATAATCAACAGATAAACAAACTCTTGCAGAAATGGTAGACAGGAATGGTAGATAACTTATTAAACTTAGCCTTTCTATAAAATGAAAACTTGGTGTGACTCTTCTCTATCAAAACATATAAAACCACAGCTATCTTTATAGTTAACAGGCATTAATTCAAGTCGGTATAACCTACTTCTACAAAATTATATCTGCTACTTTCACACCCACACCCTTTAAATCAAATTTACATATATTATAAACCTGGTAAGTTCATGCAACTTACCACCCCGCCGACCCCCGAAATCAAGACATAAATGTAAACAAACACACAATTCCACGTACAAAATCGTTGCATTTCCCCGTTTGGCTGAATTTTCCATTCATAATATATATACATAAAATATACGCTTTTGACAAATTAAAATTGCAAAAACGAAAAAAAGTGAAATTTCGACGCAGACAGAGAGAAATAGCGAGACAGCCAAACTGTCAAGTCAACTTCTTTAACAGTTGCGCCGTTGATAGTGGGGGGAAGGCGAAAAAGAGAGGGAAAAGAAGTCATTATATATTTGGGAAAAGGGAACAAATGATATATAGTCATGGAACCTGTTACAGTAATATAAGATTATAAGATAAATTTGACTTATTCATGTTGTTAGTAGTAATTCAGATTGCAAAAATTTAAGAAGCTCATCCTGTGTGTTAGCTTTAATTTCTCTCTCTCTTTCTTACGAATGATAACGTATAGTGTTTGTAAACTTATCGCAAGGAACTTTGTATCAATGACGTTATTGTATGAAAATATCACCACTTAAAATATATTACAATATGTTTCATACGTATCAAGACCAAAGAAACGTGATACTTTATCTCCCCAGAATAATCTGTTCTGGGCACAACTATAACAACTAATGCCATTATAAAATTTATAGCCCATAATGAAATAATCTAGAAGTTTGTAATATATATTTGTAATCAATCACCAACTATTTCTTTTCAATTTCCTTTATAGAAAAGAAAAGTACCGTTATATCTATTCTTCCAAAATAGGAACGACAGAGGCAAAAAAAGACCCTTGATTTTATTACCAAATTGGGGAAAATATTCAATTTTAAATTGAAAAAAAAAAATTAAGTTCCACTATTCCAGGAAGAAAATATTATTATTGCAATTTAATATAGACTTTAAAAATCTCACAGTCGATTCAAGAATGTATTTCCTCAAATAAATCATCAAAACTTGATGTTCCACATGTAGAAATGTTACTAAAATCAGGAAACAATACTTCTGAGTTGTAACTGAACTCGAAATATAACGGTGTACCGAGATTCTATTTTATTAAATATATACCCCCTCGATTTAATTTTCTCAAGAGATAGAGATATAACCTTATTATTCAATACGTAAACTTAGTAATTACGATTTGTTATTGTCATTATCTCCAAAATTGGTGACAAAGCATTAAATGACCTCCATCAATCTAGATATGCGGGTGGGTGGGGATGTCGATCCTTTCTTAATAATATTTATTACGTTATCCTATAATAATGATTTATAATTACTAATGATTTACGATTACTAATGGTTTGATATACATTCTCTTACGCATCTAGCCATAGACCTACATAAAAAAAACCACACAATCCTATTGTTTTCTTGAACTGTAATAGGTCCCTACATATATATCGAACATTCTCATCTCATACAACAAGGAACGGCTGATGAGATTATATTGCATTTTATTACGTGTATATTTTCATATTCATGCTAAATGGTTAAGGGGGGGGGTCAAGTAACAATAGATAATGCGTTTAAGAGTAAATAACGTATGTCATTTGTACATCGGGTCTCTGTGATCCGGATTCATTCCTGTTTCTACTTCATTATGTAAATGGACAAGTTACATTTTAGGAGCTTCCTATTGCTTACTTCAATAATAACAATAAAATGAATATACTACCAACATTTACTGTAGTTCACCCCGCCTTTTCTAGTTAATATTAATTTTAGCTTAGATTCATTGGCTCTATTATAACACGTTTATTAAATTGAAATTAACTAGCATCTCGAACGGGACTGTCAGTAAAACCCGTTTTAATTAAATTATCTGATTCTATTGTTTTCTTTGCTTGTCTTTTATTTAATACGTTGAATGGTTCGCCTGCCAATTAAAGTCATCAATTTTTAACTCTTTTTTCTCTACGCTCTTTCTCCTCATATTATTTTAACGCGAAAAATTATATTGCCGTTATTGAACGAAATCAATTTCTTATGTAACAAACTTTTTCCTCTATTGCTCTTCTTCTCCTGTTTCTGGGGAAGAATATTCGCGTTTTCGTGTTTGATATCTGTTTGACCTTGATACGGTATAGTGGTTCTTGCTCTACAATTACTTGTTTGTACATTAAACGACCATTATATCAAACAAAACTTTCCTTGAAGTATATGCAAGTTACTCGTCTATTCTCACGATATCGAAATAGTTATTATATAGTTCTATTGTTATTTCTTAGAGATATAACAAATTTTGAAAAACGTAAATCTTTCTATCTTACATATAACACTTTTCGCGACTAACTAATTAAATATATCAAACAATACCATTTACAGTAATTTCGTCATAATTAATCTATTGATTTCTGTAAAGAACTAATTAATACCATTTGAATTGTGTTTCAATCCCTTTCTTTTCGCTACTTTATCCTCATCAGTATATCATTCTTTCGTTAATTCTCTCGAGATATCTTGTGGAACTATAATCATTTGTATTACCTACGACAATTTAAGTTGATATTTTCAATGAGTTTTTCCTAAATCGTCGATCAATCTTTGTCAAACTTAATCAGCAAACAAAAAATAACACCTAGCCTTCATCTCAGTCATGTACTATATTCGTATATTTTTGTTTTGTCTAATAATCATATATATATAGAACTTTTTTGTAATAACAGTTGATTTCTATTGTAACTATTATTTATTCTGCTTTGTAATCAACTTAATTACCTTTATTTTCTATTCTTTAACATATACTTCAATTAAAATAATCAAACTTCTCGAAAATAATTAGCATATTCATTCATTTATTTCGTTTTTGAAAAACATATATAAACAACATTGATTCTAATCATATTTATCCAAAAAATAGTTTCAATTCCATTCCTTTATTATTCATCTTATAGCTTAATTAAGATAATAAAAGTATCAAATAACAACAACTGTTTCTTTCCTTTTTGAAAAACACACTCACAACAATCCAATCCAAACTCCCTCAACAACAACAATCATACAATGAAGTTCTCTAAAGCCCTACTAGCCACTACCTCTGCTGCTACCGTTCTAGCTGCTCCAGCTGCCATCACTGTTACCGAACATGTCCATGAAGAAGCCACTGTCACTGTTCAAGGTTACGTCTACTTCTCTAACGGTGTTGCTTACACTTCTGTCTCCACTCTAGGTGCCGAAGCCACTACTGTTACTGGCGCTGCTATCACCGGTCTAATCCAAGAAAATGATCTCGGTATTGTAGCCACTGGTGTCGACTCAACTTCCTCCACCATGACTATTACTGGTACCGTCACTTCCACTCAAGCTGTTCCAACTACTACTGATCCAACTACTACAATTGCTCCAGTTGTTGCTACCACTCCAGCCACCGTGGTTACTACCACTCCCACCACTGCTGCCACTAGCGCTGCTGCCACTACCACTGGCGATGCTACCTCTTCTGATTTCGAAACCTCTATGCTGAACGAACATAACGTTAAGAGAGCTCTACATGTTAACACTCCTGATCTAACTTGGTCCAACACCCTGGCTGCCTATGCTCAAGCATATGCTGATAACTACGATTGTTCAGGTGTCTTAACTCATTCTGGTGGTCAATACGGTGAAAATCTTGCTCTAGGTTACGGTACCACTGGTGCTGTTGATGGATGGTACGATGAAATCTCCGATTACGATTACTCTAACCCAGGGTTTTCTGAAGCTGCTGGCCATTTCACTCAAGTTGTATGGGCTTCCAGTTCTCAAGTTGGTTGTGGTATCAAGTCCTGTGGTGATGTCTGGGGTGACTATGTCATCTGTTCCTATGAAGAAGCTGGTAATGTCATTGGTGAATTCTCTGAAAATGTTCTTTCTTTGGCTTAAGCTATAAGAGATACTATTTTTTTATAGTAACAACAACAACAATTATAACATTTCATCATTTCATTTCATTTCACTATTCATTTCTTACATTATCAATCTATCAGACATTAAATATTCCTGCGGTATTTTTCTCAGTAACATGTTAAAATCAGGAAGGGACACCCTAGAGATCATTTGATCACTTCGCCTGTATATTACCATAAACGAAAATATAAATACATAATACATATAACTTCTTATATAAATTATAACCAATATAATTTAAATTAGACTAAGAAAATTTCTTATCATCTTTATTCTTTTTTTTATCATTCAATTTACGAAATTATATATGTGTATGTATATACGTTCTTAACTACAACATGAGGTGGAATCGTTAGTAGAAGGTCTTTGTAAATGAATATCCACTGGTCCATTTCCGCGTTGTGCTGAACTATTAATATTAATATTATTGGTTGCATCTTGTTTTTTTCTAATATCATATAATTTTTCTGCAATTGATCTAAAGACTTGTTGAATACCTTGTCCATTCTTTGCACTCACTTCACTAAAGAGTAAACCGTTCTCTTCGGCATAAGTTTTTGCAACATTTTCTTCAACTTCCCTCTTGTCTTTATCGTCATCTGTAGCCAAATCGATCTTATTACCAACAAGATAAATCACTAAAGAATCGTCATCTACTTTATTTTTCAGTTCTTGAACCCAACTACGAGCTTTCTCCAAGGAATCTGCTTGAGTTATATCGTATACCACCAGAGCAGCATTTGCATTTCTATAATACATTGGAGCCAACGATTTATAACGTTCTTGTCCTGCAGTATCCCATATTTCAAACTTTACAGTGACTTCTTGAGCTTCATTACCATTCGCATCTGAATCTTTGATCGTTACAGTTTGCGATAAGAAAGCAGCACCGATAGTACTCTCTCTAAATTCATCGAAGGAATCCTTAACAAATCGATTTACTATAGAAGATTTACCTACCGACGAGTCACCTAACAATACTAATTTGAATTGTAACATTCTCTCTAAATAAAAATATTGTAATATATGATTATAATAATATTGGATGAGATAAACGATCTCAAAAGTTGTTTGTTAATCCAGATATGTGTGGTGTATAGTTATAACACGATCTGAAACCTACTTCACCCTCTCAAAGAATGTAGTTATATGTAAATATACATATATATTTAAACAAACGAATCTATTTAACTGAGCCCTTTTACCTCTTTTTTCCTTATTAGTTTATTCTATGAACGGGTGGTGGCATTAGCAGCATTCAGAGTTTTTCTATTTGTGTGTAACAATGTATTTATATCGAGTTGTATAATTACGTAGACGGAGAATATATTTGTCTCTATCTCGCCCCTCGCTTGCCGCCGTGCCGTGCCACCGAGCAAAGTTACACCAATGAAGTTATCCTTCTCAATGCACACACATATATATATATTATAAAGATATAATATATTGATATTGAATGGAATATGTTGAGTCTACGATGATGATAGTGATGAAGTACATTATATATTTGTAGATCATATTGGATTACTGTGGAAATATAGATATATGTGACAATTGAAAACATTATACAGTTCTTTATAACCGCACATACACTGACACTTCAAAATACTGTTGTCGCAGGATGCATAGAACTAGTTCAATCGCTCTACTATTTACTTGCTTATATAGATACCATGCAACATCCCTCAATTACTAGGTTTATTATCTAGTTCTTTGCCTACTGTACGCTCGAAACTATAATCAATCACGATAAATGTTATTGTCAAAGATTCTTATGCAATCCACACCAATTACTACCATACATATATACACATATATATATACTTAGGCTGTTTGGAAGATTGCCGCCCACGGTAAACAGACAAAACTGGGACGATATATAAAAAAATATGTGCACGTGACTTTCAGCCAATCGCCTTGGAGAACCGGTATTCTGCCATATAAATTATTTTAATTCCGAGCGAACTTTCGCTGTTCTTCTGTACATTCAATTTTCTTAAGCTTTGTCCGTCCATTTGAATAATCAAAGAATTCTCAATTAACAACGAAATTGAAAGACGAGAGAGACAGAAACCCATCCCTTTGAAACTAAGAGAACGATTGACCTATTGAATAGTTCAAATTAAATCAAATTGAATTGAATTGAATATAATTACATTTATATATATACATATATATAAGCTAAAAAGGCATAAGAAACTGAACAACAAACGAACAATTGCTTCTCAATGTTAAGATCAACAATAATAAGGAACGCATTTTTGAAGAAAAGTTATGCTACTATTAATACTGGTACTACTACAGTTGTAAAATCTCACAAATTTCGTAATAGATTTTTGACTATTTCTCTATCGCTAGCTGCAATTTATGGTACAGGGATAATCTTATCCGAAAATGATAGTAGATATACATCTGTATTCAATGACAATATTCCTTTTGCTAATAGTGTCTTAGAATCATATGATGATATTAAGAATGGCAATATTAAATTATCTGATTTATCCTGGGAAAATATAAAGAATAAATATAGTTCTTATATTACAGGTGGAACTTTAGGGATTCCTTTATATAGACCAAAGAAGAATGATTTGAATGATGCTCAATTATTAAATTTATCAAAATTAGATCAAAGTAAGTTAAAGGATTTAAATCCAGAATTTAATGTAATCTTAAACCAAATTAGATACACTGTTGATGCTTTAAATGATCAACAAATTCCTTTAACTACGACTCAAACTGCGATAGTTACAAAGATCTTTGATCAATTATATGAAAGTGTTTTCAAATTCAATGAAGGTTTAAATCAAAATATTAAAGAAAGTATTGTTAATGGTTCAAAGGATAGAATCGACGAATTTGAGAAAAAATATTTACATGATACAGAGGACAAGAAAAAAGAATTAGATAGAAAATATGATGAAAAATTCGATTCATTTAAGACCGTCCTGGAAGAAAATGTAACTAGATTATTAGAGACTAGTTTAGAATCAAATTTAGAAACTTTACAAGCAAAACAAACAAATGAAATATCTTTATTATCAATAACACAAGTACAAGAATTTAATAAGATCATTGAAAAGAAAGTAGAACAAGAGAGAAATGGTAAATTGGCTAATCTAAATGCCCTTGATGAAAGGATTGGTAAATTATCAACAACTATGAATAAGTTTGGAGATATTCTCTCTAAAAACCAAGTCATTACTAGGTTATCTCTAATGATTAATGATATTAAAGGTAGATTAGATTCTAATAATTCATATAGCATTGAATTAGACAATGACCTCTCAAAGATGAAAAATATCTCGAAGGCATTACCAAAGGCTGGCTGTGGTTGTAAGTCTGGTAAATGTAAATGTAAAAAATGTACGGGATCATGTTCTACAAAGAGTACCATCGGTGGCCAAAAACTTTTAAATGTAACCATCGACGAACTTGATACGTTATCAAAGGATGGTCCCGTTCTATCCAATGAACAATTGTTCAATAGATGGAATCTTTTGGAGAGCGATTTTAAGACAGCATCTTTATTACCTCCAAATGCAGGTATTTTAGGTCACATTACAGCTAAATTCTTTTCTTTCTTTTTGTTTTCAAAAAAAGGTATTTCTACCTCCAGTGACGACTTAGATGCATTATTCGCAAGAGTTCAAACTAATCTGGAAACAGCAAAATTAGATGATGCTATTGAAGACGTCGTATCTTTAAATGGCTGGCCAAGAGTGTTGTGCGAACAATGGGTTAAAGATGCGAGAAGAAAATTGGAAATAGAATCTCTGATCGATGTACTTGACGCTGAATTAAAGGTTATGTAAATAATCAGAACAAAGTAAATACCATCGTATTTTTTTTGTTTATTCCTCATTTTATATATTATAAATATTCACCAGGTAGAAAAAAGATATATATATATTTAATTGATAACATTAGTAAAATAAAAGAAGAAAAAGCAGAAACTAAAAAAGGTATCTTGTTATTTAAATATTTGATCTGTTGGTTTACAAATGCCTTTACATAGTAAGTCTCTCCCACATTCCATGAGGGCATACATCCTGTTTTCGACATAGCCTGATTTATTATAAAATTCAAGTCTCTTTTTCATTATTTCTTCAGGCTCTTTAATTTGCAACAATTCAGATAGATCCTCAACGGCTTTTGAAAGAAGACTTTGATTATCAACAAATATTTTCGTCAAATTATGGGATGCATCTGAGTAAAATGCCACAGGAAACGACCATTTCAACGCTGTTCTTCCCTCATTCAAAATTTTAATACTATCTGTTAAAAACTGTCCTTCAATCCAGGAAACATCCATCTTTTCTTGTAATGCACGTACTTTCGATCCAATAGTTTGACCTAATTTCCAATCCAGTTTTGCAGAAATCTCATGTTCGTTGAATACCCTATAATAGAAGGTATATTTCTTCATCGTCTTAGATAGTTCATCGTTTTGGGTTTTTTTGGAGTTTTCATCATTTTTATACAAAGTACATTGGTAAAATGCTTTCCCATGAGGGGCCCAATCTCCTTCACAAATCCAACAAAATTCATACTTACAACTAGAACATTTCATATGGTTACATCCACCATCTTTTTCAATATTTACTTCACATTTTGGACATTCTTTCGTATGTGACATTACCCAATTCAGATTATCAGATTCCTTCTTTGCCTTCTTTACCCATGCATTTGTCACATTACAATCTGCTGGTGCATGTGTTTCAAAGCCACAATTGAAACAAAACCTGTGATCTGTATCACATTGAACAAAAGGTGAATAATGTAGCCTGGTATATTCTGCTAAAGATGATGTATCACTTAGATGAATGATACATTTACAATCTGCATAAGGGCACCATCTATAATTCTTATTATGTTTCTGCACAAAACTTTTGATTGAAGAAGTCATCAATTTTTTACTTGAATTATGTCCCATTATACTATCAATATCAATATTCTTTAGAGCTAACGTACAATCCATACATGTTATTACGTTGCCACTATGTAATTTGTCTTCGATGTAATGTCTATAACAGTCAATGCAATATTCATGTCCACATTCTAATGAGAAGGTTTGAGTATCTTTTTCTTCACAACAAATAACACAGTTAAAACCCTCTTTATAAGTAATACCTCTCTCTATCTTTGTCTCAGAAGTATTGATTTCATCTGTATCCTTCACTACATTAATATCTGTAGGCCTTACATCTGCTTGACTTACACCAATCTCTACCAATAATTCCTCCATCCTCTCAGTCCAGTTCTCAAGTAACCGTTCTTCATTCCAGTCATAATGTTGCATCAATAAAAGGATATCTTCACGTGGCATATTAAATATGGGCTGTAAATGATCTACTCTTGCTAACATATTCTCAAAAATGTCTTGAGTGGTTAATATTTCATAACTAAGGTTTGGAACAGCACCTTCACTTAATTCCTTTTTACTACTACGTTTAACTGGTTTCGTAAGCATAGAGTCATATGTTTGATTATAATCGTCATCGTATTCGAAATCGTCGTCACTATACATAAAATCTTCTATTTCAAACTCTGAATCTTGATTAATTAAACTATCCCTATGATTAGGGATATCATCTGTTAGAGTAAATGTGGATGTATTAGGAGAGTCATTTGTTTCGCTATGTTCTTTTTCATAGTTTGGATTATCTATAAAATTTCTTGAAATAGTGGTTGCTGGTAGTTTCATTTGGGTCATCGTTTATGTCTCTACAGGAACAGAACAAATACTAGATGGTGGTGTATTAGATATCGTAAATGAATCTCTAAAATATGTTGTCAACACTTTAATGTTGTTAATTAGCGAGAATATAGTATAATTTGATATATTCACACTATTTTCAAGTTCAGATACAGAGCTGTCTATATGGATATATTTTGCCAAGGCACTCGGACTATTAGGTAACACTCATTATTTCGCTTAGTCTAGAGGTATTGAAATGCTTTAACAAAAACAAAGTATCTGTAAATGAAGTTATGTATTTGGGACGACAACAAGAAATACAATATATTAATTAATTTTATGTGGGTGTTAGTATGTATTAAAAAACAAAAATGTTATATAATATACTATAATAAATCATGTTATAATTTTAGAGACAACAAATTTCATTGTGCGATCACTGGTAAACCTCATATGCGAAATGGTTTATGAGGATAAAAATTCACTTTAAAATATAGAGTTCTCCATCCATCACATAGAATGATCAACTCTGTCAAGAGCAGCCTTAATCTTCATTCCGATACGAGAACTTAGTTCATAGTCATCAGCATAGCCAGTGGCTCTTTCCAACCACTGTTTACTTTCCGGAAGGCCCTTCATACCATTCAACTTCCAACAGAATAATGCACGTTCATATAATGCCGCTGGGTAAGCCCATGGGTCTTCTATCTTTTTAATATAAGTACAAACGCCATTATCGTCAATGGTTATGATTTTACTCAAAACCTCTGAATCCATCAATTTACAACCTTCTTCGATATCACCCAATCTCCTGAACGTTAGAGATAACAACAAATTTCTTAGTAATTCTTGATCTGGATCCATTGCTTCAATGGCTGGGTTCTTATAATCGGTCAGCATCTTCTTGGTGATTTCGAGGTCTTCTGGTATCATTCTATTATAACCATTATAGAAATATGCAAGTTCATGTACAGGGGATGTTGCAATACAGTCTAATGGATCATCAAGGTTCAATTCTTTTCGTTTGGCCTTGAATTGCTCTACCTTTCTCAGCATAAATCTGTCCAATGGAAGATTTTTGGTTTTGAAAGTCTTCTTCCCTAAATGATCTGGGGCGCTGAAAATATACTTTGAAGCCTTTTGTTTATACTCTTCAGCTTTAGATGAATCCTTCAATCCTAATTTACACATTCTGTATGATTCAAGGTAGCAGCAACCTGCATAATAAGTGTATAGGGCATGCGACCAGTCACTAAATTCTAATAAACTTAGTAGGTCGTCGGCAGCTCTATCATATTCGTGTAAGTGTACTAATGTATTAGCACGATCAAAGACCATCATGACTTTAACTTGTCTCATATGAATTTTGTCAACATCAATGGAATCCATTAATTGGATAGCTTCACGTAATTTACCTCTTGATGATAACATTCTAGCTTCATTCAGCAACCAAAGAGCACTATTTGGGAACAAGGCTCTAGATTGCAATAAGGCATTAACTAGAATCTTCCCTGGGTGTAACAAAGTTGGAGCATCCATTTCGATATCATCCAATTCACTACCTATTGTGAGTGCGGACATAGTCTTATTCAATGAATTGGAACTTTCTCCAGTGGTATGCCTACGTAATGAACTGGTTGTAGAGTCAGAACGCTTTTTCGTGGTAGTTGCTGCAGGGATATCGAAATCATCATCCGTAAATTGGAAAGGACCATCATAATAGAACATCAATGCTAGTAAACCAATACAACCATGAACATTTCTTTCCTTAGTGGCTCTCCAGATTAATCTTAAACCATCTTCACGAGAACCACGGAAGCCAATGGCAGAAAGAACAGCACCAATCGCTGGTGGTAATAATGATATGACAACTTGAAGGATACCAAAACATAGATTGACACCAGAATGTACGAATTCATCTATAGTAGCTTGACTAGCATCTAAATCGTCGGATAAAAACACATGTTCTGTCTTAATACTGTCGTCATCTTCCTTTGGTAAACTGTCCAATGTAGCCATACCTAATTCGTTTCTTAATCGATTAATAGCAGGTGGATTATCTATATGAGCACCTGAAAGTCTATTAACTCTCATTTTATGGATTTTTTCGGCGTATTCCAGTAATTCTTTATCTTTTTGTTCTTCTGGAGTCAATTCGTATGGAATATCAACAGATGCGAACATTTTAGAATCACTTGAGATAAAACTTGCGGAGGATGATTCAGCTGTTTCTGTAGTTGTGTTGGGATCTTCCATTTTCATCTTTCTAAATTTATTCTTTAGACCTTTCTTCTTCTTATTAGCGGTCTTAATTTGTTGTAAAATATCTTGTAAAGTATGGTACGCTTTCCTCAATTTTAGAACAGCTTTTGCAGCTTCCATCATACTCTCACTAAATAACATCAATAGAGCGTGAAGTAAACATGATTCCGTATATGTCACAGCGTATACTGTACCAGGTGGATATAATGAACTACTCTTGATTTGATCTCTCTCAGCTCTTTGTTTACTTTTCAAAGATAACTGTTCTGCTCGAGCCAGAGTAGCTGAAGCTATCTTCATCTCCTCAGGCTCGAAACTTAAAGTAGCCTCCAGAAATTCAATTACACCACGAGCCAAAACATTGATAGTTTGTTCAGGACCGTCTACTTTATCACTTTCATCCAAAAGAGCAAGTCCTTGTTCTGCTTTATCATCCAGGACATAATCCATAGCACGTAGTGCTAATTCAAAGTCCTGAGCCTGTTTTAAAATGATTTTAGTTTTCTCCTCTTGAGATAACGTCTCCTGGGTGCCTCTAAAGGCATTCAACACTCTAAACATTTTTGCGTTAGAGTATTGGTCTTTTTGTTATATATGCAAAAATAAAATAGAAAAAGGATTAATGAGCTAGATGCTATGAAGCTTTCTGTGCTATATGTTGAAAGATGACAACTATGTTGAAAGAAATGTCTTTTCTTTTCAAGTAGTATAGCCTGGTGATCAATATTTCTTGATTCTCTCTTACAGTTGTGCCGTGACGGTTTCAACTATCTTTAAAAATTTCCCCTATTGCCTAGTAGTATATATGACTGGGGCGGAGGTGAAGGAATTCATTCAAACTATAAATATTATATTTTGCTCTAACGCTATCTTTGTCTCGGCAGGTAAATATAGAACATATCGCGCGACAATCAAACTTAGCAAAACAATGTCACAATTTTACAATTTCATCATTGCACAATGTAAAATCTGTAAATATATAACTACAAATGAACTAACTTTTACCATTGAACCTGTTGGGAATTATAACATTGAACATTAGTTGCTTTGAACCATGCCTATTTATGCAAAAAAATATCTATATAGAATAATATATTATAAGTGTAATGCTATTAATTTTGCTATTATGCTATGCTTAAGGCGTCGATCTAGTTTTTTTGATCATTTTGACATCTTTCTTGAATATTTTCTTCTTGGTTTTAAGGTTAATTTTGTCATTCATTGCAACGTTCACTGCAAATCTATCAACACTATTCCAAACCTCTTGTGGTACAGTGGGTGGTAATTTTCGACCATATAGACATTGATCCACTAACCACATTCCCACAATAAATGATCTTCTATCTAAAGTTCCATCCTTTCGACAATCAACTAAATCAAATATATTGGCCAGCAATGCATTCGATAAGTTTGATCGTTTCCAAATTTTTTGAACAACTAAAGCTAAGATGAGCCCGTCCTGGGGCAATAAAATATCAGCATTATCTGTTGGAGGCCACCAATGTAATGTTGTTAAATATCTAAATCTATTAGACATCCACATTGCTTCATACCTTCTACGTTCATCGAAATTAATAAAATTGACATCTCTATGAGCCTTCCATGGTTTATCCTCATTGAAACATTTTTTCTTATTTTTTTTAGTTTTATCTGAGTTACCATATTTTGAGGTAGGTGATAAATTTAGTGTCTTTTTAAATTTTTTTGTTGATGTCTTATATGTTCTTTTCATAACTTTTCTATATTTATGATGTTCTTGCGAGTTATCGTCATGATATTTAAAATATTCAGGGGAATTCCTTGACAATTTATCGGAGGAATTATTTTTTTTCTTAAAATGAGTTAATATATCATTTTCTTTATAATCATCATCAAGGATATCATTTTCATCTTCACTGCTATCATATTGTACTTCATATATATCATCTTTAGTGGTTTCAGATGAATTATTATCATTACGTAACGTTTTCTTCAATTTATTTGATTTTTTAGTTGGTAGTAATTTATTATCACGATAATCCACTGAATTATGCTTAATATGTATTTTCTTATGGAATTTATCCTTAACATGTTGTAATTTTGAAGAATAATGATATTTTGCTCCCGGAACATCCAATAAATTCATCATTTGTAGAGAATGATCTAATTCATTTAATGAGACATTTGATATACCATCATTTGAATAAGAATATAATTTGTCAGGAGGCGAATGCATTGACTCATTCACAATATATGCAGCTGCTTTGGCTGCTGCCACAGGTGAATGTGGTGTTATTATCCGATGTGCTGAATGAGCTTTCTTTATTGCATCATTACTAGTATTATTAATAATACTGCCTCTAGATGATGACACCGATACCAACGATACAGAGGACGAATTCGAAGTAGATTTATAATTTGTCAGTGGAATGGGAGGATCCATCATTAAGGAATGAGTACTGTCGTTATCGTTATCATCGGTATCTATTGAATTGGTTGTTGCCACGGCCGTCATGGCAGCCAATTTGGCGTCTCTGTCATGTATCTTACTTAACAGAGGTTCGTCTGTAACTGTAATTCTTATTGAAGTAGAAGACGCATAATATAGAGACGATAGATCGTTACTGTGTTTTTTAAAGATGGCTTGAGCTGCTCTTAAGGAATCTGTACTGGGTACATTATCCAATGCGTACAATTTACCTCGCTTCAACATAATTTCATTGAATGGAGATTTACTATTCAAAAGAAGTTATTGTTCCAATTAAGTATCGTTTGAAATAAAAACAAAGTTCTAATCAAGTAAATTAATTGTGCTACATATATAGAAGAGTTATTCAACCGATTAAATTTGTAGTTGTCGTCATCACTCGTTGTTATGAACAGGTAAACACTACGTTCTGTCAATACTAACAAAGCAAGCAAAAAAGAAAAGGAGTAAGATACGAATAACAGATCTGTACATCGACTTCACTGTATGAAGAAGTCACATCCACCGCATTGAATACGTATTCAAGAGCTGATGACATGATCAATCACCTTTTTCAGTTTTACCCAAAAATAACTTTATGCGAATTACATAACAACAACAACAACAACAACAATATTAAACGACGATGACACAAAAGAGAGAGAAAACAACGCTAAAAAATGGTATATTATTCGTTGTAGGGGAGATTGTGTGAAGTGGAACAAGAGGCTTTGACGTGGATATCACGTGGACAGAAATGTTATTTTTTTTCGTTGTTCGTTGTTGAGACAGTAAAGGGACCCCCAGCCACTAGTACTACAAAACATTCAAGAACGAACGATAAGTAGCAATATTGCAAAACATCACAACGCATTCAATATAAAAGAAGAAAGACCAATAATTACAGAATAAACACATACACAAATATATATACACGAATATGGCAGAACAAATTAGCCATAAACGGTCATTGGGCGTTAAGAGACTAGATGAAGATAAGAAACGTCTTTTAAAAGAATATTATAAGTTATCGGATGAAACTGATACAACAATAGACAATTTGAATGAGAACAATGACGAGACCACCATACGTTCATCTTCAAATGAAGAGGATGTTGTTGTAGCTGCCTCTGATACCGAAACTTTCGAAAATAATGAAGCATCGACAGAATCGACAGAAGCTGACCCAGATAGACACATCAATGAAATGACATTACAACAAATTCTCCAAATACATAATCGATTAGTTGGCCAAGAGATTGAAATGAGTAACTCTATTAAAAACACGATCTATGACAATTACTATGACCTAGTGAAAGTGAACACTTTATTGCAAGATATAGTCCAACGTGATCACGCAACAATTACCGGGAACGATAACCGAATGGCAACCCTGTTAGGGCAACTGCGAACCCTATCTGAACCCTAGTCAAGCCCCCAACACCCCACCCCCACACACGAAAAAAGCAAGCCGGCATTAATTTCATTATAGCCGTCTCCACGGAATTGCCGTCCGTTTGTTTGTTTCTTCGTTTTTGCAAATGCGCCACACTCAGAATCGAGAGGAGAAACTGCAGAACTCTTATTGCGAGGGGAAACCGAAGGCAATTTGGAAGGTCTGTACGGCTATCCCTCTGCGGATTGTCGGATTTGCGGGGGCCAATGAGGGATCATGTTGCACGACCTCGAAAGAAGGGGTTGTCGAGTCCCAAATGAACGAAGGAACAGCATTGAAGGAGTGAATGGTCGTGCCAAGCGGTGCTTGATTCAGTAATTTGATTGCTATCCATCGCATCAACTAGTAAACATTCCTTTATTGATCAATTTTTTACATATTTTCCGTTAAGGGATATTCTGTTTGTCATTTTGTTCGTTGCTATCTTCCATCTGTCTAACAATGATGAGCAAACTTCTGATGTAACTTTCTTCTATTCCAAGAGTTGACTGATTGCGATGGTGAGGGTTCTAATCATTGGAAACTTCTGTGTTGAGGGGTAAACAACTTATCTTGACTTAACGACATCAACATTTCTACAAGAACTGTTATTAGAAGTTAAGTATAACTAACTGCATTTGCTTCTTTATTTTATGTATATATAAACAAATAGAAAAAAATACAGTTGATTTATTCTTCTATTAGATTACGTAATTAATATATCAAAATAACCATACTCAGCTACTCATACACAAATACATACACACTTACACATACATATATATACAATAATGGCAAATATAAATTCGCCGATTGTTCCGATAGAGAAAGATATAAATCATATACTATTGAATGAAAAACCGGTTGTCACTACATCATCCTTAGAGGCATATATTCAATTAGTGGAACCCGTAATCTTTTTACGAGGGTTTGAAGTGAATAATAATAATAATAATCAGAGAAATGATGAGGACGATGATAATACTACACCACCTTGTATAATGCGGGGTACGGTCATTCTACGATTATTAAAACCAACTAAATTGAAAAAAATTGCATTATCGTTCAATGGAGATTCAAGAACCGATTGGCCAGAAGGTATGGCGAATTTAGCATTGAAAGATACAGGCAAGGTGGTATTGCAAGATGAATTTTGTGAAAATAAAAAATTAATCGAAAATAATTGGCCATTTTTTAACTATAAAAACGTTAATTTATTATTAAAGAATGAACAATCAAAGACAATTAAACAAACAAGATTAGATAAAATTTTGAGATTTTCAGGTGCGTCAATATATAGACCTTTAAATGATTGTAAAACAAATAATGATATTACTACTGATGTTGGATCATCAATTATAAATCAGGATAATTTATCAGATATATCTCCCTCAACAAGTATTAAGAATGATAAATTTTTAGATATTGATAAAACCAATAAATTAAACAAGACAAAATCTTTAAATGGACCTTATGAAACAAACAAATCTAAAGAAACACCTTCTTCTCAGCGTAGAGGTTCTTTTTTTGCAGATTTATTGATATCTCCATTTTCCCATGCAAATACAACGGCTAATAATAATAATAATAATACTTCAACACACCTTGATAATGACAATGGTGCCATTGAAGATGACGAAACAGATGATTTCAATTCAACTGGTGATATGTCATCATTATTTGAAAAGGATACATTTGTATTCCCAACAGGCGAATATGTTTTCCCATTTGAACAATTGATTCCACATACTTTGCCTGAATCGATTAAAGTCGAATATGGTCAAGTGAAATACCAACTAAAGTTAGAGATTAAACGTTTCAGTATGTTTAAATCTTCCTTTTTATTATCAAAACCTATTCAACTTATCAGATCACCATCTGACACCTCTATTGAAGAAAGTGAACCAATCATAATAAGTAAAGCATGGAAAGATAGATTAAAATACGATATACTGATTAATTCTAAAGATGTTATATTAGATGCTTTCTTACCTATATCCATACACTTGGCTCCGACAGATAAAATTTGCATGTATAGAACCAGGATATATATTACAGAATCTATAGAATATTATGGGAACAAAAAATCTATTCATAGAGTTGAAAAGACGAAAAAACATCTGCTGGCAGAACATAACGGTCCATTTAATGATCCTGATAATAAAAATTTGGATAGAGAAAACTTTAGAAATTATGGTAATTTATTAGAAGAAGAGACTACTGGTGATCTGATCGATAAAATATTTGAATATCAAGTATTTGTTCCTAAAAATTTTAATGGATATAAGCAATTACATCCAGATACTACAAATGAAGATATCATTGTAAACCATTGGTTGAAAATCGCCTTTAGAGTATCATTCGTTGTCGATGGGAAAACTAAATTTTTCGAAGTATCTATAGATTCTCCAATTCGTGTCCTTCATAGACTATGTTCTCATGCAAATACATTATTGCCAAACTACTACTCAAATATCAGGATGCCTAATGATGAAGATGATGATGCAATGAATAGTTCTACGGTTAATAATTTATATCATAACTCTAACATATTTTTCCCAAAGGAACTTTGTACATCACCTATTTTAGACAATGATCTGGATGTGTTTGATCTCACTATTCCTTCGATTTTACAAAACGATAGACTTCATCCAAGAGGTGGTTCAAATAAACAGAAAAATAATAATGAAAATTCTACTGGTAAAAGGCTATCGTTTTCGTTGGCTTCATTGGGATCATCAAAGTCAGCGAAGAATGTCTCTAATATCGATGATGATAATGGTAGAAGACATAGCATAGCCCTTATTAACTCCCCTAGAATGGAATCCAATATATATGAACCTCAGGCCTTGGCGAAGGAATTGGCATATCCCCAAGCTATACCTGCTTTTAAGTCTACAGTGACTATTCCAATACCAAGATTAGAACCTCCACCACCACCTTATGTGAAAACCCGTCATCATTCTGTTCCACAAGTATTTTCAAAGATGTCTCAATTGACAGAATCACAGGAGACACTTATTGGTAATAACCTTGACATGCACATTAATACTGGTATACATTTCAAGAATCCAAATCCTTTCAAGAAACCAAACAGTACTAAATTTGTGGCGACAGATTCATCTTATTCGACAGCTCCTGATCAACCAATTGTTCCAAATTTTACATTTTCTTTTTCTGAAAATAACGACAAGACTCATAGAAGAAATAGTATTGCCCATGAACCAAGATACAATACCAATGCAAGAAATAACAATCTTCTAGAATCACCTTCAAATTTCCCACCAAACTATGAGATGTCAGAGGCTAGTGATCAAGATGACCAAAATGATCTGACTATGTTTAATCTAGATGAAAATGCGTGGTATCCACACCCTTTAAAATGATAACTTATATTATATCAATATTCTTAAAAGTAAAAAGCACTTCTGCACAATAGTCATTAATGAACCTTTGGATATTTTATCTCGCAATGCCACATATCCAAATACAATAAATAATAGACAAATTATATATTATATATATTTGGAATAATTAATAGAAGAATAGAATAAGCTCATTGACATCAAATATATATATAGTTCAGTGAGAGATTACTGTATAATTTCATTGATAAGAGATTTACCTTTTTGAATTAATGCTGTCCGTTCTTTTTGGAGTGAATGACATTGTAGCTGCTTAGTCTTTAACTTGATGCGAGATTTAGATAATTCCATTTCAATAAACGAATCTCCCTCGAAGTCAGCTGTATCTTTCCATAGTACTGGTCGCCGTACCTTTTTGTTATATTTAAATGAGTCGTTTCCTAAAGAGCCTTGTTGCATGATATTCTTTTCCCAAATATCGCTTATAGAATCATTATCATTTTCATTAATTGCTTGTTCAATTAAATCTTTCCTTTTCTGCTTCTCTAGAAGTATTTCATTTTTGGTCAGTGCTAATTTACCATCATCAACTATATTATCTGTATAGTCTTCAGTGTTTTTGGTATCCTTATATTCATTGGCCTTTGCGGTACCTCCATTATCTTTATATGTGTCTAATAAGTCTAATCTTTCTTCGGAAGATAACAATTTAGCATAATCTCTCTCCGTCGGGGTTCCTTTCTCAATATCTTGCGATTGCAGCAACTTCCTCCGAATATTTTCTTTTTTACTCTTTATCTCTTCGATTTTAGATGTTGATAATATATTACTACTTGTAATGTCACCAGTATCTTTTTGTTCTATATCATTCAATTCTGTCTCATCCTCTAAATTCAGTACTGTACCATTCACGTTTTTGGATTTGTATATAGAATCATATGAATCTCTATTATCGGTAGTGGCTAGGTTAACATTAGAAACTATTAACTTATTAGTATCTTGTGTGTTTGTAGTAGTAGGGAAGGGAGAATACTTCCTTGCTCCCTTTTTCATTTTTAAACTTGGTAAGTCATCAAAATCATCAAGGGATTCGTCCTCACTGAAATTTAATGAAGGTTTGATTTTGTTCACACCTAACTTAACATTGGACTCGTCACTAGACGATATCGGTAATTTAATCTTATTTCTCTTTCTGAAATTCATTATAATCAGCTCATGGTTTGGATAATTGAATTTATTCTAGTATTCACAATGTAATACTAAAAGTTTTCCAGGTAAATTCTTTTACTTTTTAAGATGATTCAAATTTATAGATATTGAAGGATAGGACGTCTCTATTCCTATTTTTCTACTTTAATAGGGTATATATATATATATATTTTTTTTAATTATCGGGGTCCACCCGTATAGATACATATTTCTTTTTTGATTTTGAAACGAATTTACAAAATCGAAATAAAGCAAATGTTAATGTCTTATTAGGTTTTATTTGTTTATATATTACAAAAATCATTAAAATTATTATATGACGATAGAGAATTTGTTTACTTATTACAATATATTATTCTCCAGAAATGAGTGTCTATCTGTTAAACTGAAATCAGTTCGATGTGGTAGTGTAGGAGGACTAAAAGTGATGTAAGTAAAAATCAGTCCTCTCTGCTTGGAGTACGGTATAATGAGACTTCATTGTCCATGCCTATTTCTTCTGAATCCAGTACATCTTCATCAGAACTATATTCTTCCGGACTTTCTATATCGGATCCAGACTCTGAGTTGCGAGACTGCATTTCATCTTCATTTAATGTAATATTGGACGAAAGTGTATTTAAATTGTTGAATAGAGGGTTATTAGGTTTGACGTAAGATTGTCCGTCATCGTTTGGATCCATATAATCGTCGTCGTCATCTTCCCCATTTGGTGGTGAATAATCGATAAAATCATTCTGTAAAGTGTTGCTAAATTGCTCGTGAGCTTTATCATTATCACTCAATCTAAATTGGTTAGTATATACATATTTCAATGCATCTTCATAGTTAGAATTCGTACCTGAATCATTGTCCGAGTCCGAGTCCGAGTGGAACGAATCCAAATTTAAAGTTGTCTTATGCCCAGATGGGTCAATATATTCATATATTGTACCGCTTGCTCTAGAATCTTCGTCTTCTTGTGTATCATGTCTTATTGTATCTTCTTCGAGATCATGACTGTATTTATAAAATGATTCTGTGTTAGGCTCTTCGTTTGTTTCGATATAATCTTCATTTTCTTTATGCACAAGGTTGTCATTTTGGTCAAAAGAATCGTGAGTTGACTCTATTTGATCATGTAACTCGTCAAGGGGATCTATATCTATATTTTGTTCAGTTAATTTGTCCAACAATGCATTATTTTCTTCCATTTGTAAGTCTGGATCGTTGGCGTCTATCAAATGATCTTCATAATCTTCTGCATCAACATCTTCTAGAACGAAATCGCCAAGTACTGTATTGTATTTTTCCCTAACGTCTCTTAATGTTGTATCCATGAATGTAACCCAGGCTTCGTCACTAAGTGCTGTCTCAACTCCGTTATCGTTAAATGTTAGTTTCAATTCTTCGACGTACTCTACAAACTTAGCAACCTCTTCGGCTATCAATGTTAAATGACCCATGTAACCTAGTCGAATCCCAGTTCTTGTTTCATTTTCTTTACATATTTCATCCCCTTTGATTATTTTGTCTGTTATTTTAATATTAACCAATAACCCTGACAATAAAAATTTATTATACCCTGATTTCAAAGGACCATTAAATATTTGTTGAACAATATCAAATACAACGTTATGCAAAAAATTATTCCATTCAAATTGGAAAAACATATCCATAATATTGGTAATTATGCCTGTATCATGCAATGCAAATTTCAATTGATCACCAGAGAGGTTTTTTTCACGAAGAGCTTTTTCAGCGCTCTTAGAATTATCAATTTCATCATCTGGGTATACTTCATTATCGTTTTCATCTGTGGCTATCAATTCTTCGTTATTTACAGGTTCATTAAGTGATTCATCATCAATGTCATTTTCATTTGTAGTACGATCAGTTTCTGAGCCATTTAATTTCAATGCTTCTAATTTGTCAGAAATATATTCATTTTCTAGGGAATCGCTCATCTTTTCAATAGTGTCTTCATAAGCTGTTTCTTCCTCCTTCAGATATTCTTGTCTAATATAATCTCTTTCAGAGGTAATTTTTTCGCCGTCAGGTTCATTCAATAATGCCATATTTGAACAATGCAACAATTCAGCAACTAGTTCACATATCTTAAATCTTTCAAATCCCAGAGGCTCTATTTCGCCTATTGGAGTTTCTAACATCGGTAAGCCTCCATGCATTAATAATTTAGCAAAATCACCCATATGATTTGCAAAAGTTTTGACCAATGCAATCAAATGCACGGGATCTCTGTCGTTTGGTGGATGTGTCTTTATTGTAGTATACATCACTTGAATAAAGTCATAATCGGAATTATTTTTTCTAATCATTTCAATGATGATACCAACACCGTTACTTAAAGATGTACTACCTTTTAACATGATGTTAATCAATTTCTCAATTATTTCGGTAGAGACTAACTGTCTGGTCAATTCATTTGGGCCAATACCCAAAGCGATTTCATTATTTGAATTAGCACTTAGGGTGACAAATGCTTTTAAAAAATCTCCAGCTGCACTTTGTACAGATGTGTTGTATTTATCTAGATCCAATCTTTCAATCAAACTTGGAATCAAATCTTGTTCTTTTAAACAATTAATAATTCCTGTTGGAGAATCTTGTTTGTCTGTTGAGATGACTTTCAATAAAAAATCCATTAATGAGGGATTTTCAATGTGATTAAGAAATCTTTCTGCGCAGGATTTCTGAGACAATATAAAAGTTAACATACCATTAACATCCATATCTAATAATCTTTCATTGATTTTCATGAAATATGTGGATGCCGCTACTGATAAAGGTGGCTTATGATCCATAATTGACCACAATTGTTCCAAAAGATCTGTATTTTCCATGATTGTGGATGCGATAGGCCAAATATCTGCCGATAGGATCTCAGCAGCCATTCTAGCTCTTCTTGATTCTAATTGTTCTTCGCTCTCCGGTGGAACTGTGACACTAGTCTCTTCTGAAATCATTGAACTTGCATCACTTTCATCTTTTAAATTTGTATCTATTTCTTCATAACCTTCTGATATTTTATTTTTTATAATTGTTTCACCAGATTCATTGTCCTTAGTAGGTTCCACGATAATTACATCGCTATTCAAATCACCTATATTATTTTGATTTTCTGAATCAGATAAAAGATCATTATTCGCTACCTTTGTTTCCTCGAAATCATCTGTTAGAATCTTTTCATTAGTAACAAAATCAATTAATCGTTGTAATACTTCAGGATATTTTAAATATATTAACAATTTAAAATTGGAACACATCAATTCCGTATATAATTCTTCATCGTCTAATAAATCATCCAAAACATTTAAATCGGGTCTATAATCCCTATAATCTTCTTCATTACTGGGTAATTTATCAAGTGTATTAGTAGTGTCCTTGTTGTTGGTATCAGTATCCTCCTCATCATCATCATCATCTTTGTCGTTATTATTATTCGTATTGTTATTATCATCATCGTTGTTGTTTATTGAAACATCTGGTTCATCAATAGGACTACCAGATTCAGTTGAACTATTAGTTATAGTAGTAGTAGTAATATTAACTATTGAATCGATAATTTCATCATTATCTTTATCGATTGAATTATTTATAGTATCTGTATTATTATTATTAATCTTAATAAATGCTCTATTTAACAATTTAGTTACAGAGGATTCAATAGAATAATCTTGACCAAATTTCCAAAAAGAACCAGACATTAAGAATAATAAATGGACAAAAAACAATAAAAGTTATTAATTTAATATGAAAGGTATAGGTTTGTTGATGCTAATATAAGTATCTTCAATTAATATTATGATATGAAGATCCAATGCAGGTAAATGAGAGAGAGAATATAATATTACAATGGTCAAAAAAGAAATTGAAAAGTAAAAAATAAAATATGACGAATTGGATGAGAATATTAATTTAGTATTGGTAGATCAAAAAAAAAAAAGAATAATCTTTAAAGTTAAGGATAGTTATACAAAATTGGTATAATTTATT